ATGCCCTCTCTTTTCTGAGAAGTTAGTTCCCATGCAATGGGTGTATCTACGTGAGTCAAGATGACGCCACCAGGGAGATCCCGAAACAAGGAAGTGATTTCCTTCAAATTGCATCGTGCTGATTTAATCTGCTAGCGCTTTTGATGCCTCACGTTCGCGTTTTACATTCCTAAGGCAGAAGGCTAAACAGATACGCATGTATTTATGTAGGGCCTTACTCTGTCTCCCAAGGCGTGTTCCAAATATCTTGCTTCCGGTTGCCTGGAGGTTCCGTACCTAAAGCTCTTTTTCATCCCGGTTAACGGCACTTCAAAGTGATCACATCGAAAAATTTAAATTGACGTCAGAGTCCACCGTTAAAGTATGCATAGCATCTTTGCCATTTTCTCCATTCTCCCCGTCATTGCTCATTCGGAAGGAGGACACGGAGAGCCCGCCTGATCCACTTTCATTCGCGTACGTACAACATAAACGTACTGGCGGGTGGATACGGTTTTCACGCGAAGCAGCTTCTCTTCGTCAGTCAACTCGTTACGATCTATCTTTGGTGCATGTCGCGCAAACGCTTGGCAAGTTTACGATGAAAAAGTGGCTTTGCATGAAGGCTGCACCCTTGAGGTTGCCCATTTGCTTCCTTATCGGGGTTTGCAGGTGTCTGTGCGGAGCCACATATTGCGGGCCGTTGGGCACAAGTTACTTGTAACCGGTTAATGGCTCAGGATAAAAGTTTTAGGTTAGGAATGCGCAAACTTCACGAAAGGTCCAAGTAGGACGTGTGTACTACAGAGGTGACTTTTACGAACATGGGCTCTCAAGTCAAAGTACATTCAGCAGCAGGCGGGCCCGGTGCTTAAATATTTTGCCACGTGGCCAACGGGGGATGTGCGCGCGCCACCCCTCGGGATTAGCGTCCCGCCCAAAATGCAACCGCATCTCGGCCGGCACCCTGGCTGCGTGTTGTTTGTCTGACGGAGGAACTAGCGTCTTACTGGTGAAAAGCTCGCCCACCACATGGCCATGACATCTCGTTTCCATTTGCTCTGGGGAATGTTTTCATGCTTCACCTTAGCTTTGATGAAGCCACGGCTGGACCACGACTGAGAGTTTGTTGCGGTCTGATCTGACGTATAGGGCTAACTTAGTCGAGGCAACTTTCCTTTGCTGAGAGCTTCCGTGTAGATAGCGGTCAGTGATGCACGTGCAGTAGGTGCCAGAACCCGTACCAATTACCCCCACTGTTTCACTGCCTGGCACGCTCAGGTTCTGGGGCTTTTCTAACGTCAATCGATATGTACTGGGCTCCTTAAAGTATGGAGCCGCGAGAAGCGAGGAACTTTCTGAACAAGTGCGAACTTATGATTCTTGAGATGATAGCCCAAGCTCTGGGACACATGGTTTGTCGAGTCCTTATCCGTTCTGCAGCCCTTGAGTTTTCCGTATTTATCTTCGCAGGAGCGCTTGGAGACCATGATGCATGAGTCACATTGCCTGTGTTGATTCAAGCACACCGTCTGTCGCGACGCAGCGCTGCTGAAGTCAGCCGAGTTCTTGCATACGGGATACTTTTGCCGCTCGACACTGGTTGGGCCATGATCAACTGCTGTTTCGAGCTCTACTTGCACGGTCGGCCCTATTCATGGGACCGTCAGTGCCAGAGCCTGCGCCCGGACGGCGCGTGCGGCCGCGAGCACCCCTGGCCCCTTGTCTTTAGATTGGTCGCCAAACGTAAAACGCGCCGACTCCGTTTGCGATTGGCCGCGCAGTACAGCTGTAGACAGCCACCGACTCTCGTTCTTATGATGTGTCGTGATGGGAAGCATTGTGCAGCTTCAAATGAGCTTTACCAGCGCCTCACGTTACTGAAGCAGTTGCCCACTAACTTCGTCTACAAAGCTGACTACCGGAAAAGCTGGACTGGTCCTCTGGGCGTCCTCCGCTGCCGGTGATTTACGTTAGGCTCACAAGTCCGGATTGGTTATGATTCAGTATCGTTGGCTGTCAATATAAGCTGGCAGCCGGATCGGTCCTGAAAATATTATTGAGACGGCGCCGCAATACCATTCCCGGATCCATCAATTCATGATTGCCTGCATATGACCGTCAGTATCTCGCAATTACTTTCGATCGAACGGTCTCTTTCCATCTCGGATTGTATTGGGCTTACGCTGCCATGAATCGACACTATCTTCGATCTGCTTTACAACGTACCGGTTTTTAGCCGTCAACATATAAAGAATGCCCGCGTCACGGGTTGCATCGGCAGGCAAGTGCACGACCCCGCCGCGCGGCTGGCGGCTGCTAGGGCGCGCGACCGGGCGCGTGCACGCGAGCGGCGGGCCGGGCCGGCTGGCTGACTCAGTTCAATCATCACAGCTATCCTCCCTGAGGTCTCGCCCGCTCTCGTTCTACCCAGAAGCTCTGTCATGCTTCCGCTCTCTTTGAACCGCTAAAACCATGTCGCCGATCTTTGTCTGCTACGTGTCAGGTGCTCTCGCGGGACCCCATCGCGCTGCAGCTGCTCCCCGCGACATCGATGAGTCACCAGCCGCCGATCAAAGATGCACCGAGAATTCTTCGCAGAGAAAGTTGAGCGTTTGATGTGGGCTGCAGTCCCCTCGAGACATCCGCTGTCTGATCGAAATCAGAAAATTATGGTACGTCTAATATTATTGACCTGCAAAAACCTTTTGGAGACCGTGAGAGAGAGGTGAGACATCCTCAGACTCGTCGAACCTGGTCGAGCTCTCAGGACGTAGGTGTTTAGAAGCTCTTAAAGGAACTACAGCGGATTGGACCGACAAAACTGCTCAGACCCTTTCAGACTCTAGAACCGTGAGACCATCAACGTCGAGCCGCTTTCGAGACATTCTGATGCGTATCTCAGAAGCTTCTGGTGGTTAGCACTCCTCTGGATTGAGTTTGACCCAAAGTCGGTGATTTGTCTTCGCTTGACTAGATCTACGTGTACTAATCTTTTCCTGCATGGATTGAGCGGACCCTGCACGATACAATTACGCAATGGGGACCCGGTTTGTTCCTTCACGTGGTAGCGTAACGGTGCACGCAAGAGCAGCTGTCGGCCATGGTCGAGACATTAGCTTAAACTAGTAGCCAAGATGGAATAATAATGAATCAGCTTGTCAGAAAAATATGTTGACGTCCAACGATATTCCCGGAAAAGGATAGACTTAGTGAGCCCGCAGCGGGGGGACTGTTGCGTCTGACCGTTTGGAGTTGCATTTTGCGGAAAGAGCTAGCCAGCTGAAACATAGGATTCGGGTCAGCTTCGATTTCGAACTTATGCGGACTGGCTGAGACCGCCCTTCTAATACGGCAACCTCTTGCATGATGAAGTTGCTAGCTCATACATGTACACTAGTGGGCACCTCAAAACCTTTTACAAGCCAGCCATTTCCGGTGTTCCATGTTACTACCCAATGCTTCGCACAGCCTCACGGGGAGAATCTCAGCATGCCGATGATAAATCGGACAAAGGCACCGTGCATGATCCGTTCGCGTCCGACGACGACCACCTGCAATTGAAAGGGTGCCCGATCGTCCACTTGACCTCACTCCAAAACTCATGGCGCATTGTCTTGCATGTCATCCACTGTATGCATCATACTTTTAGGGAGATACCTTTGGCCATACGTGCACGTCTGGTGACACTGGTAGATCAGTCTAGTCTTGCTAGCGCGCTGCTGGCTCTTTTGTGGCTCAGGCACATGACCCTACATCCTGATAGAGCGCTGATATATATGTTTGCCTGTCATACGACTGCTCTGAAGGATTCACGACTTTGAGCGACGAGTCCTGGTTTGGCGAATGGTGTCGCATCTTCATCCGAGGCCGCCCGGCGGGCGCCAGCCAGGGGAGAGGCGGTCACTCTCCCTTCGAGGATAGCTTATGTGGAAGGGACCCGCGTCGACCAAAGGGAGTGAGAAATGCGGCCGAGATAAAACCCGGGTTTTAGGAAAAGGGGTCGGAAAATGCATGCCAGGTTTTATGCCATGATACGGGGCCTGGAACGAGACTCCCGAGCTCTGTCTCTTCGCTTTTCACTGGCTGCTCTACTTGCTGAATGAGAGAAGCCAGAATCCCCGATACCCCGATGAAAACGGAGCAGCAAATGCACAAAGCTCGAGAAAGATCGGAGGAACGAGCTCAGAAAGAAAGTTGGGGTATTATGGCTCCAACAACACACCATATGTTCTAAGAATAGGGGCCCACAAAAGACGTAGTGTGTTTTAGAATAGGGGGCTCTCTGGGCTCTGAAAGACTGGCGGCGTTTTAGCTTAGGGTCCTAAAATTACAAGGGCAGACGCGGCTATATCCACCTTTTGGAGGAGTGACCGCCTCTCCCAGCCAGGCCGCACCCGGGCGCGGCCGCCTGCTTGGGGCGCGGCCGCCGACGGCGTACGAACCGCCTCGGCGTGAAATGCGCCCAATCATTACGAGCTCTTGGTCGGACTCGGACTCGGAGGCCCGGACGAGCCGCCAGTTGGCAGTTCCCGATTAAACAGCCATGAGCACACTGCACAGCCGTGGGCTGACGTCATCAATTACAGTACCAATGCTGAGTGAACCGGTACAGTTACCGGTACCTATAAGGCTATAGCCTGTACGGTAAATCGGTAGGCAATCTGAGTACAAACTGATTCAGAGCACCGCCGTCACAAATTCTGGCTTGAACTTGAAGTTGACGGGCATGGCGCCTGCCGCCGGCGCCACAGTCAGCTAGCGTCACGGTGGCTGCCGGGTAAGCAGGTACTCTCAGGCTGTCCATGGCTCAGATCGCGCTGCCTTCTGAAAAGAATTATTCTGCGAGAAGCTCAGGCTGAAAAACATTGCAGCTACGCAGTAGTAGTATGGTCGATCGCACAAGGTTGAAGCACCGGCCAAGAATCCGCTGAGCCTGTGAGCCTGTGAGCCTGTGAGCCTTGAGCTCCCCTTGAGCTGAAGAGAGGTTAGACTACATGTGTGACCTTCCCTTATAAAGCATTGCCAATTGATGTTATGTTGGGCCGTTGGCTTATCATGTATCAGCGGAATCTCTGACTAGAAAAAGAAATGTAAGAATCAGTTCAACGTGCTTTTTGAGTGCCAATTATGAAAGCTGCATCCCAGCTGATCTGGTTCGCAAGCTCCGATAAGCACCACAGAGACTCTCAGAATGTGACCCTTCCCATTGGATTCTCGCGACCTGACGTCAAGTGAGTGTCTAGTCCAGAAGCACAGAGGCACGCAGTTAATACAGTTTCATTGTGAGCTGCTTCCCTTCGTACAGGCCCTGTGCCTTGAATGCTGTGTCTGAAAAGTGAACTTTTTGATTGCTGGCAAATTCCAGTACTTATGGTGTCCAAGGACGTTGTTTTTGGCCCTTTCCTTCCTTGATGGCCGGATCCAGCTCAAGCAGCTTTTTTGGGTTGTTGTCATGACAATCTGTTTGGAACTCCTTAGCATCAGTCATTGGCCGTCATCGGGCCACGTTACACATAGGCAGACGAGCACCACCGTATTGTTGTGCTCGTTAAAAGCAGAGAGGGGCGATGCAAGTGGCAACGAGTTTTGCTCTTTGCAAATATGCAGCAATTATTGTCACCCTGTTGACTTGGTCTAAGTGTGGCTGCATTGATATACTAGTGAATACTGTGCAAGCATCTTTTACAGGATGGGCACATCGAACCGCCGCATGGGCAGCCCCTTGGCCCAACCTATGGTGAACACTCAGAGGCTTCTGATGATAGTCCTGATCATTCTTCTGTGTATAATAATATACAGCGCAACGGAAAACTCTACCTCATGGGGGGTGTTTTACTGGTAAGCATCTTTACATTCTTTTGTGTATAATCTCTTCATCTTGGCAGCCAAAACATTGATTGCTAAACAAGCTACGTCTGCCAGACGAAAGTGTAACCCCTAGCATCTGATTGTAGGCAGCTTGGTGGAAGAGTTTTTTATGTCTTGCAAGGTGGCGTCCAGGTCTCAAGCTTGAGACAGTGAAAGACGCATTCGCCCTAACAAAACCAGTGGAGTCTGGCTCAGCGAGTTACCATATTGTTTACTTTTGACATTGAACAACCTTTAGTGCTCTCAGCTGTTGCTTCCGACTTGTGTGCTGTCAATAATAAGTTGCTGTCCGGAGACCTAAGCTTTATTGCAGATTGCTGCAATCTTTTGAGTTTTAAAATGGATGTCATGCTTCTTGAAGCTGCAGAATGTTCTTTGCAGGATTAATTCCAAAGACAGAGCCACTGGTTCAAAGCTTTCGAAGGTTCAGGGGGCCTGCGGAGATCCTCAGGTTGATCTCAGTCACGTTCATCTGGATAATTTTTGCGGCAACTGGCAAAATGATTACACCGCTCGGCATCAGCTTCAAAGGCAACAATTGACTGGAGTGATAGAGAAAGGTCTGCAAGACGGTGTAACCGGGACGCCTCTTCCTGATTGGCGAAAGAAAATCCCTGAAGACGCGTTCCCCAATATACTGATCTTTGTTTGTGACAGAGAGAGGTGAGTGTTCTTCATACGGTGCTCTTGAAAAGTTTCAATCAGTAGGGCAAGGTCTTGTGTAGGTCCCAACTTGGCAAACTATGTCCACAGAAGACTCTCTTCTGAAACGAAGGAGACCTGCCAGATTCTCTTGCAGATTCTGGAACAAGGTTGGATGTAGGGATTGGTCTCGTCCGAGCTTCAACATTAAAGGATTGAAAGGAGCATCAAATCTCCTGCTCTGAGCGGTCTCGTATAATCCAGAGTCCGATCCTTAGGCATTAGAACGCAAACTCCCAAGACCCTTTTCTATGCAGCGATGGCCTTGATTGCGGCGGTATGGGAGACACCCTTTTGGGTGCCACAAGCGCGTTCCTATACGCGATTCTCTCAAAAAGGGCGCTGTTTCTATCTTGGCCAAAATACGAGTCTTCGTTTCTACCCGGAGAGATCAACTGGAAGCTCCCTAAGGGCTTCGTGCTGCCCCAGTTCGTGGCCGACCTTACAGAAGGCCGCGACGCCTCAGGCGATGCGACCGTAGAACGTCATGGAAGGTGAGTAAGGGCTTTGCCAAGGGAATCTTGGAGCTTGGAGATTGACCAAGCTAGCATATCAGCTGCACACCTCTCTCTTTGACATCATACCTGAACTTTCCGCCTCTGTCAAGCCTGCGGTCAGAAATGTTTGGTATGGTTTCAGCTCAAAGGAAAGATGACCGCTTTCATTGTACTAAGCTTGAGGAGCTGGCAAACAGTTTACAAAGGTGCTCCTCATAGAAAAGCTTGAGAAGAGGCATCCTTCCAAGGATCCGATCGGAAGTCTGATTGGAGGTCTGCCTGAACTGCAATCAAGGTCTCCCTCCCACCCAACTTTCGAACAATTATGCGCAACGCGCGCATGCTGCCGCCAAGCAAAGCCAAGCACACTGTTATGTTTTCGTTGCCATTCTCTTTTTTCTGCCGGCTTTGAGAGAATGGAGACTCGGGTCGAAGCCCAAAGAAGCACACTAAGTCCACTTGACTAAGCTTTCCTGACCTGCAGGGACGTGGTCTTAATCGATTACTTTGGTCGAGGGAGCATACCCTCAATTGAGGATCTGGACGTACAAACCGCTGGAGCGAAGATTGTAGTAGTGAGACAAAACAAAGGGTACGTGGTACCGTGGTTGCTAGCGGATGCAGGACTCCAGTCCACGTTGGGGGTCCAGGTGTCTCAAGCCTGGGGATGTCTGAACAGGTTCCTTCTTTGGTGAGTTCTCTGGTAGCTCAAGCTTTTGCTGGTTTTGAGGCGCAGTGTGGCACTTAAAAGTTGCTGACCTGTTCGCCTGATCCATCTGCTTGCCCGCGATGCTCCTACCATTTCGCTGTGGATGAAGAGAGAGGAGCGGAAAGAGCCAGGGTTGACTTCACGTCGAAGACAAGCTTTCCAGTTTGAGACCCGGAGATTTTGAGGCTGCTCGTGTTTTGGGTTGTTCACTACCAGTTAGCGTCTCGTTGCATCAGTTGCTTCTTTCAAGCCTTCTTGCGCGGCGAGATGCCGGTGGAATGCCAATATCATGTTTTGCCAGCAAGTGAAGCTTCTGGTTGGGGTTGTTGCGCAATACCAGTGTTCCCTCCGGCGCCCCTCCGGTCTGGAGGTGAATCTTGGCACGAGAGTAGTCCTGACATGCGGCTGACGCAGGCCCTCGCAACGGGACAATAACTCCAGAAGATTTTCTTCTGGCGGGAATATCCGAATAGGGAGTTGTGGCCTTCGATCTGCCGAAACGCGTATGCTTGCGCGCCCTTCTCTTGTGCAATAAGCGCGCTCGGGAAGCTCGGTGTTCAGCTTGCCCGGCCTGGTTCCGTTCCGGTTCACGGGTGCGGAACAGCCCTTGAGGAGGCGCAGATGTGTCCGTCTGATTCAAAGGCGTATTCTTCTCATTTTGCAGGGCGAACCCCATGCCAACAGCCCTAGATTTCGTTGCGCTTGGCGATCAGATCGAGTCTCAGGATGCCCTCAGCATTTGTGTACACGTGCGGCTGGGAGACGAGGAGATACACGCGAACCAATCCTTGTACAAGGACTCAGAACACGAGAGCCTGGTTGATGCAATCATGGAGTCCGTCGAGGTAAGGGCACTAGCTGACGTCAATAAGGACGGCTCGTTGCTTTCTGAGAGGCTATGGTTTCTACGTTCATCAGGCAGTCTGCCCTTTTCAGAAGTGGAATCAGAAGTACAACGACGTGACAAAATCCACACAACAAATTGTGAAAGCCTGGCCACAGCCGTGCCCCCAGAGTACGAGAAGGAAGTACAAGCGTGCAGTTTCCCTGCAGCGAAAGCTTGGGGCATAGAAAGGTTGGCGCTTCGAGGGGCCGTGGCCAACTGCTCTTGATTCGCTTGTTTCGATTCCTGTGAACTCATAGCCACGCAAGTGATAAGTTGCACGCGTACCTCAGTAAAAGGCTCCCATCATTTCGGGGAGGCGCTCTTGATTGCTTCCTTTCTGTTCGAAACGACTTTAGTGGTTTTGTAATGAAGGGTGTTATATTCAACGAACGTCGATATGTCGGCTTACTAAACTGTTTGCCTGACTTTTGCAGATCCTTGAGAAATATTGGCAAACGGAGGCGTGTTCTTCCACCAACGTCTTCTTCTTCAGCAGCTCGAACCATTTGAAGGAGATAGCAGCCGCAAGATACAAGAATGTAAGATTGGAAACCACTCGTGTTTGATTAGTGCCAGTGGAGCCGAGCCACTTTCTGTGCGCGCCTCACAGTGAAAATGTTTTCTTGTTTGTACATCAAGCATCAGCTCCCTCTAGCAATCCTCCGTCCTCGTAAGTTCTTTCATATCCTGCATGAACCAATCTCCTGAACATCACGCTACCAACGTGTATAATGCTTCAGCTCGAAGAGAAGCTTCAGCAACGAGAAGACTCGTCGTTTTACGTTCTTGGTTTGAGGCTCAAAGACGCTTCTTCTTCTGGTCCGAAAGATTGTTCTAACTTGGAGCAAATAGGTCCCCGGCCCGTCCCCCGCTAAAAACACTGGACTAACAAAGCGGAAGGTGCGGAAAGGGGAAGCGTAATTGGAGCCCACGCCTTGTAGCGCCTCCCATTTTCTGCTAGTAATTCCTGCTCATATTACTTTCAACTCGCGCGTTTGACATGAAGTCTTCTTCCTTTCCAGGTAATCACGACGCCCGTGCGGCCCGTTCACACCGGCTTGTTAGGCGTGAGCCGTCTGTCGGACGTCCAAATGACCGCAAGAGAGTGGAGCTTGTTGTCCAAGTGCAAGATGTATCTTCTTACGCAGTCCGGGTTTTCGGCGACCGCAGTTGCTAGAGGTTTACACATGGACAAGATATTTACCATCTCCTTGAGCGAGAAGTTGGTTCCATGGCGGCCGGCGCATATCCTGGACCTTGCGACTTCTTGGAGCGGGCTGTAGTGTGCAGAAAGACGCGCCAAAAAAGAAAATGCTCAGTAGGAGAAAGTGGAACCGTCAAACCACAATGTATTTCTATTTCATATATATATATAGCAATGCAGGGAGTTAACGTCACAAATGTTGAACGCGAATGGCTATCGAACGGCCCCTGCCGGCACGCCCGAGTGAAGTTTCAGCATATATACGGCATGCTGAATTGTATTGGCAAGAATACTTAGTTTCGAGTCCGTACTGCTGTGTACATTGCCGTCACGGGGTAGCTTCATGCACCCGTTGACTATGCATGCATCTATAGGAATCATTGAGTCGATCAGCCTGTTAGTCCGATGGTTCGTTGAAAGGCAACACCACGGCGTCGTGGCGCCCTCATAAACAATTACATGCATGATCGGGTTCCGCCGCCCGCTTCCGGCGCAGTTCTGGACAACGTTGCATGGCTGTAATATGTGCCGCATAAACCATCTGCGCAATATTTGCTGCACATATCGATTGCTGCGATATTGTGGATAGAGCCCGTCAGTGCGTTCGTGATCGCGCCCGGGCCATCGATTCGGATTGATTTCCCAGTGCCCCCAGCTGGCCCAAAGGATCGCACCGAACGATCTAGGATAATACACTTAAGGTCGGTTTCATGCCATGGGGCCGGTGCAGCCCGTATACCGTCACGCACATGCCATGGCATCAATCCAACTTATGCTTTGAATCCTCGATCCAGTCCGCAGATCGCGGGCCATATCCGGCCGGCTTCGACGAGGCCGCGGGTTTTAATGTGGTCTTCAAATAAAGCGTCTGCATAAAGGGCCGGGCTGGCTTGACATGCAGCTTATGAGCTTCATGGGAAAAGGTGCAGCCGCGCGGTGGGTCGCGGTGTCTTGGTCTATCAGAAGGCTGCAGCATGTGCGAAGCCCAACGAGCCGCAGCTAAGCTCGGGCTCAATATAACTTACGGTCAAAACTTCGAACAAGCGTTTCCGATTCGTTGCATCCATGGCAGACTTGCTCACATGCCCGCACGCAGATCCTCAATTAGCGCCCATGCAGTGGGCTCTCCTAAGCAGACAGGTTGACCTTTCTCGCGCTTCTCCTCCTGGTCTATACTCAAGTGGTACGTAGTGTTTCTCTTCATCGACCGCCCCACCGACGATGCCGACATCCCGGAATCCGTGATCACGAAAAAATCGTTCAAGGAGAAAAGCCACCATTCTACGAAAGTCGCCTCGAGGGCCTTGATCGGAACCGGATCTAAGCAGTCCCACTCGTAACTACAAGGCTGGCTATCGGACTTCGATTGGATGTATGCGTTTGTCGGCTTCGCATCTAGGACGTACACGTGTCGACGACCTTGACCATACACTGCGCGCGCATCCTGGCGCAGCGAGTCCGAGTCGGATGCCACGTGCCACAGGACCTGCCGCCCGCCTATCAGCTCCGCGTACCTCGTCTCAATGTCCTGCAGAAATTGGGCGCAGTTCTTGGTGTCCGATTATTTCGAAACTGTTTCAAGAACCTTGGTCTGGACCTAATGAACAAATCAGAAAGGGTACGAAGCAGGAGCGGGCGACTGGTTTCGTTTCCTGGATTTGTCAGCAGGTTTTCCAGATTCGATTGGGATGCGCGCTGAAAGTCGTTGCCCAGACTTCGGCAACGTGTGACGGACCTGAAACGCACCTATGCAAACCTGCATCATGACCCATTTCACGCAGAGCGCTGCTCAGTAACTGCTGAAGTGCACCTAGGCGTTTGCAAGGGAAAAGATGGCAGTCGAGCCAACCGGTTAAGAAGCAGCTCCGGATTCTGTTTGGCGTTTTGACAGGAACAGCTCCTTACCAAGGCGCATTGAAACGGCTCCCAATATTCCTGGACGGTTTTCTCCCCGTCCAGTCCCTTCATCGATCTGTCTGTGAAGTCTGTCCGAACGTGGATGCCGATACTGAAAGTGTTTACGTCCACCAGCATCTGCGCTTTCGGAAGCATCACGGAAGCCAAGTTCGGAATGGGCCTGCAGGCAAAAGTCCGATTTGGGCTTCGGAACTTTGCTACGAAGGATGTCCGTTTTAAGCAGAGTCGTTGCTACCCTTGATGCTTCTGCCTGTTTTCTTCCAACATTTGCCAAGTCGAGATCCATAGGGGCTGATTGAAGTGCAAAGACGTGCTCAGCTCTTACTTAGCCTCTATCAAGAGCATCTGCTAGGATCTTGAGAAGGGACCGTTTTCGTCGGAAGACCGGGAAAGCGGCCGGCGTTGACGAAATTTTGCGGGGAGAATCGCAACGACTGATTGCTGATGGAGACACTTCTGTGGTGGTTCATCTGTTCAACGCGATCGTGCGACCTACAATCGCACCACCGTTTCCTGTGGGCCCGTCGGAAAGGTTTTCGAAAGCAGATTCTCAACACGCAGGGGAATCTTCGATCGAAAACCCACATACCTTATCCTACCTGAAGAGGAAGTTGAGAGCGCAACCGTAGAGAGTGTCACGATCCAGCCCCGCTGCCAGCATCCGTACGCGGACCCGCGGCTCGTCCCACCAGAAACTGAGCACCCCCTTGTTGGTGTCCAGCAGCTCAATCTGGTGTGACAATCTGCCCCGGTCGAAGTCGCCGGTCTTCCTCACCTCGTCGTCAAGCCACCAGTCAGCTGAGAGAAGAAGCACAACAGCTTTTGAATCAAGCAGAATCTTCTCCAGTTCTTCCTAACGGCACGTAGTGAGTCAGGTTGAAGTCGCTTCTCCAGTTGATTGGCGTGACACTAGTCAGTCAGGTTCAGAAGCGCAGTGGGTCACAAACGAGGTCACAAAAAGCTGGTCAATAAATCAAAGTGGCGGCTCAAGAGGTTTTTCCTCCGCGGTGCGACTTTCAGCAACAGGTCGGCCTTTGAACCTTCAAGTGCTTTGCAAACCAAACTAGAGATTGGCTTTCAACCTGGAAAGGTTCAGCTAATGGTTGCCAACACAAAGTGGCATTATGTTGGATCGAATGTTCGCTGCGGCCCGAAAGTGATCCAGCTCACTTTGCACAGGCCTGGTGCAAGACCTTTCCAGCCTTGTCGCCGCTCTTCACAGGCACGTAGCAGAATCCAACCGAAACAAAACGAGAATACTTACCTGCCCAGATCCGGTATGGCATCTGCACGCACGACGACTGCGCCGCGCCGTCCCCGCTTTGCGCCAGGCCGCCGTCCTCCTTATCCGGCGTCAGGTCCAGGTACTCCTCTGGTCCCGTATATCGAGTGTCAATGTACGGGCTCTCGAGCACAAACCTGGCTTTCGTCCAGTACACTTGGAACACCCGCCCCGTCAGCATCGCAAAGACAAGGCTCGACACCTGGCTTGACACTGTGTCCCCCAGCCCGCCCCCGTCGCCCAAAACTCCCCGCCCTTTTTTGACGACCGCCAAACGGGGGGCGGGCCACCCGGCAGACCCGTTGTGGCTCAGAACGGTCTTGTGGTATGAAGAGTATCCGCGCCACCAGTTTTGGCAGGCCTGCTCCGCGACTTCCTCGGGCAACTGCTTCCGAGGCCGTTGCCCAAAGGCCTCGTTCAAACCCACGACAAGGGCGCTTTCTTTGACGCTCGGGAAGTCCGTGTCGGACTTGGTTGGTGGGAGAGCGTTGGTGCTTAGAGGGGTTTCAATTGGAATGGGCGCAGGTTTTGATGAGGCCCAGACTCTGCTAGCAAAATCCTCGCCCTCAGCGGTGAGCCTCACGTCGATGGTGACGATTCTCAGGAGCGAGACAGCTGCGAAGGCTAGCAAGGTGTATCGAATGACTTTGCGGCGCGGCGGCAAGCGTGGCGGGCGGAGCCTAGGGGCCATGCTCGTCCGCTAGAGAAAGATGCTGCTTCGGTCCAAGTCATACCCCTATTTGTAAAGCATGCCTAGGGGTACCGTCTCTGAGGGAAGTGCAAACTGTTTTGGTTATCTTATCTTGCTAAGAATGCAAAACAGGAGCTTAGGTTCATGTTCAGGGGCCGTCCTCATACTCAAGAAGCTCCTTCGAAGCTAGAGCGCTGTCAGACAAATGCTGAGATATTACCGTCCCAGGCAAAGCTGGTTCCTAGAAGAAGTCCATCGCAACTGCGTCGCGGATGGAAGCGATCACACCATGATGCTCTAGCTCAGGAAAGTCTAATTAAGGGAGGCGGCCGTGCAAATCATACCCCACGTGCGCCTTTGCATACGATGGTTCAGAAACGCTGCAGAGTAGCTGACAGACGGTCAAGTGGCACAATGCAGCAGCGACGGTCAGTAAAAGAGTTCTAGGGTTTCGAAGGCAGCGGTCTCCAAGATTCCTGAGCCCCTGTTTCGGAGATGGTATGGGATGCTTCCGGCAGATTAAGCGGACTCCGGATCGCCTGGAAGACTCGGTCTCTAACGTGCGGAATGCCTACAGCTTGCCGGATCGCCAGGCCACCGGCAGATGGGCCTTAGGTGGCGCCTGTAACTCTCTGGGGGCAGCTACTACCTACCTAGAATCTTAGTACAGCCGGCTCTTCGTGTCTTGTAGCAGATTTCGCACCAATTACTGCTAGCTAGGCGATAACTTAGAGTAAGTCCGCGCCTGCACATGGGCACAGTTCTCCTGGCTGCAGTGCCCTGATTGCGGCATGTCGAAGGGCCTCCTGTGAATCGCATTTGGGTTCATATCCTACATCTTTCTGCGCTCGGCTAGCTCAAATTATCGATCACTCAAAGCTGCAGTGAGGTCGGAGCGAAGGTCCGCGGGGGGGTCAGATTCAAACCACATTCACGGAGGGGTTAAGGCCTGCCTCCTTTCCGAAATTGTGGCCGGATCTGTGGTACCTACTTCGAGTTCTAGTTACCGGTATGCCCGGCTCCGACGAACACCTTGATCGTTAGCCGGCGCAGAAAGATACCTAACCTCAGGGCTACGTAACCCGAAGTCAACGTACACTCGCATATATAATTAGGTTTTGCTGGTAATAAGCGGTCGCTGTCGTACTGCTTATACCGTGTAGATACCGGTACCTACTTCGGTTTTTTAGCGTGGGCAACGCGCAAAAGCTAATCGACCGCGGAGTGCCACTCGAAACATTCAACCCGGTAAAAGCCCTCCGGGCTCCTACTCCAAATCCTTCATGCCGGCCAGGACCAGGAATGTGCCTGGAAGAGTCTACCCGGCCGGCTAGCGGCGACAAAGTGGCAGTCATCGATCACTGCATGGAATTTCATACGCGTGCGCGGCATACGCATGTGTTGATAATGCGAGTCGCGACATTTGCTCCGCGCGCATATACTGAGATTAAATCGGTCATACAAAAGGCATACGCCGGCAGTACTTGGCCGAGATCATACCGTACTAAAATTTACTGACTCAGAACTACTTAGCTGGAACTTAGTCGGAGAAAGTGCCCCGGGCCGACGGGGTGACTGTCTCGGAAAGTGCCGCACTCGGTGCTAGTGACTGTCGGCGTTCACGGTCTGGGCGAGCCGTCACGACTCGCTCTCCGGCGCTTGCCAGATGGCAATTCTTCGGACAACCCGAAGGAGGCGGAAATTTGAAAACCGTCGTCGCGCAAACCGCCGCCTTAAATGAATCGGGTTGTACGGACGTCCCGGCCAATTGTGACGGCCGTGCGGCGGCGTGGAGTCTGGCCCGGCATGCAGCCTGGGCCCTGGGGCCTGGGGCCTGTACGCTGTAGCTTGTCGTCGCAATATCCGCCTGTCGAAAGTACGGACGTCCCCGGGAGTGCAGAAGCGGCAGAAACAGCACCCACTTGAGGAAGTGCATGGCTACCGTAGTACCTACGGTACGTACCGTCACTCGTGGCATTGGCAACGAGCTGCACAGTACAGTGCAGACTGGTGACTGCGCAGTGTCCACCGTGTTCACCATGTCCACCGCAGTACCTAGCGCGCTACAGCCTAGGCCTACCAAAGGGCCTGTTGCAAATAAAGTACTGTTTTATGTAAGAGGACTTGTACACCCGGAAGCTTACGCAGGGTAATCATCCGTATCGTGGCCTGGAGGCAACCGGGCCCTCCCTCTGAAATTAGGGTCTCGCGAGCAGCCGGGTGACAACTGGGCCCTCCGAGTCCCTGTCCTGTCCCTGTGATATTAGGGTCTCGCAAGCAACCGGGTGACAACCGGGCACTTCCCAGTGACATTAGGGTCTGTCGGTCACACCACCCAGCTAGGTTTTTAGTTTTGCCCGGGGCCTCAGCCATCGACTGATCCTCTACAGTCTCCCAAACTTTACTCGTCAACTTTGTAAGTCCCGTCAGGTACGGACCGTGCCTAGTACTGAAGCTTTATTTCAGCCGTACTTGACGCTACTGTCAGAACCTGCATGCACTTTACAAGACCGATTGCCCGTTTGCCAGTTGGCGCCTTCCGGTGCACTCTTCGCAAAGATCAATCTACCACTAGAGTCACGACTCACGAGGGCCAGGGCTCATACCTATATACGTATTACTACCTAATATGATTGATGGATGAGAATATTACGAGCGCCGGTAAGAAGTCGGTTGGGCCGTTTCCCATTCTCCGCAGACTCCAGAGTCATGGGTCCGAGCCTTGCAAACTCTTTCAAGTTAGTCCGGTATTAGATCGGAAACGAATGGTGTTCGATATTAAAAGCAAGCAAGAAAGTGAGTTTTAAGAGGCGATAAAGACGCGGGTTTAGAGAATCTGTCAAGAGCCTGCTGAGTAAACCTATAAGCATTCCCCCCGTCTCTCCCGCAAAACATGTAAGGCGAGAATGGGCGGCAGGAAACGACCGTACACGGCGATGAGCTCGACCAGAAAACGGAAGGGATGCCCTCGGCATGATCTCTAGCTGCCGCCGTGCCGGTATGCGGGCCGGTATGATGATGAGGTTGTTTGTACCGTACGGTGGTTTCGATCAGCGTTTCCGAGTCGCCAAAGGGCATGCGCTGATCGACTTGAGGCAAATTGACCGAGCACGAATTTGTTCGTTGTTTGCTGCGTGAATGCTCTGAATCAGGATCCGATATCATGGTTTCTTTCGGGATAGCTCAGTACTCCTGTAGGGCCACTAGCCCGAGTCTGTCGAAAATCATGGGAAGGACGCACCGATTGGAGTAGGATTGCGTCGAAAGGTTTCGACCGGAGAAACAGCAGTGTCGTATTTCTTAGGCGACGATGCTCGGGCCTCGATTTTATTACGATGTTAAAGTCAGCATACTAGCTTAGAGCTGTAAAAGGAAGGCCCGAAGAGGAGGGAAGCCGGGGGCAATTTGAATTAATCGGTCGAGAAGCAATGGCAGCACCTCCTTATACTCAAAGGTCAGATCAGCGGGCGCCAAATTTTGCCCGTGCAGGATCCTCTTCCTGAAAGAATCATGGTAAAATTGGGTGCTACAGCTGCGGTAGGTAAAATCGACAACAAAAATATGGACCGATTGACAATTGGTAGGACTACTACTTTCAAGTTGTTCCTTGAAATGTGGTTCTGATCTGCTTTGCGCACTGCTGACCAGCGAGCATGTTCATCAGCTGCCGCGAAAAGCTGCCCCTGCAAAAAGCGACGAGTCTACCTTTACATCTGGTTCCCCCTCAGGTTGCCATACTGCATCGTACAGCCAGCTCAGGAAACCTGATGCTTGCATTGCAGCAATCACTTCGGAAACAAAACAGATAGGAGCCATCAAGTAGTCACTCGCGGCTGGAGGACTGCCGATGTGGAAGGATTCAGTTATTCTGCTGAGGAGAGTATTCGCCGCGTAAACATTCAGGGGTGGCCCATCCGAGCAGCTCTCCTGTGCTGTGGTTGTGCTATTTGCGACTCTACATTCACCAAGGGCGTTAAAGAGGTCGGAGGCCTACTCAGGATTCGACACAAGGTGAGACGGCAGGACTACTGAATTGATGGCTTGACCATTGCAGCAGTGACTGGGATACACAAATCATTGATGTTGTGTATTGTACGCTTTCATTCTTTTCACAGGTTGCATTGGCCCCTGGGCGAAGAGGGGTCCAAGAATAACAGAGAAGAGGCCCAAATCTTTGGGGAGAGATGGCTTGTTGGCAGCTTGCAGTGATTGATCCTTTGTGCATTTCTCGCCTCTCGTCTCTCTGGGAAAACATGTGTCCATTCTTTGTGCACCATGGGAATCAGGATGCTTCCAATGAACAAAGGCCATGAACAGAGGTTGCCAAGCTTTCAGTTACTCGTCCCCCCCCCCATTTCATTGGCCACTGTTGCTCTGATTGATTGCTGGTTTGCCAGAAAGCATCAATGGATAATACAGTCTCTACCGTTTTGCTTTTGTGGACTGCATCCTGTTCAAAGATTACTTAGAGAACCTGTTAGGTTGGAGCTGTGTCTACAAACCAGGGGTTTCAAGGGGTTTCATCCAGCTCCTCAACGAAAGTGTAACCTTATTGAACTTTCTCACTGCAGCCAGCCTTGCTCAGCCCTTCTGAGATATTCAGGAAGAGGAGTGAAGAGCCCGTTCTCTCTACCCAAATGCCCAGTGAACGACCCACACCAATGATGTGACAGTATCCTGTGCAGGTGGGGGATCCCTTACTTGAAGGACCATTCCTCAGAGGCTCAGACATCAAAGCTTCCTCTTGGCATCGGGCTTGCTCAGGTGAGACTTACAAGACTCCTATCTTGTCATGTTATTGATTGAGTTCCAAAAGGAAATTCTACATGAAAGCATTCTTTCTTGTGCACAGTTTCCAGATTCTGACAGACTCCATTATTGTCTTGAAGAAGCAAGGCTCTTATGGCAAAGATCAGATAGGTACTACAAGAGTGCATTATTGTCCTAAGAAAGCCCTGGCTTTGGGCTGTCATATTTCTGGGTTGCCCAGTGACCAAATGTCTTCACTTCTTTGTTTGAAAGCTTCAGGGTGGGAGCTCTGAACCAGACCCTTTTCAAGCTGGATTTACTGATTGCAGGCCAAACAGAACCTTCATGAGAGTTTTCTGGGTTCTTTCTGTTGCTTTGACAATTCCATCAGTGCTCCTAAACTTGACCTTCCTGTTGCTCTAAACCAACTCAGTGAATGAGGAAGCCCCCAAATCCCTTCTAACACTTGGTTCATGTAGACCCTGTCAGTGGCAAATTCAGGGAGCAATTTGCATGTGACCACATGTTGGAACAAGGAGACTCGCTCAAAGCTTTGCGGGTTGGGGGCTTTTGAGATAAGGTGCTAGAGTATTTGACTTTACTCTTTGGCATTGTGCTCAACTTAGCCCACAAAGATTGCGTATGGAGCCTACTCAGTCTTTGGGTTGGAGGCACTTGGAATGAGATTCAGATTGCACTTCAACTCTGTGCACAGAATTGAGAGAGACATTTTCAGATCAGTGTTCCAGGTGTCATTAACTTATTGGCTATTTCTCGTTCCTACATGGTCTGATAAGATTAGTTCCTCGGCTTTTCTCTCCTTGCAGGATCATAGCATCTCCATCTCAGAGTGGTTAACGAGGCTGAGTAATGTTTCAAATCCAAGCAGGGCCCAAGGCAATCGTTTTGCAGGTGTCTTTTACCTTCGCTGGTCTCTGGTTTCTTCTGACCCATGTTGCTGCCAATGGAGTACTTTCCATGGCTGAAATCCATGTTATCTCTGACTTGTCCTTCAACCATCTAACTGACACTGAACATTGCAAAGTCTATCTTCAGAGTCTCTGAACTTTGCACACTCTTTTTCCAGGTGAATCGAAAGCCCAGTCACGAAACTACAATGGCGCTCATCCGTACACTCTTCGTCATCCTGGCCTTCCTTAGCCACGTGTCCAGCACTCCCCTTCACGAGCCTGACACCGACGTCATCCGCCAAGGGAGCCGGAAGCTCTTACAGCTGCCCTCCCCTCCCCCAGCCCTACTCTCCCCGACCAACCCCAAAACCTTCATCCTCCCCTCCCCCCCCCCTGCTCTAACTCTTCCAGCTACCCCCCCAAGCACCATCACATCTCTCCAAACCGCCCCCGCACCAACCCCAGCTTACTCCGTCATCCCGCCCCCTCCTATGCCGATCCCCACGGTCAGTGAAGTCAGCACCGAGTCACCCATACTGGTCGTCACTCAGGCCCCCGCTGCCAACGTCATCGCCGTCAGCAGCCCGGCGCTGATCGAGGTTCCGGGCCTGCCAGGGGCGTTTCAACCGACGGACCACTCAGAGCTTCTGCGCACGGTCAGGAACCTGAATTCAGAGCCCGGTACAGCCGAGTATGAACAGTGGTTCACGACCCCCACACCAGCAAACCTGGGCGGTGTATCACAGGTGAGGAAATGTTGCGGCTGAAATCGACGATAAACCTTATCCCATGGCCCAAAGCATGGTAAAGTCCAGATGTTTGCGTCAACAAAAGAATAAGAAGCTAGGGCAGCTGCTTGTGACGACACTTATGTCTCTGCTTCGTTCTTTGCTGAAGACAGTTCGTTTTGTTAGTGCCACATACTTAGAGTGAGGGTTCAGTGATCTAGTTTGAACCATCGAGTGAGATACCTTTGGCATGAGGTAAGTGGCGCAGAAACGAAAAGTGAGAAGCGAGAACTGATCTTTTTCTCACAATCTTTCTCTGGGACTGCAGTTTCCCCCGGTGCTGAGGTTTTCCAAGAGCGCCTCTCTGACGGTACCATTCGAGCTCGATCCAGCAACAGCCGCTCTCTGCGGTCCCACGTGCACCGCTGTCTGCCAGGTAGGCTGCCACGTGTCGGCTTGCAAGTGGCTGTGAGGGCGCTGCCTGTAGATGCACTGTTCATGAAGGGCGACCTGCGATCAAACATGCCATGCGCCAGCATCAAATGACTTTGCGTGATCCGATGTGTTTGGAAACTTCGTTACAAGATTCTGAACCACGAAATTGAACATTGCAGACGATACGTTCGCCAATCATGTCAGGCTTTGTTTCCCTCCTTGACAAACACAGCAGCTGAAGTTGTCCACTTTGCCAAGTCTTTTTTCATGGTTAGTCCTCAAGTAAAATAAAGCGATCGACTCTTCTCGAAGTGGAAGCGCAAACGTCCATAAAACCGTGTAGCAGACCAGTTCCCTAAGGTATTTTTCAGGTAACTAATTCACTCGGTTCGTCTCTGCTACTTCCACAAACAGCCCTCAAACCAAGTCTGGTTACTGCTAACCCCTGTTCCGGACGCATATTCCAGGTCGATGACGCTGCTCCCGAGCCCTGTGGCAACACCCGGGCGACCTTTGAGACGACCGGTCTGGACGACGGCGACCACAGGGTGACGGCTGCCTTCTATTCGGCCCCCGGCGCGTCAGCCCCGGTCGCCCTTCTCAGCACCTTCGTCACTGTTGGTACGACTTTGTCGCGCCCTTACGTTTCAACTTGACTTTGGATCGATCACATTCGAGGGGTTAATGGACGAATTCAGTTCTCAAACGTCGATACCAACCGAGCGCAAATTCAGTGGTACTTCAGACTCAAGAAAGTTTGCCAAAGCCTCGAGGACACGGTTCCGAAAGCGAAGGTTTCGAGGTTTTGCATTCCCTTGTCTTTTCAACGTCTTCCAACTTTCCGACGGTAGCTTGCATAACCTGAGAGCTTGTCAGCTTTCCTTTCGAGTACGAAAAGCAGAAGTGTAAGTTCGGTTCTATGACAAGCAAACGAACCGCTCGAAGGATGGATTGGAACATCATTCACAAAGCAAACCGCCCACCTCCTTCTGCAGACACGACCCCCCCCACCATCTCCATCGCCCTCGAAGCTGACGTCAGCGAGACGCCCAAGATCTTTGTCGACGCCAGCGGCGAACGTCAGACCGTGTTCATGGCGTGGGATTCGCAGGAGCCTTGCCCCGGTTACGCGGTTGCCAGCGAACCGGTCGGCCTCCTGACGTCAGACGCTTTTAATCTGGAGAACGCGCGGTTGGTCAACTTCCGGGAGGACACGTCAGCAGCCGGAAGGCGCCGGGCGCTGCTTCAGGCGACCGGGGATTTGCCCTCCGGTCCAATCGCCTACTCTTTCCAAGTGAGTTTGAAAGCAGAGCGAACTGAATCAGCTACGGATTAGAGGGACTCGTCGCGCAGACGTTATGCGATCTGGTGAATGACGAGAGAGAAACTGGAAGCGATAGCTTATTGGCGGCAAAGGCGCTCTCGCAGTGCTCGCTTTTTCTGCACATCCTAGAAAAGCATAGCTGGTGCTCGAAACGAGTGGATGAACCAAGTCCACGAATTTTGCAGAGATAGCGACCTCCCTTGACGTGTTTTCGCTCTGTCCTGCAACTCCCTTTTGTCGTACAGCCCGCTTGATCTCTTGGGATTTCTGCTCACAGACTCTTCCGCTCCTTCAGATGCCGACCACTTGTCGCCCTGGACTGTCAGACTCCTTTCATCTCTGACAATCTCCTTCCCGTCGAGACTCTCTCTCCGGCTGGAGCCCAGCAATTTCCTCAACAACCAAGTTCTTTGTTTCACCTGAGGAGCCCTTGCTGACGTGTACTGACCCCCCGGCTGATGCAGATCGTACCGATCGGCACCGGCCCATTGCTGATCAGGATTGGCGTTAACCCGGCCAACGTTTTCGACCGGGCAGGGAACCCTCTCCAACTGTCTGCCGCGTCGTCGTACGTCTTGTATCACGGTTAGTGGGCCTAAACCCGCTGGTTAGGCGTTCAACATCATCAGATTTTCTCTGGGTTTTGTTGCCTCCCCCGTTTGAAGATGTAAAAGAATCGCAGACCTCATCCCTAACCCTTATTCGATTCTGACCCACCTCAATATCCAAATCTTGATTGACCCCGAATCGTCAGTTCTCTAAATATCGACCTTAAGAGCGTTGATTGAGCAGGCCTCTGAGTCAGAATCCAACGGGGCGGTATCTCGATTCTACAACCCCTGTGTAACCCGCTTTTAACTTGATGCTTGTCTTCTGCCCCGGGCATATACGGCTGCCCCGACCGCCCTTCTTCGATCAGCTGGTGAACAAAGGTTGTGCGTCAACTCAATACAGAATCGACAGCCCCTACCTTAACCCACTGTTGAGTCTGCGCTAACCCTCTTCTAACCCTATGATAATCTCCTGTCCCGGGCAGATTCCGCTCCTCCGACCGCTTTCCTTCAGCTGGTGAACAAGGACCCGAACGGCGTGGTCGCACTCTCGACGGAACCCGGGGTTTCCCGTGACCAGGAGGTGACGCTCGTGCTGACGTTTGACAAGAAGGTGTTCGGATTCGACGCAAACACGATGGCTATCACTAATGGCACGATCATTAGGTGAGTGGAAAATTCGTTGCAAAGAAAGAGGTTCTGCATCCGCATCAGAGGAAGTAAAAATGCGTTGTTCCGCTCCGTTCCGCTCTGTTGCTGGCCCGGCAAGGCGGAAAGTCCGGCCGCTTCCTTCTTGATCACTCAAACACTTCTCGATTGACTTTAAGCCGGTGAAACTTTATTTGAAATTGGTTTCTTGTCGTTGCAAAGTGGCGGGAAACCTTCTAAGCACTTTCCAAGTTTGGATTGCTCTCGAATTAATATAGGCCGGTTGCAGGACACGAGGCTTGCGAACGGTAACACGTGGTCCCGTTCTCGCTGATATTGAGGAAGATTCCGGACCCCATAATATCCCTTGCCCATTGAAAACGGGCTTCTCCTGTCAAACCCGCAAAGCCCAGGCTTTGTCATCCGGGCGCGCACGGCTGGTCCGAACACTCCCACGGCGGACGGCTTTTCGTACGTCCGAACAGAACTTTACGATGCTCCAAGATGCACTCAGCAGTTCTGCCCTGGTTACAGCCTGGTTACCCAGTAGTCTAACTTCAAACCCGACGTTTCGCCCAAATCCTTCCATATGCGCTTGTGTGCAGGGCTGGACCGAACGCTGCCTCTTCGTACGTCCTGACAGAACTTTTCAAGATGCTTGCAGCCAGTGATTCTGCCCTTCTTACCGCCCAACTAACCCAGCAATCTAGACCTAACCCGAAAACCTCACGTGCGCGCGTGCAGGGCCGGTCCGAACGCTGCCACAGCGGACGGCTTTTCGTACGTCCTGACGGTTCTCATCGACCGGAAAGCCAATCTCGTCATCCAAGTTCCTGCCGACAGCGCCTTCAGTATTGTGGGCACCGGGAACACTGCGTCCAATCAGCTGCAAGTGCTGCACTGTGAGGAGCCAATCCAAGCGCTCCACGTGTCACCAATCCGCGCCTTTGGAAGTTTGTAATTTTGCTGACGACCCGCTTCGAGTGCTGTTTGCCAAGGATCTCGCATCGTTTCCAGTTTGTCCTGGATGCGACTCCGCGCTTGGCAAACCCTTCGAGCGTGGCTGCGATATTTGAAATCAGATCCTGTGGAAGAGCGTTCAAAGCGTCCGGATTTGCCCAGACCTAGATCAACATCAGATAAAGGTGACAGAGACCCGATGAGACTATGGATTTGGATAATTGAAGTAAAGCGAGATGAAAGGGCTTTGATCAATTACCAATCAGTATTGACACTTAGTTATTCAGCAGCTAAATCGATGAAAAAGTCTGCAGATTATCAAATATCAACTATCAATATCAATGACCGCGTATATCTTAGTATCTGTCCAAAATGGTTCTTTGTCCCCTGCAAGAGCCCGACACCTTCCGATCTTTGCAGACGAGGTCAACAAGGGGCTTCAGACCGGAATCCGCGCCGTTGCGGTCGCTTCCGTGGGGGTCATGGCTGCTGGCGGAATCATGCAGCAGTCTTCGAGCCTCTTGATCGTACGTACTCTCAGCACATTCGTCGTCTGCTTCAGTTGCTCTTTAACGCACCTGTCACGTATCTGGAGATTCCTTTGTTCATCATGCTTAAGCATAAGAGTTGCAAGTGACTAGTGATTTTGAAAGCCAAAGCCCGATTTCTCACATGCAGATACTTCGCAGATGCTCAGCTAAGACTCTCCGGCCACGTGTATCGATTTCGTCTCCTCGTTTCACTGCAGAATGTCGCCTCCAGCCTCAGTCTATTTGCCGCGCGTCAGAGCCTCGACGCTCCTCTGCCGACCCCCTACATCGACGCCAGTTCCGCTCTCGCCTTTTCCCTTTTCCGCTGGCCTAGCCCCTTCGACGGAATCGCCCACGACAGCCCCATCCCCTACACGGACCGCCCCCAGGCGCTCGGTTCCGGTGTTCCGGCGAACGGAATCCTCGCTGCCACGAGCGAGCGGAACCGGCGGGCGCTCCTCCAGGCGGTGACGCTGCCCGCCAACGGAACCAGCGGAACGGTTCCGGCCAACACGAAGCTGCTGAACCAGGCCCGTCCGAGGACGTTCTATTCCGGCGGAAACGTGTCGTTCGAGGCGTCGCCTGCGGAATACAGCAAAGAACTGAGCATCAACTCGCTCAGCTTGTTCCAGCAGCCAGGACACAACGGGTACGAGCCTTTTTCAACTCGTCATCGTTTTGACTCGTTATTATCTCCATCTATCTAGTAAGTGTTGAGAACAAGCTGATAGCCATGCAGGTTAAGCTGACCGTGGTCGAACGGTAACGTCAAAGAAAAGCAACGGGCCGTCCGTTTCCGCGGCTTTGCAACCCTTCCGATCCTAGCAGATTCCGCGCTTGCAGCTGGCTTCTCTTCTTTGACTTACACCCTCTTGCCACGTGGCTTTCTGGCTTGTCCATGATTGGCCTCTTAACCGAATCTGCGGTTGCGCTGCAAACCGGGCACTTGCTGCGGAGAGGGCGACCAGCGTTGCAGATCCGCCGCTCGTTACATTCCACTCATCTTATTCCTTCATACAGCCAAATTGACCAGCCGTTCACATCTTCGTGTGCAGACTCCGCAGCCTTCTCCGCGTCATGTTTTGGGTCACGGTGATCCTTTTCGCGCTCTGCGTCCTGCACCTGCTCAAGGGCCCGCTGTCCCGGTGCCTGGGCAAGAACGCGTCCCCCGCTTTCCTCGCGTTCCCCGCCTTGGAGCTGACCTTCTTCTCAATCGCGATCGTCGGCCTCGGCTACGTGGCACTCGGGGCGATCGTGGGTGAGTTTCCGGGGGACACGTGGCGCGCTGTAGGGTCGCGGTTCTCTGCCGTAGCTGCTGAACCTGCGTAGACCAGGTTCTGAAACGATTCTCAAAACCGTATTCGCTCTAAGAAAGTCTCAAGGAGAAAAAAAGGCTCCAAATCGCGAGGCTGAAAGGAAAATCTGTCTTTCTTATGCGCGTTGTGTGTGTCTTATCGCAGGCGCTTCCCCTTGGGGGATCACTCTGGGCCTGCTGGTTCTGATGGTGATCCTGGGCTTCTTCCTCTTCGTGCTGTCCATCCTGGCACGCCACGTCATGATGGTAAGTGCTAACCTAATTAGTAACTCAAACCCGGTTCTGGACTGGTGTCAGGTTGATAATGGTTGCAAGCTGAGTCCCGGTTTGTTTAACCAACTCATCGTTCTCAGAGTCGTCGCCGATCGATTGCTGGATTGAGAGTTCACGATTCAGTCAGCTTGGCACTACCACTCGTCTCTGCTGGGGGGTGTATGGCAGATTGAGTTCGTTGAACGTGTACTACGTAGCTTCTCCATGTGTAGGCTGCGTTCTAAACTGAGAATTGAACATGCATCAAGCAGACGGCATATCGAAACGTTATGTTTGTGTGTCCAGGAGATGAGAGGACTTCAAAGCCGACGTTCAGAATACATGCAGTTGGGACTTGCCCCAATCCTAAAGCATTACCTAAACGATCCTGACATACTTCTTCCGCGGTTCAGAGCAAGTCGGTCGCCTTCGTCTCCGAGCAACACCGCGCGGGGGGGGGCCTCGCCGCCTGGTTCCGTGCCCCCTTCCGCGGCACCTGGGAGCCGGTGGACTCCGAGAGCGGCGACCTATTCCTGGCGAAGTACGGCTTCTTCTTCTCCGACTACTGCGGCCGCCCGTCCGAACTGCTCAGTATCGCTCCGCACCTCTCCGTTTCGACATCCCGCAAGGGCGCCCCGAGCGGCCTCTCTTTCAAAGGCGGACCGGTGGAAGACGCCGAGGGCCTGCTGACCGGGGGATCCCCCCCGATCGCCGAAGCCCCTCTCGAGGGAACCCCCAAATCTGTCGACGACGCGGGAGCGAAGTTTATCGACATCGAAGAAGCGAAGGAGCCCGCGCTCGGAGAAGCCAAGCCCCAATCGCCCACCCGCGGTGACGTCAGCAACGAGGCGCCCGGTAAAGTGGTGCGGGTTCGCCGTAGGCTGGGGAACATGGAGTTCGCGTATTACACCAAGCCCAAGTCATCCAAGAAGCTGCTCGAGGCCGCGCCCGGAATTCCCGCGCCGGGGACAAAGCTGCTCCGCAGCCAGAGCTCGCGCACGGTGCACCGCGTCGGGAAGGTCGGCGTGGGCGCGCACCTGCGCCCCGGGTGGAAGATGATGTACCTCCTCGTCGTGGTGAGTGAGCGAGAAAGGGGACGAGGCTAGCGAAAACGAAGTCTGAAGTCTGTCAAAGATCTGAAATGCGAAAGTCTATCAAGGATCTGAGATGCGAAATCTGACCACGCTCGAAATGCCCTTTACTTTTTGCAACAGTCATATATGCAATATTCACATCCAAAGATGATGTACCTCCGTGTTTCGACACGTCTCACTAATGCGAGCCTGGCCCCTAATCCATCCATTTGCCCACTTCCATATATAAAGACCTGAGAATCAGTCGCTGCCAAAGTTGTCGAAACGATGTAAGTGCATACTGGCTTGCTAGCAGCCGGTACGTTTGCACGATTCTTTTCTGACCAATGTCGCACCGCCACGTGTCCAGGCCATCGAGGCCGCTCTGCTGGGCGCCACGTACGGAGTGCGCGCGTCCTACTGGCAGCTCTGCTTCCTCGTCGCCATGCGGGCGCTGCTCGTCATCGTTCTTTTCCTCCTTAAGGTGACGTCACGAACCACTCTCGTGACGTCAGAGCCCCGATATGAACTTGCACAGACCGCAACGAGTATCGTGCAGGAGGTGATGTCGGTCGCAAGTTTATGGTGGTTTGCGCTTCAGTGCGTGCCTTCAGTTGACGAGTTTTTCCGCGGCCCCTAACTCGAATCCTTCAAATGACGTCCCAGTTAATCCCGGAGGCTAGCTCTCCCTATAGATAGGATTGCACCCAAGAAAAAGGGGAAGCAACAGACTCCAAATTCCCGAAACTTCGCCACGAAAGCTACTGACTACTCTTTAAACGAGTCCTCACATTCTAAGCGAGTCGTCTCCGTGTGAGCATCTAATCGACCTTGCAATAAGACTTGCAGGCGGACTGAGTGAAACTCGCCACGTCACATTACGCGAATACGTCGACCCAGATGCTAACCCAAATTGTCTTGGTCGTCCAACCGTTTGTGATCCAGCTAAACCAAGTGCTAACCCAGATGTTAACCCATATCGTCTTCCTCGTCCAGCCGTTCGTGGTGGCCACCCTCCAGCTGGCGGAGCTGTTCAGCTGCGTGTGCGAGCTGGCTGTCGTCACGCTCGCGTTCGCTCTCGTCATCAAGCAGGACGTCAGCCCCGAGGGCCGGCTGCGCAAGAACGAGGAGGCGCTCGGCTACACCATGATCGCGCTCCAGCTGCTCGCGGTCTTCAGCAACGTCGTCAACACGTGAGCGCGCGCGCAAAACCGCAAACCCTCAAACCCCAGAAAACTTTAAAGCAGAACTCAGAAGTGAAATCGTGCAAAGAACTAGGGAAAGACTTCGTGAGCGCGCGCAAGCGCGCGCTTTTTGTTGGGGATGCTGTCTCGTAAGCGACTTCGTTAGTGTCTGCTGACAAGTCAATACCTTGAAGGAATATGGTCCTACACTATAAGGCCCGCAGTCAGTGCAAGGAGTTACAATCTTCTTTCCCAAGAGAAGTTGATACGAGGAAAAGCGTTCTTGGTTGAGAGCGGGTTTGACGACGCCTTTCCGCTGCAGGCTCGTCTCGTTGACGCTGAAGGCCGTGGCTTGGTTCCGAGGCAAGGCGACGGCGCTCCCGGTGCACTTCTAGCGGGTTCAGCGGGAGCAGGACTTGTGGCCGGGGACCACGGACTTCTAGTGATTCTCATGGGATTAGCAGAACTTGTTTGGAAATATCACCCGGGTTAACGATCAACCACCAGCTCGGTGCTTGTGCCTTGCGGGTAGATGCGGGTTACGAGTTGCCGGGTTTCTGCATGTAGACTCTCGTCGCTTTCGGAGTGCAGGTTTCAAAACCAGCACAAGATAGTCGTCTTTTTCGTATTGTGCAGTCACGAACTCTATTGTTTGTCTAGTTGATTGCTTGTCAACTCGGAGGTGGGTCAAGGGCCTCGGTGGCTTTAGATTACTAGGGCTCTCGAACTTGCATTGGTTTGTTGTTGCGTCAAGTTTGTTAGATGGTGTAGAACTGGCAAGACGAGAAACGAAGGACATCTTAAGAGGCCGGTTCGTACTAGTCTCAATATAAACTCTTGGGAGAAGTCAAAGTGTGCGACACAGCCGAACGATGAGGCTGGGACATCAATTTGAAAGTACAAACGATTAGTAGGCAATGATTGTTTCAGCCTCGGTACTTGTTTAGTTGTTAGATATTCAGCTTTTGCCCAGAACCTTCCCTTTCGGACTAGATGAAAATAAAGTAAATGGCCTGGGAAGCTCGACTTAACGACGATTCCACTTACGAAGGCCTAAGACTGACAATATGGAGAGTCCATGATGAGGAGGGCTTGCGGGTAAAGGACGTGTGGTCAGACCAAAGTGGTCGAAAGTATAATTTACCTCTAGGACGTCAACTTAGGCAGTCGGGTTTGTGACCAGACAATATAGTGACAATGCCCACAATGTAAGGGTACTTTCAAGTTTGTGAAAGGATTTGGGTCAGTTAAAGGAGAGACCGGATTCTTGATTGACTATAGTTATCAAAATGAATCAGCCTGCATAAACGCAGGCCGAAGGAATTGGCATACGTTCGACTCATGCGGCGTTGAGTCTTGCGCGAGTCTGAACCTTGCATGCGGAATCTCGGGTTTGTCCATTCAACAAACTACCAGCTGATTTGTGGGAGATGTTGTGCTGCTATTCGAAGACCTGGTCGTTAGTGCAATTAGAAGGTTGGAGCGCGGGCTTGTGGCCAATTGATCTAGGGCGAGCTGACTTCCGGTAGGCCCCGTGCCGCGCCTTAGGTCAGGCCCTAGCAGCTGGCGGCGCCGCGCATGTTAAAAGCTTGACTTTACATGACAGCCGCGACACTTACAATGAAGTCATCAGGCCATCATTGAACACGGTTATATGTAGCTCTCAGATTATAGAGGGATGATCCGACGCGTTTGGATCGATCGACCATGACATGCTGCAAGCGAATCATTTAAATCAGACCGATCGATCTTAAACATGCCCGGAAATACTCAGTATAAATAAAATTGTTGACGATCGAGAGCGACTCCACATGTGCAGTGCTAGATAGTAGATATCGCACATGGCGGCACGTACAAGCGTTCCCACGGCTGCATGAGCTAGCATGCTATCATACGCATGTGCAGTGACTGTGCATGTATGATGAGTTATGCGCATTTGTGTACTGATTGGACGGTTATGAAGGGTTAACTGAAAGGACTCGAGTGCCGTTTTGGTCAATTTCCAGCGTCGCATGCGGTGCGGCCGCCTGCAGTTCAGGCAACACCTCTGTTTTCATCGATAAGAGTTGGCCGGACCCGTGTATCAAACGGTGGGAATTAGGCAAACCCAGCAACCATCCAATCCGCGCACTAGTGACCCGCTATAGCTTTAAGACATCTGAGTCTTGTCGCGGAATCTGGATTCTGAGTTGCATGATCATCTCACTAAGATGACGAAAGATTTGGATTTACGCGTTGACATCCGAAGCTCAACTCTTTGGCCTTTTCAGTTCCGAATTGACAAAACGCGAATTACCAATGTATCATAGTCGGAGGCGTGACAGCATATGACGTACGCTGCACGCCGGCCCATGTTTGCACACGGACATGGGTTGATGACGGAAAGATAACCTAGAGATCACCCAAAAGGGGGCGGATCCACCTCGAATATACCCACAAGTATCCACGTCTGGACATTTCGGCCAATTAGACCTGAGAGTTACCGACATCAAGGTTTGCGCTGCCATTGTCCGGCCTAGTGCCCGTTTCATCAGGACTGACACCCTATGTACACCAAAAGCAAAGCGTCAGAGTGGCAGCTTCTTGCCAGTCAGCCCTTTCCAAGCCATCAAATAGTATGTACTCTAAGCAAGCACGATTAAGACTGATAGCAGCCCATCTGTTATATCAACAACACAAGCTTATGGGTCAGCACAGCTTTCTATTTTGCGGGGATAGGGATCGGCGGGTAAGGTTGATCCGGGTATGGGCTAAGCCTCGCTCCCGCCTGGTCGATGATTTGGGCAATCCGGATGAATATGTCGTGCTTGGCTCTGTTGAATTCGCCGCCGCCCTGCTCAGAAGGTCGAAAATGAGCGTTACGCACGAGCAGAAGGCAAACAGGACGAGGCAGGCAGTCCGTTGCGGGGTAACGCTATATCATTTTATGCTTTGCGAAACAGACACCGGGTTTGCAGTTCAAGGAAAAGATACTTCGGGACAAGAATTCTTTCTGACCTTCGATTCTGACCATGACGTTCTTTGAGATTTAGAAACAACCCTTCTGACGTCGAGCATCTAGGGAGAATGATCAAGCTCAGTCCAACACAGCCGATCTCAGTCTTGGCGCTACTGACGCGACCTGAGATACTGGACGTGATTGCCCATGCAACTGAGGCTATCAGAACGCTAACAAGAGGTTCGGGCAATCCCTCGAACCCCCTGCAAGAGAGCGCGGATATGGTCAAATTTCTGCCCTCGTATTCGAACAATCTACTAACAGCAAAAAGGGTGACAGAGGCCACTCACAATGTTCGGCCTGGTCACAGCGTTGATTTGGATCTCCAGGTTGTACGGGGTTACGTTAACCAGGTTGACGTTAACCGACGACTGGAGGTCGATCGACTGGTGGGAGCTCAGCAGGTCCCGAATCTGGTCAACGATGTGGTCAACCTTAACCAGGTCCTGGTGCCGCAGTGTGAACACAGCGTTGAGCACCCGGTTTGTGGCCCGGGAGTAATTTGTGATTACCTGTCGGAGAGAAACCGCGAAAAGTTTGGAGTCTCTATGCCGGTTTTAAGTGTCCTGGTATAGTTTGTTGAGAGCGGCGTTCGACACGGAACTCCCCAAGTTGTCGGTCGGGCGCTCGCTTATCAGCCAGAAAGAAAGAGTTGGCATTGAATCACGAAGAAGAACCGGGTAGTCGGAGCCCTTTGAGTGCCTCGATGAAGCTAGCGTGGCCTGGGGGAAGGCGATGGCAAGAGAAACCTATACATCCAGCGAAGGAATGTGAACGTGCGATTGTGAATGTGCTATAAGACAACATTGCAGTTCCACAAAAGAAAGAAACAGAGTTCGCTCCTCCGTCTCAGCGCCAGGTTTGCGGATACCAATTGCAAAAAGGCGGGGCAGATCCGACTGCGGCGTCTAGCCCCAAACACCAGATGTAAAGCACAAACCTAAATTCTAACAGAAAAAGCTTCACTAGGCGGAGCGCAGAAGTTTGGAACGGCAGAGAGGCATCACGAAGCCTTGCTGCCACCGGATACCTTTCGACGTTGTAAGATGGACACACCAAACTCGGTGCTATCCAAGGTTGTGCCCTGTGCGGTTGCGGTACCCTGTTCTGAGCAACTGGGCTGCTCCTAGCTCAACCTTGCATACCGTACCAGCGACTAATTTCGTCAGATTCGACGACTAAAAAATCATTCAAAAACGTTTTAGGAGTTCGCCAGACCCAATGTTACCTGCTAAAACATACCGTTATCGATCCATTACCGCCTGCAATATATTTCTGACACATTCGGCAGGCCAAATGATTATTTATTTGCTGATGAGTACGGTACCTATCGTTGGATGTTGTTAGACGACATCGAAAGAGTGCAACACGAGTCTGGCCATTGCGCAATTCTGAGATCTGCTTGGCATACTCTGCTCACCTGATTTGTGAAGTAGGCGTTGGGCACGTACGTGGGCTGCTTGTCTGGGGTCATGACCTTGGTCGAGTAGAAGCCAATATCCACCACCTGGCCGTTTACGTTGCCCGCCTGCCAGGGTGACGTCAGCACGCGTCAGCTGACGTCAGGAGACGCTTGAAAGACTCGGTGCCACGTCATTGGGTGCAGAAACAAGGCTCTGGCAGTGAAAAGAAACACAGAATTGCAACCGCAATGCAACGTCCCAACGACACTGAAGCACTATGCAGCCACCGAAGCGAACATCAGCGTCCCAATCCTTCCTTGAAAGAAGATCTCTTGTCGGACGAGGATCTTCTCCTACTTCTGCAGAGCTGGTTCTTCTTACCCAACGCCTAGTCTCTACAGCTCGGAACTCGAGCACATTGTCAATCTCAAAATCCGTGAAACAGCAGGAAAACGACCACCTCAAATCGGGGAAAAGCGAGGCGAAGTGAGGAACTCGGACGAATGCCAAGTGGACTGACGTTCCAGCTGGAGAGCTGGGGTGTGAATGTGCACGTACTGTGATGGTGTGAATGCGCACGTACCTTGATGGTGTCGCCTTGCGCAAACGGCCGCGTGAGGTACAGCATCGTACCCCCGAACATGTTACTTACCACGTCGCGCGCGGCCAGACTGATTGCGATACCTGCACCGAGAGGACCCACGTCATGCTGACGCCATGCGATCTTTTGTTCTTTCACTAGCATGCTTAAGCACGGCGGCTGCGGAGCCTATGATTTGAAACTGCTTTGGCAAATACGTGCGCGCTCGACAGCAACTTTCACGGTAAGTCAAGCTCTGCAACCGATGCGAAGTGCCATTGACACTTATTGGCCCTCATTCCGGCACGCTGGAGTGACCATGAGCTGTCAGCGTCCCGAAGCGAAAAGCCAAAGCCGAGCCGAAGCGGAAGAGCGGAACGGTGCGAACGACCCTACACATTTTCCACGGGTGATGCACAGCTGTACATTTTGACAAAACTGCTCAGCTGTCTTCTCGCATTTCTAACCGACGGTTGAGAAAAAGAGCAGAACACGTAGACTCACCCGACACTCCCCCGAGGGCCAGGATTGACTTGAAAGCATATCCCGCAATTTCGCCGGTTACCATGATCCCGAAACTAACGATCAAGATCGTGGCCAGCTTGTCCAGCGCGCCGAGCTGGGCCTTCGTGCTCTGCAAGAAGGGTCTAAAGGCTTTCACATCTTGGAAAGAATCAATTTTGCGGCGACCAAAAGAGTGAGAACTTGGCTGCGGTCCTCGCCGAGCAACGCTTTTGTGCTCTGCAAGAAGAGATTTGAGGTTTTAACTTCGTGGAGAGAATCAAATTCGTGTCGGCCGAAAGTGCGGGAACTCGTTCGCGGTCCTCCGAGCCAGGGGGGAAATCCCGGCGGGATCTTGGAGGCGAAGCACACAGTTTGATATAAGAGCAGGTCTGGGTGTACTTGGACCACAGACAAAAATGCTGGAAACCCAAATACTTCTCGATTGACACAAAGTCTCAACTCATCATGAACACATGCTTAAAGCTGGGGGTTTTCTTCTTGCCGAAATCTGGAAGAATGAAAAATAGAAGGCGAAACTCTTTGGGGATCGTGTCCTATTTGGAAAGCCTCTCAGCACAGAAAGAGCGACAAGACACGCAGAAGTCTTTCTGTTTTGTATTTTCCGTCAAACGGACGCTCCCCAGGGAAGAGGAACTAAAGCGGTTCAAGCACCGGCAATGGCACAAGTCACCTTTCGGAGCCTTAGGATAGAGCGAAGACCTCGACTGCTGCAAACTGGTACGTTGGATGCTTGTTCGCGACTCCTTTTACCTGTGCGTGATGGCAACTGGGTGTGTGCAGTGCAGCCGTCACCGTCGAAACAAGAAAATCCAAAACTACGCACAATGAACGAACTCAAGACGTCGACTTCGAATCCAAAGATTGGCAAGAAGACACGTCCGGACATTATGAAACTCACAAAGCGGGAGAAAACCTAGCCTATCCTGCTGCTGAAAGTACCACAATCATGAAAAAAGTCCCCAACGGTCTTGTCCATTCCGCGATCTTCAACCAGCGGTCCCACCTGTTCGGAGGAGCGCGCTTTGAGTTCGCCGATGATGTTGTTCTTCCAGTTGAGGGCGAACCACGTCAGCACCCCGATGATGCTGACCTCACGGTAGACTGCGATCGCCTTGGTCGAGAACTTGATGTGGAGAAGAGGGGCAATGACGGTGTATCTGCAGACGGAGAAACAAATACTTTGTCAGCTCAGAATCAACGAGCCAAGAAAGAAACACTTCGGTCAATCTCTGAGAGGAAGATTGAAGAGCAAGGGAATTTGGAAGGAAAAGTTTAACCCAGCCAAGACCACTGCTGGGGTCGCGCGCCTTGGTCAGCGGTTCCTTTCATGATCCAAGGAGATTGCTTTCGACACCGTGGCCAAAAGTCGGTATATGGGGAACAACAAGCGTTTTTGCAGAGCTTAAGAACAGGTTGGGTTCGAGTAAATATGACCGCCTGTTGGTCGAGAACGATAAAAGTCAGTACCCTAGTCGGACACAAGACCGCTATCTTTCGAAGCCCTCAAAGTCTAAACCAAATGAATATGGTGACCGCGGATTCTTCAAGCCCCGAGCCTTCAAACCTGGGCTAAAACCTCAGTACTTGTCGAAGACACTAAGCAGGGCAAAAACCCCGCCCTCTTCGCGGATTCCAGGACTGTGATTGAGCCGAAATTGGAAACTTCACGACAATTGAATATTCCTTCGTATAAGGACGTGGAGACCATTCTTTGATCCAGATGCTTGCCTGGAGATTTTCGAGGTCAAGTGGTGAGCGGCTGAAGGTTCACTATCAGCCTGAGGCGAAAGGCAGTCGACTCGCAGAAATGTAGACACGCCAAGGATCCAGGTGAAGGGATTTGAGTCGGCCTCCCGGAATGCTGGTACCCAGTAGAAATGGCGAGTTAAGGCCACGTGGCGCTCACACGTGGGACGCCCAGAGCAGGAACGTCGCGGCGCTGAGAGGGCCCTCGAGCGCGCCGAACACGGTGTGCTCGAACGTTTTCCTCTTGTGCGTCATGTACACGTCCGTCTGCTTCTTGTGCAGCACGTTGTACCACTTGTCGTGGAAAAAGTACAGCACGTTTTTGAGCTCCCGGATGAAGAGGAGAACTAGGAGCGCGAGGATTATCTCCTGCGTGAAGATGCCGAGCTCGTCCTCGATGTGATGTAGTCTGTTGTGCAGCGGCTGAGGGAGCCACGCGAAGAAGTCGGGCAGGACGATGCCGCGCGCCTGCGGGGGACGGCTGACGTCAGCACGCGGATTTTTGCATTTTCCGATTGAAAGTTCTGAGTGATTGGACTTCTTGTGCAGAGGCTGGGAAAGCCAAGCGAAAAGGCCAGGCAGCTCGACACCGAGCGCCCCGCGGTCGGAATGACGTCAGTACGGAAACACAGGTTCCTAAACGACGAGAAAGTTTAGGATGGGAGACAACGACGTGTATTGCAAGCACTCTTCCTGTAAAGAGTAGCTTGTCACTGGCGAAATGCAGTGGCAGGGGCTTCCAACAATGTGGAGACATTGGAAGCACAATGTTGCGCGGCTGCGGGGGACGGATGACATCAAGATAGGAAGTCAAAGGTCTAGGTCTTATGATACAAGCCCGTGCTTGAAAACGGGGTCACGTTGAGAGATGGAGGGTGGACGTCCAGATGTTCCTGCCGAGGACACGATGACATCAGCGCAGTGCTTCAAAAGTCCAGGGATTGGTCCTGAAGTTTGACGCAAGTACATGATTTTCGAGGTCCGCGTTCGATCAGGGTCCTGTGAGAGGGCCTTGCTTAATCGCATCAGCAAGGGCCAGATCTTACACGATATCAAACCAAAGGCGAGCATCGCAGGGTCACGATGATGTCAGACAGATGTTACTAGTGTTCCCAGGGCAGGAAGGAAGCAGGGGAAGGAAGAGGGGGCCATGTACAAGTTCGGGGTACTTTCATACTGAAAATGCGTATGACTGGTGTACCTTTTGATTCATACTTACGACAAGGAAAGCCGCCCTCTGTTTGACGAACGGTCTGAGTCAGAGACATAGATAGGAAGTGCGGGGTGAATGGGGTAAAAGGTAGTCCATGAAGGTTTGATGGGACAGAGATGAGAAAGGAACCGAGACACAATTGAAGCAGCAATCGAAGGGTGATGCATAGCCAGTGTTGAGAGAGTATGGACTAAGAAGCCTAGGACCAGGACACACGGGGGAACCGGAGGCGGGGCGAAGCTGTTTGTGCAAGAAAGTGTTCGACAGTCTGCCAATTATGCGCAGAGCCAGGTAAGGGCTCATGTTGTCTTCTTTGGACTGCTCCAACGAGCCTCAAGGTTTAAAAAAGACAACTATTAGCCTGGAAAGGGAAGCCTACTTGAATCTGTCCCCCAAGCAAGAACTGTAGGGGGCTTGGTCCGGCATAGCTCTCACAAAACTTGCGGCCAAGCGGCCAAGATTCGCTGCCTCACCTCTAGCCATCTTGTGAGTTCAGTCGAGTGCGACTTTTGAAGCCACGCATTGAAACCCTCAATCGTTCCTTTTGCCGCGTCAATTGGGGCGACCGGTCTTGCGGCTGCACCCGCAGGCGCATGAGCTCTGATCTGACGTGTCCGGGGGGTGTGATTCAGCAGGCGTTGCTGGGAGGGGGCCTGTTGTAGGCAGGGCAGGTTTGGCCGCGGTGGGAGGAATGGTTGCGAGCGGGCGTGCAGGAAGGATGATGGCAAGACCTGCAATTGTTAGTTAAGGAATGGGTCAATGTCGCCTTTGAAACAAAAGAAATTCTGCCTGGGAAGAAGTGAGGCTATTCATGAAAACAAGGAGACAGTAATGATGACGAGGACGCTCTTGCTGACAAAGATAGACACGAGATGACGCGCGACTATCTATGTTGGGGGTAAGAGCAGCTGGCTTAAGCCAACAACGAAAGCTGTGCCGAAGTGACTCAAATTCAGAGGACTTTTCATAACAGGTTGATCAGTGCAAGTGCGTTCATGGCCTGACAAACCTGGAAAAATCAACTTTATTCTTCCAAATGCTGTTATAAAGCATGCTTAGAAAGGATTGCCCCATGGACGTTGCACAGGGAAATCTGCTCAGTCCAAGCTGTACTAATTGTACTTTGGTTTGACCGAGATGACAGTAAATCCTGTAGGCTTTGAACCAAGGATCTGGACGTTGGGTAAGACGTGCACGGATCACTGTAGTGCTGCTGCCTGCGCTGATTGTAGCATTGCCTTAGAAGTGGGGCCCTGATTGCATATATAAGTGATACTAGTCAGTTTGTGCAAGATGGTACTATTGGCCAGCCTATGACAAGTGTTTCCAAGTGGTTCCTCTGGGGGCAGTCACGTTGACCACTTTGTCCATCATGAACAATTCTTCTGTGTTCGATCAGTGTGCTGTACTTAGGACGACTCTTCGCGTACGCAGAAGCTCTATGCGGTAACATGGAAGCCTAGTCACTCACCATCTTCAACCCATCCTAAACACATTCTGAAAGTGCACGGACTAGTCTGCTGTGCAGTTCCCTGAGAAAATGTTGTTTACCAAAGGGACTTTCATTAAGATGCAAAAGATACTAGCGAATTTCAGCCATCACTCTTCCAGTACAGCAATTGGAGCAACCAGTAACATGAAATTGGATCCAATAAAACAGACAAACAAGGGCTCCAACTTTACCAGAATGATAAGCAGCAACTGTATGAGTACGAAAACAAAGAAATAGAGCTTGAACCAGAGCCATTGACTTTGAGCAATGCACCTGTTTTATGATCTGGCAGGGACTGGGGGTCTGCCTCCGACCACTGCAAAGGATCGCACTTGCATTCCCCCTCTTGGGGATATGTGCCCTCAGGCTGCACACAGTGTCTCTTGTACAAGGAAGCCTTCCCTTCACCAATCCCGCCGATGCCATTGAGACTATTCCGCTGAAGTCCTCAAGAAACTTGACAGATGAAAACAATCAATCAATCTTCAGCTGTGTGATGCCCTCTTCCGCTAGTGCAGAAAGACTTGGGTTTCAGAAAGTCTGAGCTTGCCACAGATCCTGTTCGTAACTTGGTAAGTACTGCAAATAAAGCTGGCAACATTGCGATCCCCAATGCTGACAGCAACTCCCATGCCCGAAGGTGCGGCCCCGGCCTTTTACAAAGTTTCAGACGCCCATACTCGTTCGTTGCCTGGGCCCGGGCTCTGCCTCTGGCTAGATCTGGGGCTTGTGCAAGCAGAATGTGAACCCGATGCTCGGAATCTCGGCGGAACGTAGGTTAGCTTTCGACCGGACCGCGGCCGGCCCGGAACGACGTCGATCGGGTGCCGGTGTTGCCAACGCGCGACCGTAACGCGACCACGGCCGCTCTTCACTTTCAGGCGGCCGCACGATAAAACGTAACCCTCTAAACCTCGCGTATCTTTCGAACTCTGACAAGAGCGTATTGAACGGTGAGGATGCATGCCCTCTTATCGGACTCATCCTGGCCTTTCGTTCTTCAGCGCTATCCACCTCAGAAGTGATGGCTCATCGAATATCTTCTGACCCTACAATCTCAGAATCCAGTTTTCCCAGCCAGTACACGCCAAATGTCTGTTGTGTGATAAAGTTCGCAAAAAGGCCCCTGAAAAGCTCCACAATCCCGATTCCAGCTTGCACAACTTTCTCAGGCGCACCATTTTGCAAAGCGCAGCAGGAATCATGGCTTCCTCCATCGCCGTCCAGTCCGTCTCCGTGGCTTCCTTCGCCACTGCCTCTGCCAAGGCCTCTGCCACCAGCCAGTCTGCGGTTGCTGCCCCCCTCCGCTCATTCTCTGGACTGAAGCAGCAGAATGCGCTCTCTGCTTCCAGCTCCAACCAGTGGGAGTCAAAGACTGTGTCCAATGGTGCTCGCACTCAGGCCATGAAGGTGAGTCTGGGGAACCCGGACTGCGAAGCTTTCGGCTGCATTGTATTTCTATCAGACAGAATGCTGAATCTCTGCCAATCGGGGGAGTGCTATTCTGTTGGATAGTTCTGAAAGTACTTTATAATGTAAGATCTTTGTGCATAAGATGGACTCAAATGTGGATCCTCAATGAGAATGATAGGAAATGATGACTGATTTTTCTTGAAAATCTGAAAGAGTCCACAACCATTGCCACCTAGGCGTTGGACCATTACTGCAACCGTGCTTCCGCGCTATCACATTGTCGGTTTAGATGACAAAGGTCATGCGTGTGTACATTGTTGAGCTCAGGAATGACTGTTATCGCAGCTTTCGCCCAGCAATTTGCCCCTTATTCAGTATGTAATTTCCCACACCACAGACCTGAGTTTGTGGGACTCCATTTCGGGAATCCTCTTTGTCGCATACATCTTAACCAGATCATTATCGACGACAGGTTGCACTGTTCACACTTCTTAGAATGCTTTGAAGGATCACTGAATGTCAGTAACTAATTTTTGCTCACTCTTGTTGTGTTTGAAGGTGTGGACCCCCTTGAACAACAAGAAGGTGAGCCAAGCGCGGCTTCTTTTGCAGGATTGTCATCCAATCCTTGGTTTGAAAAGTGACACTCTACTTAGGAACTCGATCTGCACAGAAAGCCATCGTCTGCGGCAAAGTTCTTGATCCTCGTTGCCTCAGCTAAGTTGCTCGTGTGTGTGGACCTCAAAGTGCTTTAAGAGCAGATCCCAAAAGACTCACAGTCATTCCCTCGTTTCCCCAGTTCGAGACCCTTTCGTACCTGCCCCCCCTCCCCGCCGCTTCCCTCATGAAGCAGGTGGAGTACCTTCTGAGCAAGGGCTGGAGCCCTTGCATCGAGTTCGACGAGGTACGAGATTTATGTCTATCCAACTTTTTGGAACCTCAAAACTTCGCCCTCACACTTTCCTTCTGGTTTGGAGGTTCGTCAGGCGCCTCATCTCGTACTCCCTTCTGCAATCACATCCACCTTATCTTTCTGCGTCTTTTGCGCTGTGTTTGATTCGTGGCATCGTTATCAGGCTTGCAAAAGCAGGAATCAAAACACTTCCTAAGGATCATACTGCGAGACTCTCCAAGATCAGGATTACTCAGCAGATCAAGTGCATGCTTTTGGATTCTCGAGCACTAGTGTTCATGAACTGTGCCTCTGCAGAGGAAGGAATACAGGCACGGCATCAGTTAATCTAGTAGGTAACGGACCATAGAATAGGTGTTGGTTGCCAGATCAAACTGGAGCATTCTCTGCACCCAGTCTGGTTCATTAGATATCTGCTGGTTTACGCTTTGCTCTCCAAGCACTGAGTTAGGATCTGCACTAGACCTAAATGCTCTGGTTTGCAGAAATTCTAATAAGTCACAGTTGCCATTCCAAATCTTCAGGAATTTGCTTGACCAACTCTTCAGGACTTTGCGCGACCAACTCTTCAGGACTTAAATGCCTGTGAAAAATTACATTCCTTCTTACTATTTGGGCCAAATTACACCTTTATGCATTCAACATGATGTGTTCTCAAGTACTGGGGCAGATGACAGCCCTGCCTGATGCGGCTTTTCCATCAGAGTTCAGTAATTCTGGTCATGCCGTAACCCTAAAGTTTGCATGTTTGTCGCAATGGTGCTATGGTCTGGCGGTATGTTTGTTTTCAGGTGGTTGCATCTGCACAGACTTTCGTTTTGGGTCTTCTCCTGATGATACCTCACTCCCTTGCAGAACGGCACCATCTACAGGGAGCACCACACCTCCCCCGGATACTATGATGGCCGCTACTGGACTATGTGGAAGCTTCCCCTCTTCGGCTGCACTGATGCTGCCCAGGTTCTCAAGGAGATTTCCGAGTGCAAGTCTGCCTACCCCAATGCCTACATCCGTGTCCTCGGATTCGACAGGAAGAGGCAGGTGCAGGCTGCCGCCTTCATTGTGTACAAGCCCGGTCAGTATTAATTCGCAACAGCCAAAAGATTATGCAGTTCAACTAACAGCTTGCTGCTCTTAGTACGACGTTGAACTTTGTGGTAGCTAAGTGTTGTGCGGTCGTGATCACACTCGCCGGTCGAGTCACTGCGCGGCCTAGGTATATTCAAAAGGTATCAGCTGAGTTGGCTTGGCGTCGAACCTTGATAGCACAACTTTTAGCTGAGCTAGTGCTGTGGCGAGTTGAAAGGAGGATAGACTGTGATCCGAGCAAGAGGCCTCCCGGCTTGAGCTTGATCGTTTTGATCTAAACTGCACAGCGTTTGGTGAAGGTTCTTGTTCCAAGTACCTTTGTCATATTGCCTTGCTACACAGCTCTCTCCCCGGCTCTTATGCATCGATGCCCACTAAAATGCGAGTGCAACAAAGTACGCCATGCACTGACCGGACAGTGTCAAACATCTGCTTGGGGCTTGCATCTCCTGCTTGCCATCCTTGGTGATATCGATGATGTCTCTTGTCAGTGTATGTCCCACCATTGTCCCATGCAATCAACTACGATGGTATGTACATCGATCGGGTCGCATGCGCATGAAATGCAGCTCAGTTTTCGATTTTCTCTCTCTGTATGCGATCGCCACCTCAGCCCTTAAAAACAGACGTACTTCCAGATATACATCTATTCAACTCGCAAGGCTCTACATTTCGACTTTTCACCACATCGTGAGAGAGTCCAAGTCCGCTTCAGGCCTGCACTCATTCAAGTAGATATGCAGCTACCTATACTGGTAATTTCAAATAGTTGCCCAATTTGCAATAATGAATCATGACGGAAGCTTTATCAAAATATTTGACAAAGGCAAGCCGGAAAAGGGTCACTGATCCACCAAAGATCCGACATTGCTTGCCTTGTATCAGGTCTTTGCCAGCACTGAGCAGGCCAATGTCTTCTGCCCCGATCCAAAACTTACCGGCTGTGATATACCGGTAGCTGTACGTCTTGTAGATGAACTTGAGGGGCAAGATGATTGAAGATAACTTGGAACGTGAATTGCATACTAATATTCCCGTTGATAGGCAGACTCGACTCGGCTATAACACCTATCGCGAACTCAGGGCTTGATAACGGTCGGAAGGTCGGATTAGTGTTCTCTTTTTCAAACGCCGTTCAATGATTCCCGCCGCTGTGTACCTGGGGGCCGATGATGCTGTCGCTTCTAGGACTGGAGAGTTCCGACCTGATCAGTGTGCCTTCATCCGGATGCAGCTCGCTACTGCGCAATCTCAATGCGCCTCCTACCGTATTTACCTTTTCCCAAGCGGCCTCTCCTTTCGCTGGCCTTCATAACTCGCTAAGAAACTTGGTATTCTAGTAAGGCAACACTGCGCGCGCACGGTGTCCTGGTGAGTCACAATATGAGTAGGACAGTATCCTGACTTACCTACGTAACCCCACTGGGTTACCGCAGAATTGCTACATATCAGTCCGGTCGGGTGAGTCGTGACTGCAGCACTGCAATGATACGTGGCCAGGGCGGCAGGACGCGGATCCCGGGCCCTGGCACGGGGCCCGGTTGAAGCCCCTTAACAATGATTGCATTTACTTCGATGATGACACGGCTTTTTTCCTTATTTGGCGGCCTGTTTGAACTTTGACCCTAGGTATTAAACCCCTGTTTTCTTCGAGTAGTACCTATACGGTATACGGCTATAGCTTGCATGCAGGTCATTGTACCGGGCAAAGTGATCGGAACCTGGCCCGGTTTTAACGCACCCGAACACACCACGTAGGTACCATGAACATCCAAACTAACCCTATTTGTCCCCTAGCTTGACCATCATATGATTATGATTTATCAATTGGCCAGAGCAATAAATTCAACATAATTCACAAAATATTGGAAAACCAGTAACTGTTGGGTTACGTAGATCAGGTTCACTCGTTGTGAGAGGCTCGGCAGGTAAAGCCCCGGTCCGGGCCCGGTATGAACGGACCGCTTGGCTGGCCGCCCGGGGGATGGCCGCGGGGACGTAGGAACCCACCAGCTCGGTAGCTGGCAAATCCGACAGGCCCGAAGTGGGCTCAGCTGGTAGGTGGAGCCAACCGCCTTCTCCCCAAGTGATATAACCAGGTTACCAGGGGCCTGCCTTGTATCCGCTTGATAGCCCTGGGCCTGGGCCGGCCCTCGGGAGTCGGTTGGGGAGGCTGTACATTGCAATTATTGCTACATGCAGACCGCGATTTACTGCTTTGTCTGCTGAGTGCTCTCAGACAGCTCACTGCTCTGCAGCTGCTGCATGCAATCCTTGTAAATGATAGGCAATGATCTGAGCTTGCATGCAGCTCAGGCGGCGGCTCCTTCTTGTAGATAGTACCTACCCCACCTACTTGACTCTTGCCCAGTAGTACTACCTACTTACGGATTCCTTCGCATGCAACCAAATGCACAAATCTAGAGCGCCAGCTTGCAGGTGCCAGCAGCGAAAAGTCAGGATCGGGCCATTTGGGCCCCCACCAAACATGAATAGGTGGAAGCTGAGCTTCAGTACTGGAACCAGTAGACGCTTATAGAGCTGTGTAGAACAGTGTGACTTCAGAACACCCTGTACTAGAGCATTGAACCACTGCCGTAGCTCATGTGGCGCCAGTGGCCACTCTTATGCATTGGCACGGCGCTTAGCTTCACCATGGAAAGGGATAGCACACGCCTCATTTGCTGAGGAACTTTCAGGGAATATTGAGCATGGTCCACCGCTGCTTCGACTCTGATTCTGGAGTGAGTAGCTCGTTTCAGTGCCACCGCCTTCTCTTCAAAATGGAGGCTCTGCTCAAGCCTTATGTGACAGCCGCTTCGTTTGGCCAAGGTTTTTCCAGCACAGTGGCCGATGAAGGGAAGAGCAAAACATACATTGGACGTAAAGAGGGCATAAGCAGTCCAGGATCTCCTTCTTCTCCTCGCACGCCAGTCAAAGTCAAAGTCACACCCGCAACGCTCCTGGTTCTCATGATCTGCTTGTTGGTCCTCACTGCCCAGCTTCTTTACCAGGATCCCCGTGATCAAAAAGCATTGATTGGCGTAAGGCAAAGGTTGCAATCAGGTACTTCAAATCCTCCGGCTCCTTCTTTGGCGCATCGCCTTACCATCAAGGAGCTCATCCCTACAGACGGCATGAACTTCCTGCGGTTGCCCTGGAATGAAATCTATGGCCACGAGATGCTCATATTCAGCATGGCCCCCGTGAAGGTTCCTGTTGGGAAAGGGAACTGGATTTTACGCTTCCAGATTTTTCTAGAGTTCTATGAAAACCCAGAGCGGTGCTGTCCACAGCATGCGCGTATGAGCAACAAGACTTGGGAAATGGACATGCGGTTGAGCCTGGAGGTGAGGGGAGCATCCTCCTAACGACATTCAAAAAAAGGCTATTCCTGCCAGTTACCTGTGACGGTCTACCCAGTACAGCTTTCCTGGTTGTCCTGTGAATGGTCATAATGGGCTCGGATTGTAGTCTTTTGTAAGTCTCAGGAGACGATTGAAAAGTTGCACTGAGGCATGGTTGATAACCAATAATCTAGGCCTCTACTCATTGTCCAGTCAAGCTTGTGTCCAGATTAGTTTCAATACTATGAGCCAGGTTTGGAGTGCCATTACGGCGTCAGAAGCTTATGATGTGGTTTTTTCTGAAGCACACTGTTGCAGAGTCGACCTCAGCAATTGGCCTCAAAACCCCACCCTTCCTACCCAATTGTCAAAGTCAAAGCCCTTCTCCGGACTCCAATCAAGTCAAAGCCCTTTCCAAGATGATACCCTTTTCCCCTTTTCGAGCCAGGCTTCTCCCCAAGATCCAAAAAAAGCCCTTTCCAAGATGGTACCTTTTTGTCCAGGCTTCTCCCCAAGATCCAAAAGAAGCCCTGCTGCAAACATCCAGGCGCATCCTTTCTGGCAGCCCACAATCCAGAGCAGCTTGGAGCCGGCTCGCTTGTTCATTCACCTACGGGCCAGACTATCTAAGCTCGCAGTTCTTGGAGTGCCCCTTGCCAACGGATGCCAGTGCCTTTTTGGACCACATGACCGAAGATGACGTGAGTTGCTTCTAACTTAGACCTTCCTCCTCTCCTTAGATGAAGTTTTACCTCGGGGCAGTCTGATCAGACCTAAAAGCCAGCCAATGATGCAGCTGCTACGGTGACAAACAATCAGAAGGAATGCAGAGCGATTCTCACAAGCGCTGAGCAGATAATCCTGGTAGTAAGAATGTAAAAGGTGCCACACAGTACGTATCACACCTCGTCTGACTGTTGCCCCTGTAAAGGCTGCACCTTTCAGGCATCATTGAAAGTGAACGGGAAACTCATACTTGTGGCGTGATATTCTTCCAAAATCGCTCACGGTTCCAACAGTCTATGATCTATGCGACCTGCAAGTATGACGCTGAAACTTCTCTTGCACATATTATCTTTTTAAGATCATCGTTGAAACTGGTCTTGAGAAGAACCGTCTGCAGATACTGCTGTTGGTTTCTTGCAGTCGCTGAAAGCAACCCTCGAGATTGCCTCGAAAACCATTGTACCGCCCTCCACTCTGAGCTTCACCCTTGCGTTTGAAAGGGGGCCCCTCAAAGAGAAGCAGCGGTAAGTCCTCTGCTAATTGTGTCACGTTGAGAAGGCCTTACATCTATCCATCCAGATTGCGTGTTTTGTCCAGTGCAAAGGATGGCCACGCGAGTCGCCAAAAGCCGTTGAGACCCTGGTCAGGAAAATCAAAATAAGGAAAAGTCGGAGCCGGTGATTGCACACAATTATGTGCACTGCAATGCAACGCGATATCGTTTCAACCGTAGAGTTTTCGCCTGAGGAATCTTGTAGGCCTCCAGATCCGCGGGTTCTGCAGATTCTAAGTACTGAGAAACAGACGGCTGCTGCAAGAATATCTCAACTAGATCACTCAAGAGTAAAAGCTCTGGCTTGCATCGTTGTAGCCAGACGGTAACAGTTCGCTTTGAGATGCAGGAAAGAAGTTCCGGAAAGATCCCGAAACGAGACGATCGAAACGAAAAGGTTGAAAGGACAAGTCGCGCAATTGAGACCTAGGCACACCCCACTGCCGAAACCTGCATCGACTGAAGCTAGTGTGTTCTATATCGCGCTCGCCACCTTTTCCTGCAGGTTTCTCTCGGCTTGCATCGGGCCGATATACGGACGAGATCACTTCAAGCCTAGGGCCTGGATTGAGCACATTGAGTTCTACCATCGCGTTCATGGCGTCGAGCACTTTTTCATCTACGGTCGGAAGGACGTTCCTGATGATCTTTTCAAGCTGTACCCCGACCTTGTGACGTTTCGCCGGTGGTTTACGTCAACCGACGATGAAACGCTGAAGAATAGGTTCGGCAACGTCTACGATCTGGTGAGCACCCTCTTTGTCTTAGACTGCTGAGTTCAGGCTTAAAGATGTGGTATTTCCGCTGATTTCCTTGGGGCCAGGAGAGTTGGAAGGAAGCGTACATGAGTTATCCCAGAGTCAAACCGTCATTGAGTCGTCACTGCCAGTTAAAACTAGAACGAGGGCCATCTGCAGGAAAGCAATCATGAGCACCGTCGTTGTCGAAAGACACCTCAACGAAGATCTCAAACGGGTCTTGCCGATGTCACATACGACGAGCGAATGACCTGGCCTATAGGTAGTGATAACCCTCGAACTGCATCATTCTCAAAGAATCCGTCACGACTTCTGATGGAAAGGCGGCACCTTTCATTGAGGAGAGGATTAATTGAGAGATTAACTGAGATTAACTGAGGAGAACTGCGCAAAAGCATTTCTCCTCAGCCATGCTCTAGTCCTATATGTGGCTTTTACCTTGAGACTTTCCTACGGAGGCTTCAAGGCTTCAGGGATTGACATCGTGTTTCTTTGTGATTGACAGTATCAGGTGTACAACCACTGTCTCCAGACCAACAAGCATTCCTCAAAGTAAGTGCGCTTCTGCCTACTGAAACCGAGTCTCCTGAGTCCCCATGCTTCGCATTTCGCTTGGAGGCAACTTCCTTCGAAGCAACTGCTTCCGAACTTTCGCGGGGAAAAAACCGTCCGGTCACGAAGTTTCAAAGTATGGTTCTGCGGTTTAATGCATGTAGAAATTGTGAATTTAACTGACCTCGCTCAAGATGAGCATAGTATTAGCGTCCTTTTTCGCGGGTAGGCCCAAGGTGCAGCCTTTCGGGTTGAAGCTCGGGTTCGAATCTCGGTTTGGCTGGTTAGCAGGTTAGCTCAGGTTAGTCTAGGATGCCGGCTTGAGCAATGACACTGCCCTCTCATGAATCCGGTGTCCGTGTCAATGTTAATCTCAAGTACAATCAGATGTTGGCAGGAAGTGGGCGGTTGTTTTTGGGAACTATACTCTCGTGGGTAGCAGCTGCTGATGATTCCGGAGATCTATAAAGTATACGTAGTAATCCTGCGAAGAATAAAACCGATTTTGTTAACGTGCAGATGGCTCATGTTCTTCGACTTGGACGACTACCTGATACCGAACATGAGGGACTGCAAGATCGAGAAGACCCTTCCTCAAATCCTCGCGGAGAAGAACCATTGCGCCACATTCGTCACCCCTGAGTATCCTTTCCTACCGGCTGAAGAGGAGGCCGCCTCCGATCTAGTTATCGATCGGTGCAGACGGAAGACGCATAAAAGTCCTCAGTTCCTGAAGACTATCCTACAACCACTCTTGGTAAGGTTGTCCTCTTGTCAGAAAGGCGATTCCGCACAGTACCTTTCTGTGTTACGAAGAGTTCAGAGGAAGCGGAAGCAGTGCAAGCTTCATCTCGCTGACTATGGGTGCCTTTTCACAGTGTGGTGCATTCTCTCCTACCCTGCCCATTACTAGAGCCGTTTGACTGATCAGAAAATTACTGGTGAGGACACGGATGTGTCTCCATTTCATATAACTCTTTCATTTGGTGTTGGGACTCCGAGCTAAAATCATGAACTCGTTCCGTCCAGATCCATAATGGGAATAATGATGGGCTTGGCAGTCGTTTGGGTCTCTTGACAGCAAAAGTATCTCACTTTGAAAAGCTGTTTGGCAACAGGTCTAATCTGATCAGCGCGACTGGTTTGAGATGATCAGTGGGTTTTGATTGGATCGGAATGATTTGACACGTTCGAGGTCCGGATGTACGTTTTCGAAGTGTGAAATTTTGCAGAGATGGTCCAAGTAACTCAAGCTTACACTTCTTGTCTTGCAGGCTCGGGAAATGTTTAATCATGAAGTCAAAGACTTTGAACCCCTTGAAGAGGGAATAAAACCCTTCTGTTCTGAAGAGGGCGTCCAGATTGCCCATTGCCGGAAGAATCGCCCGAATCCAAGTTATTACACAACTGACAGTTATAACGTAACGTTGGAAGGGAGTGGATTGGATTGCTTCGTCGACGAATATAGAGGCGTTGTTGACCAGAAAGCAAACGAATTCAGCCTTTGATGATGAGCGCTCAAACGCGGAGCAAGGGGTCTGTTTCTGGACACCAAAAATGGCTTGAATTCGTTTTAGGCACCGATGCACAGTCGCAAAGTAGATGCAATTCAGGTAACCGCAGCCTCGTGTTATAACCGGCATATGCACGACTGATCCAGGACAGGCATGCACACGCTATCAGTTGCGTATCATAGTATGATGCTCCCTTCTGAACTGGCTCAATTGTAAGATACCCTAATTCTGAGTCTTGAATGGCAGCTCGGCTCGACACAGCGCCCATACGCGTCTCGTCAACCGTTATCGCAGGCCCCGTCACGTTGAAATTACGTACCATGAAGGTTTAAAGGGTTGGCCGGTGCAATCCATGATCTCGACATGTGCCAGAGACTTTAGCTGGCGGCAGAAACGCACACTGGTTCATGGCATGAAGATGCCAACGGTCAACATGCATGTTAGACTGAATCATTTGTACTATGAAGCCGCCCGGCCGGTTTACATATTGGAACCATGATAAAACTCAGGCTGCTGGCCCCGTTCCGCTGGCGCAATCATTGAATAATGACCCGCGCGGCCAGCACTATTTAGGGACAGGCGCGGCCACCGTATTCTCAAAATCTATCTAGCTCTGATTTGCTATCCTCTAGATTTGTAAGTGGCGCCTGCTGACGCGCAATTATTAATTTATGAAACGTTGCGGATTCACGAACATTTAACGCGGTCGAAAGGAGTAAAACTCAAATGGACCCACGCAAGTCTGCTTGACACACTTCAAACTTGCCGAGCGACACAACTGAGTGACAACGTGCACTCAATTGAGCAGAAAGGATTAGTACCGTTAACGGAATCTGGCAAACCGCAGCGACCTTGTGATTATTTTTGAAGGGCGTTATGTCAAGAGTCCCGCGCGCGCGCCACCATATTCCTTGACAAGTTTTCGCTTGGCGGCCGCAATCTCTTGCCTCGTCAAAATGAGCACATCGGACTCAACGTCGCCCTCAGTCCCTTCGTCCGCTATAGCTTCCGTCTCTGCATCCGAGTCTCCATCCTCGGCTTGCTCACGTTCCTCAGTACTCATAAGGTTGCCTGATTTCAACCCATTGATTTCGCTTTGCAGCGCTTTTTCATATCTACCCTTCATTTCTTGCAACAACGAGATTGCCGAATCTGCACTCCCATCTGCCTGCTCGCAAACCACCTCAATACCCTGAGGGAGCGAAGCCACCCAGCCATCTTTCGCTTCCTCCAAACTTCGGCCCTCTTCTAGTTCTTCCACCAAAAAGTCAAAACAGCTCAGCACGCCTTGCACGCCCAACTCGCGCATCGTCTCCCCTGGCCCCGGCTCCGCCCCCTCCCCCTCCAAGAACCGCTCCGCAGCTGCCACGTCAGCAGTGACCCAACCCGCCACGTCAGCATCCGTCACGGACCCCAGACCTTCCCGCCTTCCGTTCCCCCTGCCCCTAGTTCTGCCAGACGAAACCCGCAGCGGTTTCGTTTCCTCCTCCGTCGTTCCTTTCGCCCTCCCTCTTCCTGTCCGGCTCTGCTCGTTCCGCCCTGCAACATTCCGTTCCGCTCCTCCATTTCCTTCTTCCGCCCGTTCCGGCGCCACCTCCTCCGCCGGACCTTCGTCCAAGCTCTGCCCGGTTTGCTTCCGCCAGGGCTTTCCCGGGTGCAACAGATGCTCGTCGATATCCACCAACTCCCGCCGGTTGTGGCACTCGGGGATCCACTTTCGGTCGACAATCGTTCCGTTTGCCTTCTTGACCTGCAGTTATGGAGCAAGTTGCAAGAGGGCATGACTCTAGGTGCTGCAAGGGCATGACTCAACTTCCTGCGGAATTGATCACATGATCCACGCTGAAAAAAGGTTCTGTTCTGGTGCGCGTCCTCGGAGTTGCCTGCACTCGAGCGTTGGTCACATTCTTCAAGCCGCCACACTTTTACTACGGTAAAACCTGACGGGAGGTTTGGTTTAAGTGTTTTTGTGAGCAACAGCAGTGTGATGTGCAGCTCTGTTGTGCTTCTGAATCTGGCTGCACGCACACCGTCACCTAGTGAACCCCCAACGCCACAAGCTCAGTCACGACAATCGTCTAGCGACTGACCAGATTGTCGAACGTCGACGGAGCCAACAGCAGGATCTCAAAATCTGATCCCAAGAATGTCAATTCATGAACTCCCGTCTCTCAGGCAGGCGGTTTGATTTGGAAGGGCGATTTGTGTCGAAGTGTTAAAGCAGACACACCCACGACCGAAGAAGGCAACTTCTTGACCCTGAACGTGGAGCATTGGTACTTCCATTACATTCCGTCGAAATCCAGATGTCCACGACGCAACCAGCCTATCAGGTTTGAACGTCTCAAACGCCTCGTACAACGGCATGCGCTTCAATCGCAAGAAGAGAAGCCCGCAGTACCTCTGTCCACCGGCTCGGATTGTGTGTTCGATAGAATTCAGCACAACAAGCTCGTTATATGTGCATTCCGAAACAAAACTTTCGCATACTTTTGTTTAGAAGTATGCCGACCGGCCGCGTTCGAAGCTTCTGACGAAATCGCGCAGCTTGCATCCCAGAACACCGGAATCTGCTTCCAAAAGGGTCTTCAGGGCCTGGAAATTGAATTTCCAGGCAAATGTAAGTTTTCGACCGGGAGTGGAATGCAAAGATACTGCCCCTTTCCTGCCACTTGCCCCGAGGTTTGGTGCTCTTTGGTGGCCACAAAGTAAAACCCTTGGCAACGCGCATAAAGCCTGACCTTCGAGGGTGAATACCGGTTGGCCGTTCCCTACGAACCAATAAAGGACTTGAAGGGTTGAAACCGATTTGACATAATTTGCAACTCATAAGACGTCAACCTTACCTGGTTGAACTTGGGCGTCCCCTTAAACGCGCAAACCAGCAGCGTGCACTCCCCCCCCCAGTCGCCCCTATACTTGGCCCCCATCTCTTCCCCCTGCTCACGAATCTTTCCCCGTTCCGGATTCTGGATCCCCGAGATTGCAAACGTCACTCCGTCTAGCAACTTTTCAAAAGGCACTTTCGCGCCGTTGGGCCCCCCTCCAGTTTCGCCATTCCGCTTGGACGGACCGGATGCCGGGTCTGCATCGGATCCGCCTTCCTCGTCAGACGGCGTTGGCGCCCTCGCCTTTCTAGTTCCTTTCGGAGAACGCCCCTTCTCTTCTTTTGCCCTTGCGCTCGGTTCCTCCCATTCCTCCTCATCGTCGCTTTCCTTCGCAAAAGAATGCCTCCCGCCTCTGCTTTTGCCCCCTTTTCCGCGCTCTTTGCTTTCCACCTCTTTCCGCTCCTTTTTCTCCCCCTCCCTTTCACGGCCATCTTGCCCCCTCTTTGCCTTGTTTGCATCTCTCTCCTGGCCCTCATCCGCGCCCCGTTTCGTCCCTCTCTCCCCACCTCTGGAACCGCTAGCGAGCTTTGAGGGCGAGCCAGAGAGCCAGCTCGGGAGGACGCGTTTACCGGTGGGCTTCGGGGGATCCCTCGGCTTTGGGGGATCCCTCGGCGGCGGGTCCGCCAGGTCAGCGGGCTCGTCTGACAGCTTGGCGAGGGGCATTTGAAACGACGGTGGGGGCGGCTTTTTCTGGTGATTGTCGGAATCAGCGACCGCCTGCTGAAAGAAAGATATATTTTCTTTCTCTATTCCAAACACGTCAGTAGATTTGTGTGCACCGTCATCAGGGTTTGAGCTCGATCAGCTGGAGTCCGTCTTGCGCAAAGTGAGGCGCTTGGCGATTCGAAAATTGAGCTCAAGTCGAGGTCTCGAACCCTTCCCGTTCCGGATGAGAGAACCAAACAGGAATCGGCTGATCATGTGCAAAAAGCACAGCGGCGGTGTCTCAATCAGCTGAAGCTAATGACTGTGGGAAAGCGTATTTGTAGAATCTAGACGAGCCACAGAATTGTCACGTCTGTTTACGGATCTTATGTCTGAGACTCCCTGATCGTCCACGATGAAACAGCGGAATCGCCTCCTCAAGAACCTGAAAAGTAGGCTTTAACAATGTTCAATTCTAATAACGGCAATCCCCTTCAAGCACTCACCCCTCCTTAGTTTAACGGCGATTACGTATGCCGCAATGCAAAGAACCCTTACCGCTTGGATCTTGGCTTCCCGAGCAGCGTGCCGGTTTGTTGCGGCTTCTTCGGCAGGGGTCTTGCACGGGAACACCTGCAACCCCAAACGGCTCTATAGCATTAGGGGCATGCTTCGGCCGGTCAAGGCCAATCTCGAGTCCGCTTTTAGGCCCTCCGTACCCTCTAGGAGAATCTTTTACGAACTTTGCCCTTCTTAAACGGTCTGGTGCTTTGCCCTTTGTGAACATTGTGGTCCTGTTTGATATGAGGAACTAGCGAAGCGTTTGTGGTCTAACATTTTGTGTGACGGTCTGTTCTGACCAACACTTCGAATCAGCGGGTACAAAGCCGCCAATTGACTTTCGAGGAGTGGAGCGCTTACTCTGACTCGTGCGAGCCCAATAGGCTCCTCCGGCGCTCCAAAGGGCTGTTTACAGACGAGCTTCAGCCGCTGCCACTTGTGTTCGGCTGCGGCCCTGCAAAGAATGGAGAAGCAACGGTCAAGGACAGGCAGCTGGGGCCTGAATGAATTTCTTGATTCAAAATTTGTTCAGACAGTTGTAGTTGAACACGTCCCTGCGTACAAGCGACGATAGGGCAGAGCAGCATGAAAGGATCATCAAGCTGCGGGTTGTATCTAAGAACGGCTGGGAAACTTGTGACGGTGGAGACATTTTGGCTCAACATCACAGAATCTCTGGGCAATATTACTGATGAGAAAGAGAGGGAGGAGAAACGGTCGCTTTCAAGCACAAGACGGATCAGATCGATTGCGTTCTCAAATTGGGGGGCTGAAGTAGATGGACCTTCCTGGGCTCAGCCAGAATGGATCGCTTTCAAGTGGGCCTAAGGACATCAAGTCTGTTGATCAAAAACAATCCGCCGCAAAAAGCGAAATTGTCACAAGAAAAGTAGTAGTGCACATCTGAAGGCCGTTCGCTTGATTACCGCAACTATTCAGCATGGTGGGCAAAGTTTGAGATGTCAGCTATTTCAGGCCAGTCACACCAGCTCACTTCAGCAACTTGGTTCCCGCTTCGTACACAAACTCCCTGTTGGTGTTCTTCTTCTCGCGCACGTCTGCAGCGGACATGAACTGCTGAGCTGGCAACAGCATCTCAAAACCGCTGACGTCACCGCTGATGCCATCATCTTCTTCCGAAGCCCCCTCCTGCAACCCATATGCCTCAACAAGCGCACTCCCAGAATTGTTGAGTGCCAGCCGTTGGATGCCGGACGGAGGGTCCAGATCGATTGAGATCCAGGCAGAGTCTGTAGGACCGTTTGTTTGCCACTGCCTGTAATAAGGGAGCATACAGAATATGAGTAAGAGCAAGAGTTACGTCGGCAGGTAACAAACTAACAGAAGTACATCTCAAGCACGTTGAATTGGGGCCTGAGCTCAAGCTCAATTCACCAGGCGCACTATACAAATTACTGTGTTGAGGTTGGGGGGCTTGTGTCACAGAAGCACCACCATTCATTGACCAACTCACCCACACTTTGACACGTGAAACCAGAAGGTGGATTGTGTACATTCTGGGGCGGCTGGGCCAGGTGGTAATTTCGTCTCATTTTCTAAGAAGATAATGTGGCAGTACGCGGCTAAGTAAAGTTGGTATGTGGCAGAACGTGGCTAAGTACAGTTGACAGTGGAACGTTGTGTTCCAGTAAATACTAGGTACGTAAGCAGGAGGGGACTACGACATGTCAAGCCTGGCTTGATCTGATTGAGTCCAGTGCCATATCATGGTCAATTCATGGAAGGCACGACAAGTTTTAGTGCTGAGGGATAAGCCTATGGACACAGAGACCTACTGGGCTTTTTTGAGTTTAAAATCACGTCTATTCCAAGTGCATGTGCCTAATTCCACCACCATCATGAATGCCAGAAACCTGCTGAACAGAGATGTAATGTAATTTGGGATCACACTACCAAAGAGCGAGCAACTTTTGCAAGGAAACTCACCTGTAGAGGACGTCAAGCACCACATTGCTGGCCTTGTGGACCCCATTCTCCGAGGAAAAAGCATGCACGGACAACGCAGCCTTCTCTGGAAGAGCCGATGACCGCCTCCTGTCTGCCATCGTCTCGTGTGACTGCACAGACTGCGAAGCTGACCTGAAAGGCTGCACAGAAAGTTTACCTGTGCAGTAACGACTATCGTCGCATCGGCACCGTTGATTTCCACTACTATATCATCGGACGGTTAGGATACCCCGTTTGAGTCCGGCGGAACGGCTCTGGCGCATGGAAGGGCGGAACAACGACAGGCAGGCGCTCTTCACTTGAAAAGGCTTTGAATTTGATTCATGGTATCATACCGTACTGATCAGCACATTTTTCCAAGTGCACAAGCCATGGCGACAGAAGGGCGTGTTGGAGAGGTTTGAGAGTTGTCAAGAAAAGGTGCCCGAGTAGCATCGCCAATGGTGAACTCCTTTTGGTGGAACAACAGAGGGCGTTGTTGACTCTATCAAACTTCGATTGTACTGTGGTGGCAGTAAGTTGCAGCACCATGCCCCGTCATGACGGAACGGGGAGCAAAGGTGCCCCGCCAGCTCCAAGGCTAGTTGTGAGGTCATCTTGCTTTGACCATCCCAAGTCTGACATTGACAACTACGTACACAACCACCCCTTCAACAATGCCATGGAGCTTCTGCTGCCAGTTCTGCCAGGCAGCGACTCCAAGCAGGTACATATGTCTGCCTTTCTCCACCTTGGCCTCAGCTTGAATGTGACCTGAAATGCTGCTCTTCCCAGTTCATATGCTTGCTGCTGGTGGTTTGAAAGAGCAGTCAATCAGAATGCTACTTGATAATACCTGATTGTCTTCATCGCGGCAAGCTGGCGCTAGTTGTGCCTCGGAACGCACCAGTCTGAAACGTGTGACCTGCCATTCCGTTTGGAGCACAGACTCCCTTGCCAGCTTGTGGCTGTCTAGAGACGTCTGAGCTCTACCACCAGCCAGGCTTGTGATGGCCAATTCAAATCACGGTGCAATGTCTCCAGCCTTTTGTGATCTCTCCTTTGCTTCTATCGATCGCACAAATTATACTTCTCCTAGGACGTGAAGTTTCTGTCGCCAGCATTCATCAGTCAGGCGCCACATTCTCGCATCCATACATACATCTGATCAGACACAGCTCACGCAATTCCAATTCAAGCCCTCTGTTTTCTTGCCCCTATCACAGCTCGTCATTACAAACACCGACGCCCTCGGAACCCCCCAGCCTTTCTTCCAGGGCTTCCGAGCCCCTCTCAGCACCTTTGTGAGCCCCCACTTTGTATCAACCTATGTCAAGAGTGCGGCCGAGTTTGTGGCCATCTCAAATGCTACCCCGATCGACCGCACAGATGCTGCCACTGTCTCCCCTGACGGTGAGTGTTTCTACCAGCTTTGTTTCTGCTGAAATCACCGGCATGCCACGACAAGGAAGCACCATAAGAAGATGTCTAAGCACTTACCTGTCCTACAAAAAGCCGACTCAATGGCTTCTTCTAGGCCTGCTGTAAAGGTTTGGCCAACTTAGATCTTCTGTGGGGAAATGAATGTCACTTGTTAATCATCGTCTTTTCAAAAGTCAAGAAGCTTTGCCAATCAGAAATGCCTCTCTTCATCTTTCGAGAGTAGACATTTTCCGTCCTACTTCCCAAAACAGGTAATTTAGGCAACCACGATCCAAGTCCTTCCCTTTCAGTCGTCGCGTCAACTGGGAAGTTTGATCCCGGATCTGACCCCGTTCCTTCATTTGCATCCCCTTTCAGGCAAGCTCCACCTGGCTCTGACGAAGCAGAGCTACGAAACGCTGGGCCTTGTTGGAACAACCTCCGCCTTTCAGCCCCACAATCGGCACAGTATCCTCTGGAAGAGTTCGTCACACCAAGGCCTTTCGGCAGTCAGCCTGTGTACATGACTCTCCCATTAGGCTCAGCGCTCGTCTTTGGGACTAATTAAAGATCGGCCATCTGACAATGAAGCAATGGTTGGATGACTGTGCTTCCAGCGGGATCCTGGCCCTTCAGTAAAGAAGCACTGCACAGCTGAAAGTCATCAGAATCAGGAGATTCTTGGATAAAGCTTCCCATGGTTAAAGTCCTGAAAAGATTTAAACGCCGCATGCTACAATCGGAGCCTCTGTCCGATATTTGTTCTTTCACTTTACATGCCTTGTTGTTTCAGTCATTCCTTGATGACATCAGGCAGACGTCACCATCGACCTCCGCGCCAAGTCCTTTGTCCCCGGCCGGAAGCTGCACGACCGGGTGCAGGAGTGCTTGACGAAGCGGGCAGGATCTCTAGAATTCCTCGCCCTCTGCATCAAGGACGGCAAACCTCTAGAGGTTTTCGAAGTGGCCGGAGTCAAGCACCGCGTAGAAAGAGATGATCGAACGGTGGAGAAACTGCGGCTGCCAATGCTGAACCAACCGCAAGGAGAGGCGGTGCGTGGAGAGGCCATGGATGCGGTGAGTATGGCACTGATTCGGCTTTGGTCGGTAGGTTTAGTCGGCAATCTCGACAAGCTCTGCGTTCGTTGACGGGCTAGAAAAACGGATCATCTGTGCTCTTGTCAGGATCCACAAGCTACGAGTTGCCGAATGTACTGAACGGCCGAGGTGCTGCACTTCTATCAGAATCTCACGAATTTGATCAGGTTACTAGTTTGCCTGGTAGCTTGCAGTCCACGAGCGCGATAGTGTGACGTATCGAGAGTCTGTACTTCTAGTAAGTCAAAGTTGTCTCGTACGGTATGCTCTTGGACTGTAACCTCTTTGGAAAGCTGCGCTTTCTGCTCTTTCTCCTTCTCGACGTCCCATGAGTTAGAATTCTGGTTGATCTTTCCTTGGGTGGTTCACACGCCTACTAAAGTTGGCACGCCTCCACATCAAAACACATTCAACTTCACAGCTGATCAATCACATGTAAGCTCTTCACTTTCCCATCTTTCTTTTTTGAACAGAATTCTTCCGCCTGATTAAGCCCACGTGAACAGTCACGATCAGTCAGCCTGACATCAGCGTGGCCCTCCTCCCCAGGCCCAGCCCATGGAGTTTGACTGGGGGACTCCCGATGCAAGTTCCTGGGATACACCCCCGGTCACGCAGTTCGGCCCTCCAGCAAGTGAAACGCTCCCGGAAGCCTTCCAACCGGGGCAACAACGAGACGTGGAAGAGAGCGGAGAGGGGCAGCGGCACGACAGACAACACTCGGCTGCGGGTGCAGGGGGTCCCCCGACGGAGGCGAAGCAGGGGGATCTCCTAACGGACGACCGCTTTCTCCTCGCGCTGCATGAGTGGCTGGGGGCGGTGGCTTGCGGAGCAGCAGGGTAGGGATGCAATCATCTTCGGCATTTTGAAAGGAGGGTAGCTTAGGACAACCGGAACAGTTTGCCGTCAGGTGACTAGGTTCGAGGCTGAACGCTTAGAGAGGCACTACAGCAGGCCGTCTCGTTACGAGGCTGATTCGGTATCTAGCTTTCCCGCGTATGTCCTTGTTAAGCTGGTACCAAGACAAGCAGATGCCTTGTACATCATGGTTGTTACCTGAACGGGCTCTCGGATGAGTTATGCTTGGGCTCGTACCATGGCCTCTTCTTGAAGGTACAGACAGCGTCGTGTGGAACAAGTTCTGAAGTTCTTACTTTTGCACTTCATTTCTACCTGCAGGAGCAAATACTGAGCTAATCAACAGCCCTTTCTCGGTCTTTGGAAGTGCAATAAGCCCTTTACGAAAGTCACCGTTTCAGTTCCTCTTCCTGGTCTTCGTGTGTCCTTAGACAGTCCTTGCCTGAGGGTCTTCAAAGCCGGGTTTATTCATACGTAGTCCTCCTTCTGCAGAGCAGAGGTGCGGACCGATCTGGCAGGGACACGTGTCGACTCCGGACAGCCTGCTTCCAACCACGACTGGTTTGCGGACTGCCACGTGGCCAATCAGGACGGGGCCGCTCGCGCCGTACGGTGGACTGGGCTTATAGCCCCCTCGCAGGTCCTCTGCTGCATTGGACTCGCAAGGTGAATTTGAGTCTATTTGAAAACACTGAGAAGAATTTTAAGGATACCTTTCTGACATTGAGGCTTCGCTGTTCCTCTGGTAGTGCGGAGTCTTTCAAAGTCGTTGAAAGTGGTCAACGCGCCTGAAAAGCTGGTGTTTGCCTGACTGACTGCTATCTGGCTCGTCCTAACAACGTGCGGGTCTCTTTGAGGCGTCTCTTGAGCCCGTTTTCGAGCAGCTTTGACATGTATGCTGGGGCTATCTTTCAAAAATTCCTTGAAAATTGTGATCTGGAGGTGAAGCTGTCGCCATCAAATTGCCGAACCCGGAGTTTTGGAGTCAGATTGCGTCCCTTATCCCACTCTTCATGACCCTAAACCTGCATATATCTTCACGGGTCTGCTATCTGCAGATGACCGCACGGACGTATTAACTGCCTGCCCCCAAAATACCCAAACCGTTTCTTTAGCCCGAATAAGATTGACGTTGTCCGACTGGGTTCTCAACCGGAGGGCCTCCCGTCGTTGACATCATGGAGTTCTTGAGACGTTTCGTGCTGACGTCTTCGGGAACCTGCTGACGTGGCTTGCTTCCTCCTGCAGACGGCTGATTGCGGAGAAGCGGGTTCCGTGGGCCGCGCTCACGGTCTGGGGATTTGCGGATGCGCCGGTAAGAAGCTGGCGCTAAGCTCATCTTAACAGCTTGCTTTTGGAGTGAGCGCGACTTGGAGGAGTGAGAAGCTTCTTCCTGACTGCTTCTTTGGGAGCATCGGGAACGAAATTAGGCAGCGTTTTCAGCTACTGCAGACAACCACTACCTTCGGCACCTTCCGTTTCTTCAACCGTACGCCTTCGCTAGGGCGTCTGAGGAAAAGTGGCACGTGAGAGGGCTCATTTTGCGCATCGAGCACTGAGGTCAAGGGCAACGACAGCAGATACCGAAAAGAGACGCGGTAATGAGTCGGCGTCTTTCCAACACAGAGTCGCATGCGTCGATCTTCTCAACCTTGAGCTAGTTGCTCTGTCCTCTTATTCTCCGTGTTGTGTCTTTCGCTCTTTGCTTTTTCTTGAAGCTGTGGATTGCGTGCTGTCGCAGGTGTCTTGGTATGGAGCGGAGCACGGCTACGCACACAGCGGCGAGAATGACTACTCGCTGGTGATGCTGGAAGACGGGCGGTACCTCCTCTACAGGTGATGCAGCGTTCTTATTTCGTCAAACTCAACTTTTGAGAGGGTAAACATGAAGACGAAGATGCTTCAAAAGGCATCGTCTATATCTTGCAGGTTGACAAGAGAACTGAGGTGCAAATCTGAAGCGCGTATGAATGTGAGCTCCAGGTAATAAGCGACGGCCATCTACTCGGTGCACTAACGGAGGACTCGAAGCGGGCGCTGCGTTGTGTCAACGATTTGTGCCTCTGCCTCTCAATTCTTCCATAGGTTAAATCCACGATCTTGAGTCTGCTGGACTCATGAGCTGCTAGTACTGGGGACAAGCGGTGTGCTCGACTCGGTAACAAGTCGTTGAATGTTATGATGAGTGATGAACCAGTCCCCCAAATGACAACACACAGTCCATGCACCAGTTTCGCAGTAAAGACCTTCGTAATGGTCTGATAGATGCCACGTTCTTTTCGGTTCTGTGCAGTGCCGCGTGCGGCCATGATGCGATGAAGCTCGGCTAGTCGGCGGAAGGCAAACCCTGCGATGTGCGACAACACGAAGGGGGCTGAGGCAGAAACCAGAGCAGTAACTGACTGTGCCTGAAGTTAAGATTGTGGTCGCTAGGCAGAGCTCGAGAACGAATATCAGGACTTTGACGACGTTCCGCCAAAATTGATCGATCACAAACTAAATGCGTCCCAGGTCGCGCAACTGGCTCCCCTACAGATAAGGTTCGCTGTGGTGCACGGACTTGACGCAATGATTTCGATCAAACATGCGACTGCGATGTGCAAGTTGCAGGTTTCCGACAACCCGCCGTCACCGCGCTGCTTCGATCATGCAGGCATATTTGGTCACGCGCCAGTTCGGCCGCGCCTTGAGATTACGGGCTCAGCAAGTGTATCACATGTATGTTATCATATGGACTGGTGTTTCCCTCCTTGGCGGCGCCATGTTGATCCGACTTCTAGCTCGGTGCGACCTGCATGTGCTTGTGCATGCGCACCGGACTGGCCGGATGCTGTATATACACCTTTCAGCATTCGGACACTACATGCAGGTCATATGCCATCATGGCTGCGCCGCCGAATCAGCGATCGGCTTTCCGGAATTAAGTTAGTGTGATGCAGGATTGATCGACTCGATACAGACCACAAATGGACGGTAAATATGTATGTAATAACGTGCCCGCCCCTTTGAATCGGATCGTTCTTGCATTGACCAGGGCTTTAAAATTGTGGGCTTTCATTGCACCAGGGAAGACTGAATGATTGGAACACCATGCATGAGCTAGGATGCCATGCAGGGCACCTGGCAAGACCTGATCTGTGTACGTGATTGTAAAACCTAGGCATCTGATCGCGCCGCAACAATCAAAATGACAGATCGCCTAATGCATACGTTCCGTCATCGGCGATGCACATCAAGAGGTATGTACTCAGCTTTGCCTGCACTGGGCTCCTATATCCTGGCCTACCGGAGTATCTATATGCTTGTACCCCGCTAAAATTCGGTAGCCTAGAGCATAGAGTTCGACCTTCGGGCCTGGAGGTGCGCCTGTCCATGGTCAATATAGGATCCCAAAATTTACCCTCCTTTGGATTAGCAAGCTTAATCGTGGCACCTTGAAGACACACCATTTGTTTCCTAAAACTTTTTGAGGTATAGCTTGTCCAGGCCACACGCTAGCATGATGGTCCATACTTATTGAACCTTGCGGGTCTATGTTTGAACCACTCGTGCCATATCCAGCTTGACGTAGCGTCAATGTGTTACTCCCTCTACTTCGTCCCTTCAAGTTCGTGCAGCCCGGTACGTAACTCGTCCCCCACGTGGTCCCCTTCCAGCTTCTTGTGCAGGTAGTGGTCGAAGTGCCACGTGCTGCGGCAAGCGGGGTGCGTTAGTTAGCCCGGTCACTGCCTGGTAGACGTAACCGCCCTGTTCTGTTCTTGAGCGGGGGGGCATCCCCGCTTCCTTTTCTTGCGGCCTCTACGTCGGCCACGAACAAGGACGGAATAAGGTTCACGACAAAGGCTAATTTCTCCTAATCTTCGACCTCTTACCAGAAGCCCTGGTCTTCAAGGGCCTTATGGTCAACTTGGCGGAGCCAGAAAGTAGAGGTGGGGAAGGCCCATTGAAAAGGCCATCCATCTCTTAAAAAGAGAGCATCCGCAATGACCTATGTCGTGGCTTCTCGGTTCAAGTAATGTTACTGCGCAGCTAGGAGCGAGGCCGCGTTCCAGTCAAAGCCTACGAGACTCCATGAGCGGGTTTTTAGTAACGCTCTTACCCGTGCCCCTTGCCGACGCGGCGCAGCTGCGCCACGTAGCCGGCGGTCTTCTTCACGAGGACGGTCTGCACATCGACACGTGGCGCACGCTGAGAAGGGAATAGCGCTTCGTCTCATCGACAACTTGCCACGGCTTTGACTACGAGAGCACTTCGACATCCTAAATCGTCAGAGTCGGAGGGGAAGTGTACCGCACACGAGACAAAGGCAGAAAAGGGGAGCCCTCAAGGATCTCACGGAGAGCCCTCAGCCACGCAACGATACTAGTAACTTCGAACCTCGTCCTCGAATCGCATAAGCGAAGATTGCACGGGAGAGAAAGAGATTCGTGAGGAGAGGTGGAACGTACCAGGTGGCTGAGAAAACTGTCGGTGATGAAGTCCGAGAACTCCTGATCCCCTTCCTCGTCTGCTAGCTGCACATCGAAACACCCTTCTCCTCATTGAAGCTGATTCACACCAGATGACCTTCTTCAAATTTTCGGCTGTGTCTGAAGAACGGTTTATAAATTACCCCCTTGCACCAGCTTTCAAAGCTCTTTCCCAATATTGCACCAAAATCTGAGCTCTTTCCCAATATCGCACCGAAATCTGAGGTCGCGGACTAACATGAAAACGGTGAGGTCGGGGGCGGTCCGGTACCTGGAATCAACTCGCAACCTGTGCACCTTGCAGCCCTTTACTCCCTAGCTTCAAGGGCAATGTTCTGATGTCAAATACGACCACAGGAAGACTGCTTTCAGCTCACTTTGTGCCATGTCCATACCACACAATATAGTCGTTGGTTGTGAGACTTACCCGCGCCAGGTCTCGGAATTTCTGTTCCTGGAGTTTGTACATGGCAAGAACCAGCTCCATCGCTGCACGCAAAGGACGACGTGACATCTCAGTGACTGTTGGTTCTCAAAACGTCCCAGACTTTGGTGCCGCCTGAAACTGGTGCAAGTGAGGTCCGCAAGCCAACCTGTCGGCCGGCTAGACTCCGACCAGCCTCGTCCGAAGTTGGATACGACGTCTGGCGGAACAGCGTCGCTGCACCACGGCTGCCATTGAAGACAGACCCCTCAGTTTTCTTCTTATGCCACGAAGTCTTGAGGAAAATTCAAAACTAATCAAGTAGCCATAAACCCATTTTGTCGCAGATCTGTTCTGACAAGATCTCCACCGATGCATCAACGTGTGCTAAAGCAGGTTTTTTTTGCTTCGGACAGGGGCGTGAGCGAACGAGGTCAGGCTTCTTTTCACGCAAGGTCAGAAAGTCTTACTGTAGAGGGCGTCGCCCTTTTGATCATGGTCGAAGTCGGTCTGGGACTCGCCGATGGGGCAGAGCATCGTCTTCCCGCCACGGAGACTCTGCAGACGACGTCCTTCTTGTCTATGGCGGACCGAGTTTTAGAGATGAAGCGTCCCGATACATGGCCGTCACAAAGAATGCAAACACAAACATTTTTCAAAAAAAATCCCCGGGCGCCTCAAACGCGCTCTTTTGGCGACCGTAGGCTCTCCCAGCTCACGAGAAAATAAACCTGGAACTTAGCAGACCAAGAGCGACGTTTCGAACTTCGACCGAAAGTGCAACTGCAAGAGGATCGACGGGCAATCAATCGAGCAGACAAAGCAAATCTTCTGTTTTTAAGAGCCGATGTGAGGTGCCGCTTGAAACCCGGAAAAAGCTGCAAATTACGAACACTACTCGGGCAGATTCGAAGACGTCTTCCTTGACGGACACAGGTGTCTTCAAAACCCCTCTGCGTCATTCTTCGCTTCTAATTCGACAGTATTGTGGATTGGAACATTACGACCTAGAATCCGCGCATTTCGCACCTGATAGCGCGACAGCTCGAGCGCGTCCGCGCGCTCCCGGTTGCTGCGGTCGATGTACCAGCGCGCGAGGCCGCGCAGGCTGACGTAGTCGCGCGAGCAGTAGCTCGAGAGGGCGTGCAGAGCATACGAGATGCTGTAGGACACGCTGCGGGAAAAAACGGGGGCGGAAAATGTCGTCGAATCAGTTCGAAGAAAGTCCTGGCTCTTCTGCTCTTCGTGCATTATCTCTGCTCGCATCCTCCCTTTTTCAGGAGCTTGAGGATTTCTGTACGCGTGACTTTGCGGTGAACGCGTTACTTTTTAACGATGGAAACGGAGTGAGGTCGGAATGTGCTGCTCAAAGACTTGTCTGTCATTCGCAGAGTGATGCCCGAAAACGCAAACGAAGTGTAAAGAAGACGGGAACCTTTGCAAGGCACAGGCCAACACAATAGCAGTTTTACTCGACTGACTGTGCAACTTTTTTAGCTGCACGCTAACTGCTGGCTTACTTGATCATGTCGTTGAGACCGCTCTCCAGCTTGCTCGGCCACTCCTGGCGGACGATGCTCTCCTTCGTACCATCAGCGGGAACCAGATTTTCGAGCCCGACGGAATTTACTTCGGACAGGACGTCGTACACCTGAAGAGCAACGGGTACAAGTACGAAGATCACGATCCGTATTGAGAAGATATGTTGGGCGTTTGCTTATAATCCAATCCAAAGTAGGAGGATTACCCTTCCGACCTTAAAAATGTATCCAACAACAACGGTTGATCTCTTTCGTGGAAACAGGTCACTACTTCAAAGACAGTGAAAGGGTGGAAGAGGGATGCTAGCCGGAGGATTTTGACCAATTGCAAGCGGATCTTGCAATAGCCGAAAGCAAGGATTCCTTTGAAGGACCACTTCCCTCGAAACCTTGTCAGCTTCAGATTTTTTCCCCCATACGTGGTTAAATACTGCATTCTGGTCCCACTTTCTGACTTAGAGCTCTGGTGCTATCTGAGCGAGTTTTCTCCAGATGGTAACCTGTAAACCGTTCTCCGCAACTGTCTGCATTCTGATAAAATCTGCAATTTTCTCCGGCTTGGTCGAAGTTGGTCGTATTACAACTTGTTCGCCATCCTTCGATTTTGAAAGCAAGTCAGTCTCAGGTTTCGCTAACCCAGAAACATTTGTTCAAAATGACACTAGTTGCTCTACAAAAGCTATTGCTATGATCTGAACCCAGGAGCTGCAACCTAGTAGCACGAGAAAAACTTTCTTCAAAAGCTCTGGTTACACAAAGCATCTCTATTTGTTGTGCTCCACGGGTGTTCTGAGTGCAATTCGCAATCAAAGGAGCTTCCCTTACAAAGAATTAGAGCATCCTAACAGCATTGCCTTCAGGACAGGCAATCCAGCAACTCATGAAGCATGTTGCCCTATCTGACTGGAAACTTAACCAGATCGCCATCTTCTAGATTCACCTTCAGGGTCTTGGGAAGCACGAAGTCTCACCTTCCCAGCCTCGTTATGGGCGCCCCTCTCCAGTACCAGCTCGATCTTTGGCCTTCCGCTGATTGCAGCAAGGGCACATGACGTCACAAGCCTCTCAGGGATGAGCTCAGCTGCCTCGTTCGTCCATAGCTTGTTGGCCTTTGGAAGGCCGCTCAGATTGCTGCTTCTAACCAGAGTAGAGAACTTTGAGACCGATTCGAGCTGCCAAAAGCTTGGCGGGCCGTTGAGAAGGACTCCGCTTCTCAGAAAGTTCGAAGAATTCCGGCTCAGAAGCGGAAAGACGATCCTCATTAACGAAGCTGGCGCCGCCATTTTGAGATCAGGTACAGAACCGGGCTCGCAGCCGACTTTATCACGAATAAAGTTCAACTGATCTTCAGCTCCTCTCCCACTGTCCTGCGAGCTCAAAGGAGGTGGTGAGCTTCGCGCATGCAAATAGTCTAAATGGGTAATGTGATTCAAGAGCGGCAGAGGAAGGCTTCTTCTCCAATCGCAATGCTTGGTCACTTGCTGCGCAGCGAAGTTTGCATGCAGCTCAGTAACACGGACTGACCCCGGCCCCGCGACGGCGACGGCCGGAGGCGAACGGGGTTGTGGCGTCGTGCATGCATGCGCCATTGATGGCCCGCAGGCGTTCAGCGGACGGCTGCGATGTTACGTTGTTTCCAGTTTCGGATGCCGTCAAATTTGAGGCAGGAAAATCGGCGATCCGGAAGCCGTCACCGTATGTCAACGGCGGCCGCGAAAAACGGCTCAGCGGCCGCGCAATCCGACCGAGCGCAGGTTCTGGCTCGCCGGGGCGGTCTAGCTACGGACTGCTGGTTTGCGTGCAAGCTGAGCACAAGCCAGCACATGTGAAATTCAAAGCTACAGTAGCTTACCTATGCACGAGCGCCGGCGACCGGAACTCGCACTGTAAACAAGAGAAGCAACAGGAGCTTGAGCAGTTAATGCTGATTGGCGCGCATCTCGAGATGACACATAAGATCATGCAAGCGTGACAGGTACATGTTCACCGTATGGAGCATCTGCTGATGAGTACCTCGAAAGGCTCGACTCATTACTGAAGGTCTCGCTGGTTTTCGTCACGGACTGTGGCTTACCGGCAGCTTACAAGATCAGACCAAAGGCATGCTGGAAAAATGTCACTAGGATAGACTTCCAGGTTTGTCCGCTCGAGTCAAGATGACCTGCGTCCACGTGTCTGCTGCTGGTCGTGACCAAAATTCGGCTCCTTCTGCACAGCAGACTCCAGCCTCGTTGCGCCCAAGAAGTTTGAAACGTTTGGATATTGGCAACGCAAGCCCGCTTAAGGCGCTTATTTCGAGCGTTCGTATACCCCTTGGACTGCTCTTCAATCGCCTACATCACCATCGAGAGACGAAGCAACATGGCGAAGGAAGGGGCATCCGGAGACAAGGTGAGACGCTTCACTGAGAATGCAAACGCTCTCTAACATTCCGCAGCTATTCTTTCCTCCGGAAGTGGGTCCAGAATGGAAGGTTCCTGATGCGCTATGTTTCGTCATGAGTTTTTGGCTTTCCCGTGAAGAACGTGATGGCTGGCAGCGCCTTTAAAAGTGAGTTGCGCTTCGTCAAATTTTGGAGACGCCCCCATGCCTCCAACGAAAATTGAAAAGTCGCTCATCATGCAAGCAACCTTGGAAGTCAGCCACGGACCCACCAACCGAAACGAGAGCACAGGAAGTCCTCCAACAACCTTGATGCAAACCAGAGGATATTCGCCCAGCAACCTCTTCCCTCAAAGCGCTTCCAGACGGCAGAAGAAAATGGCGTATCCCGCGCATGACTCATAAGCGATGCCTGAATTGAGGGCCGCTTGAATCCATCATCTTCAGACACCCCATTGCGCGCGCGCATTCCGTCCCAGGTGTATGACGTCATCGCTGAGATCAAGGCCCTGGGCCTGGAGAAGCTGGTGCCCGAGGAGGGCCGCCTCGGCGCGTTTGCGCGCCAGCGCTGGTCGGACAAGCGGGAGGCGGGCCTCAATGACATCATCAAGTGAGGGCTCCACAAGAGTCTCGTTCCTTTCATCCCGTGGGCCTTCAGTTCTTCTCAGCGCTGCCGGAAGTTGAAACTGCGGTCCTCAAGAAAGGCACCAGACACGTTCTGCTTGGCGCATCCATCAACCTGATGAATGTCGCAACCCCTAGATCAGAGGGGGGCTTGGTTGTATTATCAACCTGTGTTTAAGATGATATTGTTCTTTATTCACACAGGAGAAACCTCAGAGAAGTACTGGGGAACCCCCCAGGACTAATTACGGGCAAAGCCAAAACTCTCCGTTGCGTTGCTGTTCTGGTGGACCAGTCGACATACACATATTAGTTGAAACCTGGTTTTTGGTTTGCTCCACCTAGTTCCCTTCAGAGTTAGTCGCGGCCCGAGAGTGCCTCGCTCATTCTGCCCCCACCTTTCTGTCTCACTAGCTTGAGATCTGCAGTCTCGACATTCACGTGCTGGCGCCCAATCTGACTTTCGCCTCAAACCAACAAACTCTGCTCCGATCTCCAAGTTTCCTCTTTCCTTCCAATCCAAATGTTTCCGAGCTTCCCTTCGTATGTCTACCCCTTTTTGCATGTCTCCAGCCACTCATACGCTATGTCGTACGCGCTCCATTCGCTCGCGAGCTTCTGCGCGCGCGACTACGTGTCCCTGAAGGGCCTCGCGCGCTTCTACGCCGACAGGAGCGACCGAGAGCGCACCTGCGCGATGGAGCTGTCGCGCTACCAGGTACGAGACCATTTCTTTCGTTCTTTTCCATCGCCGCCTAAGCAAATAGCTTTGCAAACTTACTCAATTGCCTGATAAACGGCACGGATGACCTAAATGGAATGATCACGAGGGATCCCAGATACAGACATAGTTCCGGGCGGTGTGCGAAAGGATTGATAGAAGAGACGGCTGGTTTTCCATAAAGTTGAACCATCGAAAAGCACAGACAAATTGAACAAGCACGGCACAAGTCATTCTCACGATGTTCTTTCCGAGTTTCGAGGAACGGTGGACTTTCTGATTGCCCTGTTAGGAAGTCAACCGCGGCTCAGTCCTTTATTCTCTTCACTTTTTAGCTTCTCTTCGGAAGAAAGTCAGGACGTGGGCTGTATTGAGTTGGGCAGTAGAGATTACCGGCCCAGCGTTCTGTAATTTTGCACTGCCTCGGATCACCGAAAGCCCCCCACTCCTCAGATGGCTGAGCGCTTTTCAACCGCCCATTCAAGTCCAATTCGGCCCATCCAAGACTTTGGGCCGTGTCAATATTCTCGCGTTTTGGATCCCTTTCCGACTTCCTGAATGCAATTAGGTGATTCCTGTCCAGTCAACCACTTGCGTCCTCACACTTTGTCGGAAATTGAGCAATTCACAATGTGGTACTCCGTTAGAAACGAGCTCCGTTCAAATTTTTACTTGCAACCTTCGTAAGTTTATCATCTCAGAAACGTGAATGAGCACGACGTGCAGGGCCTGCGTGGCGGGAAGGTGGTGCTGTACCAGATCGGGCAGCCGGAGTCTGAGTTCGACCACGAAGAAAAGGGCGAGGCGCTCTACAGTAAGTTCCGGGCTCGAAAGCGGAATCCGCTGCGCTTCGTGGCTTTTCTTGTGAGCGTTGGCAAGTGAGCGACTGCTCTAGACACACCAGTATTGTCTACTTCTGGAATTGTACGCAGATTCATGCTTACGCAAGCGGCCGATCAAAACCCGTGAACCTGCCTTTAAATCCTTGGTAGCTTATCTTCGGCTCCGTTCCCGAAAGAGCCCTTTCCTGTCAGAGTGTTTACAAATGTGTTCAACACGGCACTTCCGTTCGCTCTGGTCTTCAATTTGGTCGGCGGAATCCTAACGAAATCTCTATTTTTCCCCTGTGCAGCCATGGAGATCGTTCTGGCAATCTTCAAGGTCCACAACGAGAAGCTCCGCGACCTTAACCAGGCACGTACCAGCTTCTAGTGCGCTGCGTTACTGTTGGTAGGATACGGATGACGCGCTCAGATGTAACAAAATCGTTTCCGTGTAAAGCGCAACTTATCCCCCTTGGTTGCAGCGCGCGGTTGCCTTGCCGAGTCGCAGAGATCTCCTTCCATAACAGCAGCCTCGCCGATTCGTAGGGATGATTTACCGAAGAGAACCCCCTCAGTCAGAGGACCCAAGAACTACAGTAGTGCAGCGACGTCGCTCTCTCACAACTTTATCTGCAAAGTGGTACTGCGCGTAGAGCGTCCGTCAGTAGATTGGGTAAAGCTTTCTGCTTAGTGCTCACTTCGAGCTTTCTTTTCGAGCTTTGATTGTATCACTTTCGATCCGCCGCTCATGTGCTTGCTACAAGTGGTTCACGCGAGTAGGAATTCCTAGAATAACCCAGGGGGATAGTTCGACTTATTGGAGAGCCGCAACAAAGCTTCTCGTTCCAGAGCTGATGGGAGTCTTAATGCCTCGCAGCTGGCAGCCGAAGAGAACGACGACGAGTTCTCCGATTACCTCACCGACGGCTTCATCCATCCCCTGGTGAGGCATTAAACTCCCTTCTCAATCATCTTTGATCTTTTTCAAAGTTTCTCCGCATATAATGATTTTTGTTCATCTTCGCCCAGCTCTGAATGTTCTTTCGCGTCTTCGCTGTTGCAACAGGGTATGTTTCAAATCGGTCTATCTTGGTGAAAAGATGCGTCACACGATCCACCACTGCTCTCAGTGAGATCCATGTTCCAAAATTTGTTTTGGACAAGCTTGTACGGCGGTTTGTTTGGGTGTAAGTGCCCGTTGCTGCTTCTCACTTCGTGAACCCCGATTGTTTTGGTTCACTTTTGAAAGGTGGCCATGATGCAACGATATTTTCTGGGAAGAAAGTGTCCTCTCAGAGGACTTGTCAGGTTGCCCTTCGGAGCCACAGTCAAAGTTTCTTGAAATACCCCGACGCGAAGATCCCTTCATCTTTTATTTCAAATTGCGGCTCAACCCAGAAGTACGCAACTAAGATTGGAGGAACATTTCCAGCTCCCCTGCTCTCAACTTTCCGCGGTGGATACACGTCTGCACTCCCCCATTAGAGTACCGTTGCTCCGTATTCTTGTTAGCTGTTTTGTGAGGAAAATGTTTGTTTTCGGTATAACATGTATAAAGAATAGGTTGCTCAACCATACGTATCCGTGCTGGGCCTGAACTCCTAAACTTTGCTCCAGTCTGCGCTCTTCCTCATTTCGATGCAACCACTTCTCTTGGCAGCACGTATTCACGATCTAGCAAGGGACTGACCTGCCGAGCGGTGAAGCATTTGTGCTCTTTCTGTTCCCTTTCTCCATTTCCTTGCACCCGTCGCTGAGGCTTTCATTTCAAGTACAAGCACTTTCGGACTGTTTCGGAAACCGCCCACGTGAGCGCTCGGCCGGCTGCCGGTGTTGCCGCGGGTTTTACACGTCACACTACCCGCGCGCGCTTTGAACAACTTTCCTGCGCGCGCTCGCAGGTGATCACCGTCAAGAAGCTGGCCGGCATGGTGACCCAGCTGCGCCGCGTCGGCAAGGGCCACGGGTAAACTCCTTTAAGCCCAAACCCCTTTGCACCTCTGAATTTTCAGCAACGTATGTTTGGTCTAATTCTTCTAAAACGTAGAGCTCAAGCCTTCGACCATTGAAAGGAGTACGCAAGTAACGTGTTGGGACGGCTCAGAGGTCAACATTTCTTTGACTGATGTTTTATGGGAGCAGCCCGTGAGTCCGTCGCATGAAACAAGTGCTGTCCCGCAAATTTGTTACTTGGAGAGAAACCATTCTGCGTCCCTTGTATGCAACACTCAACACCTCGACACCACTGTACAACAAAGCTGGCGCTGCGTTCGCTTCTTTTGCGAGCTACTGCCAGTGTCCAAATCCGAAGCGTTTATATCCCCTCGCCCTTCCTGCTTGCAAGTACACGTGGCAGATTGGCGACGCCCAGAACCAGGAGCGAAAAAAGAAGCTGTCGTCGCTCAGCCCTATTGACGGAGCTATTGACGGGGTAAAATCACAGCCGTTGATCACCCTATGTCGCTCTCCGATGTGCAGCACGTGGCACTTCGACCACTCTCTGAACAAGAGGCTGAAGAAGCACGAGGTGGGGGAGGAGATTGCGGACAGCGGCGGCGAGACGTCGGAGGAAGAGGAGGACGAGTCTGAGGCCGCGCTTCATGCGGACGTGGCAGTCTGAGGAGCCGCCACGTGGCTGGCAGCTCGGAGCTTTTAAAGCTGGGCTTGTAGAAGAAGGGGACGAGGCTGTAAAAAGAGCAGCAGGCTATAAGAAGTAGAGCGTCTAGGTTATAGCTTGACTGACCTGTTAGGACGAGAGTAGGTTAGATATGCTCTTGGCGAGGGGGGAACGAAAGTATGCGACGTTTTGAAGAAACGTAGATACCGGAATATGCTTTAGCTGACTTCGAGCTAGGAATCACAGCGGAGTCGCTCTACAGAGAACGGAGCCGAAACTTTTCTGAGCTTTGGGCGTTTGTGCGAGTCGGTGCGCTTTTGAACCCGTTTCTTCAGGCATCAACCGGATTTAAGCAGTAAATTAGGCCTCTTCTAACAAGTGGGTTCCGAGCATTGCAAATAATGCGGACCTCGTTTCGTGACATTCTGCTATATCTGCCCATCGACTTTGCCCAAAGCGGCTTTACCCCACTAACGCAAACATCAGGTACATGAAGCCCAAATAAGTTTATTGCAGATCTCGTTATGGATATCCATCATCACGCACATCGTTGTTTGTTTTGCATCATACTTGCACCATAAGCCAATTACCGGCCGGCTGAGCCACTCAAGCACCTCGCACCACTGATATATGGCGACTCATCTATTCACGGCCGGGGCAGGGCTATGAGCAGGAGCGCAAACGAGCCACTCCCTGGCATCCCGTCTGGGCTCTTCGACATGTAAGAGGTATCCATGCAAATGTGCAACCGTCGTACAGCATACAGAAGAGTGAAGCAGCTGAAGCAGGATCGACTAGCTAGCATGCAATTTTCACACAAGCCCATGGGCTCAGTGCCTTTAGTACGCGGGGCCGGGTGGCCGCGGCGCTCCTGCAATGCGGCAGTGTTGATCCAACTGCCGGCCCCGCGGCACATTAGTCAAAGGCCGAAACGTGAAGGCGGCTCGAGTAGCTTCTTACCGGGTACGTATGATACTTTCGCATGTTATTCCGATATCGCTTGATCGATTGCAATCCAACCAGATGATCGGGAGCGCAATTGTCGCAATTTCCATGTTGACCACCGCGCATATTTCGATTGCGCAATCTGCATACTTAGCTAGCTAGGTTGACTAACTCAAGAGGAGGTACAGGCGCAGGGCGCCAGGTCTAGCAATGATGAAGCAATGATCTCGAAACAGTTACACCAATGGTCAGCATGGTTTCATTAAGTTTTCAAAATCGATAACATCCTACTGTACACAGAGATAATAATTCAAGTTGGACGAAGTTCCACGTCTCTAACATTTCTTTTCAGAAGCAAGCTGAAGCTCCCCGCAACTTGTAAAGCAACACGCAGTGCTGTTTCTTGCCAGTTGTCGACCCTACTAGTTGCAAACGCAATGGTGTCTGTTGCCGACTTGCCTATGTTACACGAACGAAAGTCAAAGGGCTCGCATTGAAATACCTAAGAGCGCTGTTATTGCTGCCAATTTGGAGGCAGAGCGGGGCCAATGACCGCCCCATGGCTCTCTATAATCTTAGCAGCCTTCACAAGGAGCGTTTGCTTCGCAACCAAGTAGTCGTCGAACCCCTGCAAGGATGAGAAAGTTGATCTAAGCAACCTCGTCGACCAGACTGTTGCCCTGTGCAGAATCATAAGACGGAACAGACAACACGAACGGAACGGGAGCGGTTGACAGCCGAAGCACTCCGCACTCCGGGAGTGGCAAGGAATCTTCTGGAATTTAGTTCTGATCATGTCCGAGTCGGTTCTTTGATTCACTTTGGTGACTACGTTAAGCTATCTCGGGCCCCAGCGACCCCACTTTAGCGGGCTTAGACACGTCAAGCCGCAAAATGTACGACTCCAATGCTAGGTTAAAAGTCCATGTCTGCACTATTTAGAGCTCAGTGGGCAAATCCTTGCACACGTTTATTCTCTCTTCGGCGATTACAATTGCCTTCGTGACAATCTCCGCCCTCGGCAGCTGTAAGCAACGAAGCACAACGCGCAAACACAAAAACCACCGCCTCAACATCTGAATCATTCCAAAAGAAATGGATATTACACTTTCACAACCCAGGAAACTACTCACAGTCGGCTTCGTCAGCCCGTCGATGGCAATCTCCGACCCCACCGACGGGGCTCAACTACGACGCACAATGCGCCAAGCACAAAACCAGCGCCAAGTCTCCAAGAGCTTCTTGGTCTCAATGATACTTACAATCGGCTTCGTAACCGCGTTCATAGCGATCTCCGCCCCCAGCGGCCCCACTTTCGCCAGGAACGCGCGCGGGGGCTGCTCCTGCGTGTCAACGGCGGGGTGCGCGCGCAGCAGCTCGCGCAGGTCCGCGGTGATGGCGTCGACGGCGCTGATGTCACGGTGACGTACCAGGAACGTGCCCTCGATGTAGCGCGTCTCTTGGCGCGAAAAGTTGGTGATCGTCTGTAGAAAGTGGGGGTGACGGTCACAATCGTAGAAGTTGGAATTCGACTTGATACATAAAGTAGGGGTCAATTTGTCAACCAGAATCCATCCGGACTATAAAGAGATGATACTGAGCGCTGAACGTGAGAACGCCGGAGACAGGATCCTTTCTGACCACGGGGAGGAAGAGGCTTCCTTCATAAAGAAAGGGGGCCTTGTGATAATTCAATAAGGCCAACAGATTGCAAGGACCGATGCGTCGACAACAATCCAGTCGCTTCCAGGCGTTGGATGTGCAAGTTCGGGAGAAGAAATTAGGTATAGCCGCTACGCCGAATACAACGTCAGCCCGCTTCAGGTAAGCACATTCCCTAAGCAATACTGTCTAAACAAGCGCTTAGGCTCAAATAAACATGACCATAGGTACGGGACAGGGGCAAACTTGTCACCCGTAAGTGGAAAAAAACCGTTTCAGCAGCAAGAACTTGAAATTGTTGAGAGGAGAAGGAGCGCCGTCTCACCGAGCAAGTGAAGCTGGAGTTAGGGACGTACGTGATGGCACGGTCAACTGTGAGCATCTTCGTGTTGTAGAAACCTGCGAGAGATAGTGAATAACTCAGTCGGCTTTTACGGACAGCGCCTTCGCTCCTTCATGCTTTCCAGTAGACGTCCGGACTAGTTCCCGATTTAAGCGGGGAAGCATTGATTTTGTCAGTGACGATTAACGGACACCAGTTCGGGTTAGATAGACAAGTCCTTTTTAATTGAAGACCTCTCTATCTTGAGGTCCAAATGGACTTTTGCATTGAGTCCAGAGTAGCAAAGTTTGCGAAAGCGCAACGGAAAGTCACGCCGAAGATAAGAGACTGCCCAGATAGACCACATACTCGTCACGTTAGAAGCATTCCAAGCGGCTGAGTGCGGCCGTTCGCTCACCTATGTCCAAGACTTTCCCAGTCGCAGGGCCGGCCTGCAGGGTTGGAAGACAAGTCAAATGAGATTAACAGGAGGTGGTGAGAGAAAGAAGGAATGTTGGAACACCACAGAAGGACTTCAGGAATGCGGACCTGAGGAAATGCACAAAAGCTGCAACTTCGTTTCCAAGCCATCTCAAAGTCCCGTGTTGTTATGAAAGATATGTGTGTTGGATTGGATGGAATCTCCTCGTCCTGGCCTTGCGCAAAGGTCTGCGGAATCCAAATCGTTGATCAACAAGCCCAAGTTTTCAAAAGAAGCTCATCGGCGACTTGAAAGCCTAAAATATCGAACGGATCCCAGAGGGCGTCTCCCCAATGCCAGCATCTCATCCCAGAGGTTTGATGCTTCCGTTATGAAGCGGTCACTTTGGCTCCGACTCTGAACCTTCCAAGATTCGTAACAGAAGGGCCAGTCTCTTAGGCCCTTCTCGTATCATATTGTCCTTTACCCAAGGAGAGCCAAACTACGGAACTTGTGACTAGTCGTCACATCGCAAAAGCGTCTGTGCTACTTTTGTGCGGCGATAGAGGGAACATTGAAAGTCCTAGCGAGCCGTCAAACTGTCAGGACCTCGATAGAATCTGAACCAACAGAGCCCATGTCGAAGCACCCAAGTCCGTTACTGTTTTAAAACCAACAAATTCTGACCGCGACGGCAAGTTGTTACAAAGAGAGGGGGCGCACGACTCACGCTGATAAATTCGCCAATCTTGAATGGCCGTGTAACGTACATAAGCGCCCCGCTGAAGAGGTTGCCCAACAAGTCCTTTGCCGCCAGCCCCGCTGCAATTCCCGAGACTCCCCCAATTGCTAGCAAGGACTGGAAAGCGACCCCAATGACTTCGCCCAAGCTGAGGGCTGCGACTGTTACTAAGCCGATGGTAGCGACTTTGTCGAGCACAATGTAGCGGTCCTGCGGGATGAAAAGCCTGGTTAGCATAACCCCACAGCTAGAATGGCTGATAAAACGGTAAGTACCTCGAGAGATCACTTGAACGTAGACATCAATTGAACCAGACGACAAGTTTAGTCCAGATTAAGGTCAGTTACTTTCGTCTCCATAGGTTGATCGCAACGATCACCACAGATCACGTTCGACGATGGCAATGAGAAGCGAATATCCTGCACAAGAAACAGTGTGCTGCTGCTATGTATCAACAAGGTCAACTGCAAATTGTGTAAGAAGGACGCGAATTTCGTTCTCTCGTTCCCTCCCTTGGATTTTGACATTGTTTCTTTGACCTACTTACCCGGTCATGCGGATTGTGCCTAATGAGCAGCCTGGTGTAGTTGCTCTTCCAGCGGAAACCAAACCAGAGACCACACAGGACGATAGCCGCCCGTCGGGCCAGCCACAGCTGCTCGGTGGCAAAGTAAGTGGGGAAGAAGAAGGTGGACGCACTGCATTGTCCGAGAATGCAAGTGATAAGCAGAAGGAAAAGGCGAGACGCCAAATGAACAGATCAAGGATAATGTAGAGAAAGGGGTCAACAGAGCACGACAGGACTGACAAATCATTCAGCTGATTTGGAAGAAATTGAAGGACAGAGTTGTTTTACATCTGCAGGATCCAAAGAGCTGGATTCTTCCTGCATTCGAAGGTAGCACGCCAGCTGCCAGCGCTTATAACGTTTGCTCGACGAGGGTCTCTTCTCCACTGGCCCATGACCTTTGAATGGTCCAACTTCATTCATTGAAAGTCACTTCTAAGTTATCCCTACTTCAGGACATCCGAGCGGGAATGAGCACTGATTTTCGGGAATGAGCACTGCTTCCGGACGCCAAACAACATCTGCTTGATCCGGAGAACAGCCTTTGTTACTCACAAGTGGCTCAGAATCAGGAATGCCACCAGCGCTTTCAGTGGCCAGTCGGCGGCTCCAAACATGGAGTGCTCAAATGGTACATTGTTGGCGGTCACATCCCGTTTCTTCTGCACCACCAAACAGGTCACAAAGATTAGAGATGGTACGGTTTGGCATGGTTGCGAAAGGGGAGCCACGGTGACCAGCTTGGCCTCTGATTGTGAACTGCAATCAAAGGTCTGGAGATACATAATGGGTCACCTTCTTTGGTGGTTTGCTAATGGGTTCAACATAGCCAGGAGAAGCTTGCGTAGGCAGTAACTTTTCGCATTGACAGCCAAAACAGCATCTCCTTGGGTTACTACCAGTGTAAGGAGGGCAACTGAGCTCACATTTGGCCCATGCTTAATGATGACGTTCTGCGCAACACTTCTCCAACAGTCTCCTCATGTCTGCATGCATGCAATTGTCCCAGGAGGAGACTAAACATTGATTGAAGTCCAGGGTTTCAAAAGCTGCCTTTCACCTGATAAAATTTGGCATCAACTTTTATTCATAGAACTTGTTTCGACCTGCTTCTGGATTGAGAAGCTTTGTTCACACTCACCCCTGGCTCCTGAAATGACTGCACTTTGGACTCCACTTGGTCTTCAGCCTTCTGGTAGACACCGTGCGCCAAGCGCAAAAGGGTGGTACCCTGGACATACACCAGGTAGAGAGTTGCGCACAAGACGCCCTCTTCTAGAAGAGCGTCAAACCAGCTCCGGCCCGCAACCTTTTCTGCAACCTTTTCTGCAATCGCTTCCATTGCAGAAGAAGCTCAACAATGTGAGAGATGCTGTCCTGTCACAGTCAGTGCAGCGGCGTCAATTGCGAGTGTACTCTGAAAAATTGCAGTAGAGCTTTCTGCAGGGTTGATGAGGGGATCAAAGCAATGCTGCTGGTCCTGCAGAGTCTCGTCAAAACGAACAAAAAGCTGGAAGCTCAATGGAGAAGAAGCAGAAAGCTCCCCTCTTCAGATTCTGCAAGACGAAGAGAAGCAGAAGTCCTGAAGGCTGAAGTCGAACTGGTGTTCATGCCAGCTGGACGCAAATCAAGCTCGCCAGCTGGCATTTCCTTTCCCAAGTAGGTATAAGCAGGGTGCCTATGAGCATTATAGCAGCGCGTATGAGCAAGATTGGAACAAAATGATGTAAGATATTGTATTTTGTAAGTAGAAAGCGGCGGTACCATACAGTAGCATGATAGTTTTACATAGCAAGGCTGCAGCCGAGTTGGATTACGGTACAATCAAAGTTTTGGACTTCGGTTGTATATAATCTGGCTTGAAGTTTTGGCGTAAGAATCTGAGCGTATGGCAATGCGCGTTTCTGCCGTGTCGCAGCTAGGCCAAGCTGATTCAAAGCAGGGAAGCAGGGAGAAGTATCAAGGAAGAGAGGCGTCATTGTTTGCAAAATGGCGCTCCCCAGTCGCCTCCTGTACCAGCTGCTCGGAAAGGAGCTTTTCCACCAAGCACGTGCAAACTCGCATCGCTCCATTAGCCACCCCCGTTTCCCGCCAACTCTTCTCCTTACGCACCCATCTCCTCCTTCCCAGCTGACCTCATCATGCGTCAGCGGAATCCCAAGCATGCCGGAGCAGAGCACCAGCGGGTCCCGCGGGTACAGGCTCGAACCCTGGAGATGTGCCGTATCTAGTCCTGATTCCCAGGCTAGCCATTCAAAACCTCCGCAAGAACCAAAGACATTGCCCTCCGTAGAGGCGGAGTCAAGCAAGCCTGGTACCAGTCAGCGCAAGCCAGAGCAGAAACCCAAGACCATCCCCTTTGTTGATGCCAATGCTGTGCACAAGGCTGAGAATGAACGGAGAGATGCGGTGCGGCAGGAGGCAGCGCCGGGAGTGGCCGAAGCCAAAAGGATCATAGGAGAAGAGGCGAAGAAGGAGCAGGCGAGGAGCGACAGGGATGAGATACTGGAAGCTGCGCTGAATCATGTGGTGAGCTAATTTCTGCCGAGTGGCCGTTGATCAGCAATTGTGTGAAAGTTTTAAGTTTCTGACTTGCATATATATTGAGGAGGGCGAATGGGAAGTGTCAGATCACCCCTTGGTCACTAAATGTTATTGATCACTTCAATGCGGCTCACTGTTTAGTCTGCGTTCAGAGAACAGTCATCATGTTGGTTTAGCTTGGCGCGATGTCCATACAGATCGTGCGCAGGCTTTGCCAAGATGTTCAGGTGCACTCAATCTTCATCTATTCCCTGCACTGGAAGTAAAAGGTTCCCACGGCTTGCTCATCTTCTAGCCTTGCGTCAGATTTGGCATCAATTCAAATCAAGTAAGGCATTGAACGATGTTTTGGTTGCAGTCTACAAAGACCGTCTTGCCTCATCCTGCAGGTCACGTTGGGCTGGTCCGATGCCGCACTCGCTGCGGGGGCTAGGGATATTGGCCTGTCGCCAGCGGCTGCTGGGGTCTTTGGCAGGGGAGGTGTGGAATTGCTAGAGGTGAGGTACAAAGGAAGGATGTTCTTTCTACCTCAGATGCACAAAGGAAGGGCACGCTGTGAGACCAGTCTCGGACGTTGGATTGTTCATCAGATGCGGTTGTTTTTACTCACTGCTACAGGCGTCAGCATCGTAGTACATCTCTGCATCTCCAGCAATTTTTGAGGAAACCCTGCTTTGTAAACCAGCATACGGCGTGCACGTCGTTTGTAGACTATCATCGATATCATCGAGAAGAAGTAGACCGACACTAACTGACTCTTGAATTCGTTATCCTTCGGAGCAGCGAGCATTTTCTACCGGATTCAAAGGATCTCTTCAGCTTCGTTTATCACTGGAACTTCAGATGCATGTTCAAGTGGTGGCCGAACAGATCGGACTTGCCTTCACCTGTTTTAACCCTCTACAAACGACACGACCTGCATTCATCAGTATCTGCACAAACTTGTTGATGAATTGACATGAGTTATGTTCCGCATCTCTCATGAATCTCTCACGCGCCTACTTACTTTCTCGAACTTGACCTGCAATCGATTAGCAATCAAGACTCCAACTTGTCCCGTAGTCTCGTCTTAAGAGCAACTCAGTCTTTCCCTTTGCCGTAGTGGTTCCTTACTAAAATGACTGCGATTCTGTCTTTCCTTCCAAGTATGGCAACATTTCTCACCCTCTGCAAACCCTGATCTTCCCGCAGTTTTTCATCGACGAGTGCAACAAGAAGCTGGCGAAGACAGTAGAGGAGGAAGGGTCCGCGTTCTCGGAGCTGTCCACGCGGGACAAGCTGGTGCAGGCCATCAAGCTGCGGCTGGAGATGCAGGCGCCGTATGTAACCACGTGGCCCCAAGCGCTGGCGCTACAGGTGAGAACCTGGTTTGTTGACTGAGCGGGGACAAGGAGAATCGGTACCGGAGCGAAGCTAAGGCTGGGACCAGTTGGAACTGCAGTGTTTGAAGCGTCGAATCCCATTGGAAGTGCCATAGGACGGCCTAAGTCGCGTATTGGTCCCTCTACTTCAGACGTATAAGGAACAAGATGCCTCTCAGGCCGTCGGAGGATACGTCTGTGAGGATCCAACGGCCAAAATATACAAGATCGCCCGACAGCCCTTACCTTGACGTCAGCAGGGCAAGTTCCAACAACGATCAGCCTTAGCTTCTCTCCGGTACCATTCTCCTTGTCCCCGCTCACACTGAAACTGGTCTGATTTCCTGTATCTCACCTTGACGGCTGCACTCGTGAACCATACACGCTTTCGAAGCCAAGGGGCTTGGCATTCATTTATCGGGTCACGTGTCCCATCAGGCCCTCTCAGAAGGGAACCGCCCGGATGTTGTCGGGGTGTGGCTGCAAGAGCCCTGCCGACGGGCCGAAGAATGGCGTGCGCTCTTCAATGTTTCAAAAAGGTTCAAGTTCAACATACTTTGCTGCACTTCGAGCCACGTGGTCATCTTGGACGAGCGACACGTATTACGCTCGGGGGTCACGGACGTATAACTTTCAATACACTTCCAGGCTGACGAGGCACCGTGACTGGGATAGTCCCTCGTGTGCCTAAAGAAGCCGGCGCTTGATTGTCACGCAAAAGCGACCAGGCGTGTGTGGAAATGCGACGGGAGAGAAGTCTTCGTTTCACCAGTGATCCAACCGTCAGTCAACAGCCTCTCGTAGACTTCTTTCGCAGGCCCTTCCGCTAAAGATGGCTGCTGCCGTTCAGACGAGACCATGAGTGTTTCGACAAGCGACGGTAGTATCATCTGCGTTTCCAAGATGACCCAACTGAAATCCACAAACCCTCTCGTGAAAATTCGTTGCAGGCTCTCCCCCAAAACATGGCTGCTGCCGTTCGGAAGAGACTTAAGAGTGTGTCGATAAGCGACGGTAGTATCATCTGCGCTTCCAAAATGACCCAACTGAAATCCACAGACCCTCTCGTAAAAATTCGTTGCAGGCTCTCCCCCAAAACATGGCTGCTGCCGTTCGAAAGAGACTCAAGAGTGTGTTGATATGCAACGGGCGTATCATCTTCGTTTCACCATTGACCCAACTGAAATCTACAGACCCTCTCATAATCTTCCGTCGCAGGCTCTCCCCCAAAACATGGCTGCTGCCGTTCAGAAGCGGGCCCGTCTCGTGGACGTTCTGTGGGAGGTGACGGGCGACACCGCCGTGGATGCCAGCTGGTACGCCAAGCGGGGGCTGGTCGCCGCAGTCTACGGCGCCACGGAAGTCTACATGCTCACGGACTTCTCCCCAGGCAAGCGCCCTTCAAATTGATGATTCTTTACGTGGTTCGTGTCTGTGATCGTTCAATGACTCCTGAAAGATGACGATTGCTTTCAGAACATCCTCCTTGCTAATGACGAAGGCAGCATGTTTACCGCTCCTGTCCGAGTGGCAGCAGAGTAGGTGTATTTCAGAGAAAATCATGGAGTCCATTTGGCAAAATCTGTACGAAAAGGAAAGTTCTAGCGGGGTCTTGGTAGGTTGCGCCTGGCACCAGGCTTCTTCGGAGGGTGCAAATTGAAAGGCAAGGTCACGCAAATCGCGTAATGCCTTCCGGCTTTTACCATCAGACCTCATCAGACCTCGTCGATCTCGGATGGAAGCGAAAGGAAACCTTGTCTTACCTCTGTGTCGGGCAGGCTTTCTTTCGTATACGCGCGGCATGTATCAGATGCTTCTGCTAGCATCTGATTACCTTTATCGACTTGACTGTACATCTTCTGAGTACGCTTAATATACACCTTTTCCTTTCTTGATTGGCTGTGGTTGATGCCACCATGATAGTGAACTGTTTCCATCCGACTGCACCAAGCGCCTAGAGCCTGATCTTGCTTTCCCATTTGGTGCAGGATTCGCAGAGACGTGGAAGTTCCTCGAGCGGCGGATTGAGGAGGCCGTGGAGCTAAAGAAGTCGGCCGACGAGGTGAGCAGGAAGGCTAGAAGTTGAAGGAAACAGAATGGATTTTCTTCCCAAGTAGCGTCTTTTCGTATATTTGGTTAAGCCCGGCAGTCTGTGGTTGCATTCGGACAGAACGAAAGCTTTATCTGGTAAGCATCTTCACTGGTCTTTACTCAAGACTTGATCAGGGGGGTCCGTTTTGGTGTGCTGAACGCTTTGCGACCGTTGTGAGTGCGCATTCCCGACAGAACGTTGGTCTTAAGGTGGTCCGTTTCTCTCCTCTTGCAGTTCAAGCACCTCGCCGAAGCGATAGGCGCTGGACTTGGCAGTACGTTCGGCAGCACGGTTGACCGGCTGATGCAAGGTGGAGATTCCAGCAAGCGCCGTCGATAGGACGAGATACGTTATGCGGTCATAGATGTAAAGTACAGGTATGTTTTTGAGAGTGTCTGGATACAGTCCAAGCTAAGGTGGCTAATGAAAGTCTCTGCATGCTTATGTTTCTATGGTGCATCGAGGAACGTGGATAGCTAGAAAGGCTTGACTCAACTCTTGCAGTGCTGACGATGAATGGTCGGCCGCCCGTCTTCCGTCCTTCGAAAAGTTACTCTTGATCTGCGGTGGCGCTTTTACAGGTCCGCGGCTGGTCAAATTGACTTGTCCCGGCCTCTGACTTGCTGTGTAGAAAAGACTTTTGAAAGGAAGTTTTTCGGACATGTGGAAGACATACCATGAGCTATATAGGTCATGCGGATCATTGCTCCGCAAGAATATGCATAGCAATATGGTCATGTACAACGGAGTCGTATAGGAATTGCTTGCTAGGTCACTTCGAATGCGGCCGCCCGCACACCTGGATCCCGTTCAATGCATGCGCGGCTGCAGTCGCTCATGTTGATCCATCTGGATAAGTTGAATGTTAGATAGACCTAGCTGGCGTGGCGCGCTTGCTGCGTTAGATCGGGCATGTGTCGACACGATTCTCCGATTGTTAAGTCATACAGTGCGGCCGGCTAATTGAATTTTGCATGTGCATGGAGCTCGGAATTTGCATGCCACCATACGTGATCGGGGCCATCATGTCATGCCTCATGCGGCACTAAAAACTATCGGACAGTGTGATGAAGTGAGCGCTCAGTGCACACGAATCTGTTCTAGCTATATTTTGCCATCATGGCATACGAAGGCCGGCCGCGGCTGCGCCGCGCAGCCGCCCATGCCCATGATTAGTGGCAAAGGAGCTGGTAGTACAATATAGTATACATTGCACCGGCGGGAGTAGCTTAGACTTGACTGGAGTGCCTGTGTGGATTATGACGGCATTCAAGCCTTCCGCAGCTTGAGCGACTTGCACCAGGAGATTATCCATCTTTTCCACTCGCAAACCGACTCAAGCTGAGCCCTGGACTCCGAATCTGCCCGTGTTTGAACGACTTGTTATAAGTTCCGCCAAAATTGTCGGTCAAGTTGTGCTTCAACACTGGTAGAGGGTTTGACTTCGATTCTCGACTCGCAGGTCAATCGATGCATGTCCCCTCGCAACACCACCTTCATCACTTCCGACAGTTTCCAACTGAATTAGTGGCCAATTAGTGATTCGCTCCTTCATGCGGTTGCAACGTAATCAACGCTGGCAGCTTAGACTACAACACTTGCAGACTGCACGCAAGAATCAATTCAGAGGGTGTTGTTCAGACGCAAGCGCCAACAGCTTCTCCAGTACCCTCGGTCCATCTTCTCGGATCCCGGAGTGTTGGAACTCGCTTGTCACCCACAAACGCAAGCCTTTGACACCGGCCGCCGTCCCTTGCGATAGCCCAAAGTCCACATACATGTCTTCGTAATAGCAACACGCGGCAACGGGCACCTGCAAAAGAAGAAGCGAGTCGTCCGTTTTCTCTGAGCTTCTCAGGACTGGACTCTCAAAAGACATTTCCGTAAAGTTACACTTCCCAACAGGCAACACTCGCGGAAAAGCACCACCCGGAAACAGCCTACCGAGCGCTTTTCGCAGAGTTGGAACAAAAGCTTCTCGGGCCCAATAACCTCGCAACCAAGATGCTGTTTTTGACGGAGTGTTCGATAGTTTCCGCGAAGGCGGAGAGTATAGTTTCATGTCGATTTCCGCACTTTATGAAGCGCAGACTGGCCGCGTAACTTCTTGGGTGCCCGAGTTTGGAATTGGCTGTCAAGCCCCGGCGGCGAGCGGCACAGTCGATCCTCAAGCATCATTTCCCGGCTCTCTCTCAGAGGCTCCCTGATTTTTTGAACCAAGAGCGGCTCGATCGTGCTCACGTTGTTTTCTCTAAGAACGTCTGTGCGGTACAGCTCGCCCCAGTCTGCCTTTTCAGCCAGGATGTCAGCGACCTCTTTGAGCTCCCGAAGCCCGGCCAACTCGTCGAACATCCAGGGGAAGATCATCTGCATCAGAATTGATGTCAAGGATGAAAGGTATACAGAACCCATGAGAAGACTCGATTCTCGCAATCGTTGTCGAGACCTGCCAGATCCTTTCCGAGCAGATTCAACGCCCTTGCATGAGTGTAGATTTAGGAGAGCAAGACCCGTCGGTTGAGAAGCATACAGAATACAGAACCTCGGACAGACCTCTAAGCGTTTACAATCACTGTCGACCCTGCCAGGTTCCTCTAAAAGATTCCAGACGCCCTTGAGAGTCACCAAGAGCCGTCGAAAGTGGCACGGTGTAAAGTGTCTTGCGATGCAAGACTCATGCTTTGCACAGCCGCTGGGAGTGATGTTCGAGGCCCCTCTCGAATGCTGGCTTTTAAAGAAAGAGCAGTCTTATGTTGGCAACGGCACATTACATTGCCGTTTAGATGCTCAAGCTCACCTCCCCGGTGAAGTAGACCGGCCGATCCTCCCGTGCAGCTTGCACGGCATCGAACTTGGTGGCGAGGTGTTTCTGCTCTCGAATGCGCTGAGCGGCCCACCGAGAAGCCTCTCCCTGCCCGAAACAAGAGAACGATCAATTGGAGAATGCAAAGCAGGAATAGTACAGCTTCGAAATCAGATAACATCCTACCACAGATCGTTGACAATGACTCTGATGCAGAAAGTGCAAGACTGTTCGCTTATACATGAGGGGACTGCACGAATAACGCTTGCCCCAGGAAGAGTGCACTGACCTGGCAGTAGATTGCCTCGTGCAGGACCGCATACAGCGGGTTCGTGTCGAACGAGAGCCAGTTCTCGAACTGCAAGACGAGATTGGTGGGACACGTCAGAAGGCAAACGCACAAATCTGCGCAGTGCCATCAAAAAGATGAGAGGCAAAAAAGGATAAGCGGCGCAGCACAATCCCAGAAACAACGCCTTTCCTCGGACAGAGGTAAAAAGAAAGTCGACGAAGACTCTGCTCTTAAAGAAGCACATGCTCGAGAACGCTTTCAGAGCGCGCCAGAATGCTTGTGCCTCCAAGCTTACCCCTCGCAAGAAGGTGTAGGATAACTTCCGGCTCTTCCCACTTTCGTCGGGTCCTCCAGGTAGACAAGCATCCCAAGCGCGTTCTAGTCTGTGTTTTGCAGAATGAAGCCGTGAGGGACAGGGATGATCTTTACCCAACCTTACGTTTCTAGGAGTCGAAGAACACAACAACAGCTGTATCAGACCGTCCAAACTCTCCTAGCAAAGTCGAAGGGCCGGACAGGCAAGAAAAAGGCCCAGGTGATATCGAAAATCTCCGGGACTTCAAGTCTTGTACAATCGTACTCGTGGGAGGAATCTATAGTTCGTCAAGGCGGTCGTGTATGGCGAATCTTCCCAGGCAGATGTTTTCTGAAAGGGACCCTTCTTGCAATCATTTCAAGTTGATGCAAAGACCTTGACTGAGAAACAAACACGAGGGTTGCACGACTGGATTAGTTTGGTAGACAGGAGAGATTATAAGTTCCTAGACGAAGCATCTAACAGGAGAAAACTCACAGATAATGCAGGCGCTCAAACCCTCCTGCGGAACCCAGGCCCGAAAGCCCCAGAAGCTGGAGGCCACGGGGAGTGAGGACTCCGCCTGAAGGAAGAGGGACTGACAGGCTGGGGCTGTCTGCCAGGTGCAGGACAATGGACCGCACAAGGGCAGCGTCCTCTGGAAAGCGGGCATAGTACTTTTGGTTCTGCAAGAATAGGCAGGGTCGCAGTCTTTCGTAGTTTGCTCCTACTGCTTACGGATGACTGTAGAACCTTACAAGGATTGAGCTCAAATCAAACTGCAACACGCCTGGCAAACGGAGAGGAATGGGATCGAGAAAGTAGAGGAAAGTCTTCGGAGCGGCTACTAACGTCTGTTTCATTACTACCTGAAGCTCAGCAAGATAGGCGCCGATAAGTGAAAGGTCCAGTCTGCGCAGATTTTGATTCAGATGACTGGATTTGAATGCACAAGCAGTGGCGGCCTACCTGCAGAATCACCTGTCCATAAAGTGCCATGTAGACAGCATCCGCCGTGCAGCCGTATGAGACAGGCGCTAGGCCTCCAGTAATCAATGCCGTCTTTATGCTTTCAGGTGCCAGACTCAGGTAAGTCAGCGTGCAGAACCCTCCAAAGCTCTGACCAAGCACCGTCCATTGAGTGACCTTGAGAGCGATCCGTATGGATTCACAATCTCGGACAATGTTGTCCTGGCGGAAGTGCGTCAAAAACTCTGCTTGCTTGGAGGGGGATCCAATGGCCGAAAGAGCGGCTGCGGATATTGAGGAGGAGAGACCAGTGCCGCGCTGATCTAGTAGAAGGACGCGGTGCTTCTCGCAGGCCTTCTTCAGCCAGCCCCCCTCGTCTGCAGCAAGGACAGAAAAACGTTGCAGCTGTTGTTTGTCATAGTAGCTGCGCAACAGTAGCCCCAACGCTGACAACGTGAATATGGACAGTAAGCTGATGGAAATGGAGATGCAGTTCCCGCTTCCATTTTCCTGCCAGTCAAAGCTTGAGAGATGCTAGTGAGCAAGCGATTCACGTTAAGAGGAAATACACTCTCACCTGTGGGCCTAGGTGACTCAAAACCAGGTCCTGTGAAGCAAGGATGGAGACAAGTATCAGCAGCCTCTTCGCCAGTGCGCCTTCAATGTGGTGCACTGCTCTGTTGGACTAACCAATCAAAAATATGCTTGCAATTGGAAATCAGTGTTGATGGAGCGACCAAGTTGGTCAACTGCCAACATCCGAAGCTAACCCGAGACTCCAAGATGGCTTGGGCAGACTTGGGAGAGCCCAATGATGGTGGCAAAATGTTGGAAGCCACTGCAGTGGTTTATGAAGTAGGTGCAGAAAGGGAACATCCTCAGCAACATGACTGACCTACCTCCTTGCAAGTAAATCAGGTAGGGCAGCTTCTCCGATGATGCTTTAGCAGACACCACTTCCCTGGCAAATATCCGCAGGGAGTGGGAATCTGGTTTGGCATAGTCAAGAGGAACCTGGAACCAGTGGTCCTGCAATATCAGATTTGGTGCACGGTGACTGCCGCCCTTCTCATAAGTGACCTGTGAAGAACTAGCCATGGCTGCCCTTATTCCCACTGTCCTCCTTTCTGAGCAATGGGAGGCAGGAGTACTGAGCCCAAATGCCCACTGATGTTGCTTTTTGTGTATTGAGATTGGTGACCTCAACCTTTCATTGTGCGTACTTGTCTTTGGGCTCAACAATTGAAGGGCGCTGAAATTCCAGAATCTGGGCACAGTCTGCTTGCTCACTCCTCCTGTAACGGCTTTTTGTCTACTAGAAATGCTGCCTCCTAGAAGGCCACCTTGATGCAAATGGTGGTGTCCTATGTGCGTGAGCCCTTGCTGGCAACTTCTCAAGAGCATAATGCCCTGCTGCAGCTACGATGGGGGAGCAACAAGCGCCTTTTCAGAGGTCACCAAGCAGTCACCTGGGTATCACGTCACAATCTTAAAAAGCTCAGGACTGATCAACTGAAGACAGCTCCAACTCCCAGCCCTTTGTACATAATAGATGAGAAAGAGAGTAAACACTACAGGAAGGATAACCTATGAATTGCCACCATGATGTGTGCTCGTTTGTGCTCGCTCACTTCACTAGCTCACTGCTCAGTAAACCTTTCCAAGTGATCCAAACTTAGGCCTTACGCTCCTGGGACCAGTTTGAAGAACCGGCCAAACCACCCCGAAGCCCTGTCCATTCGATCAGCGAGCTCCCCTTATCGGACGATCGAGAGGTCGTAATAGAGGCCACGCAGTCGCCCCTTGGCAATGTTGAGCATTCAATTCATCTTTCAAGCATCATGCATGATACTATGATAGGGTGGCACTAGTTGTTGCCTCGCGTCCAGGTCCTAGGCCAAACCTTCAGAGTGGGATGTTGCCGACGGGCTAATGATCTGAAGAAGCGGCTCCTTCTGAGGCGCTGTCACAAATGCAATACCTGATCAATCTTCTTTGATCAATGTTGCCCCCCCGACGCACTTGCTAAGCTTCGTAAACATACGAAGCAACTCTGCATCACGAACTTAAGCCAGTAGTCGTTGCCTGGTCAGGCGTTCAAAATGGCACTTGTTCGTGTCTCGAACCCTGCTGAAGTTGCCGTAGACCAACTGGTTGCGCGGATGGGACCAGCTTCCATGGAGGACACAGAATCTGGGGACTTTAAGTTCAGCCTAGCGATGGCAATCGTTCGATCAAGGCAACAAGACAGGGCGGAAGCTCAGAAGTGGAAACGAATGGCAAGTCTAGAGGCATGCTTGGGCTACTTGTCTACTTGATGTCTCTCCTTACCAATTCGGTTCCATCCAGTCAATTCCAGATTATGTTCTGCTTCAAAATGAGTAGTTTCATATGCAGATCTAGCGAGTAGATCTAGCGAGTATCTCTCGTTTTCATTTCCTGGTGCAATACTGTTCAAAACGTACTTTGACCGTTCAAGCATTGCTGAGTTTCCTGGTGTCTCATGCCCCTAAAGAGTAGTGCTATCGTGCCATGGCTTGCAGCTTGTAGCACACTCCGTTCAGTAGTCGGAATGACAGCTTGCGCTTGCAGCTCAGCGGATGCTTATTTACTTCAAGCCAACGTAGACCCTTATGGTACACGAAGTCGTCAGAGGTGTTGAAGAAAAGGAAGCTGTGCCCAAATGTACGATTGAACGTGCCCAATCAATCTTCAATAGGCCCAGGGGCTCGAGGAATCTACAGAGGAAATGCGACGAACGCTGCGGCGCTTGGGTGGTAAGTTGTACTGTCTTTTGGTGAAGGTGACGCAGAAAGCATAATCTACAAATCTGGAAAAAGCTTCTGATCCGCCTGACCAGGATCAATCTTCTTCCCAGCAGCTGTATCTGAAGAGCGTCAACCAAACGCAAAAGATGAGGAGATTCCAGTGTTTCTGATCATGATGCAGATCGAGACGCACCGGAAATCCTCAAGGGACTCCCAGCACTCAACGAACGGCAAGAGACGCTTGAGAACGAAGGGCATGAAGATGCGGACATGGGGAACCATGCCGCATGTGGCGAACATACCAGAAGAGTTCAAAGGTTTCTTCAAAACGGTGCGTTCAGTGCTCTGCTCAACAATGGAAGCATTGCTCGCAAGTCAGCAGATCAAACTAGAAGCTGCCAGCTAAAGGATGAGACATGAATTACCCTATTGAGAAACTCAAAAATATAAGCAACTTCTCATCACATTGGAGCCTTTAACGAGTGTCCTAGAATTGACTTGGAGTAAGAGGTTGAGTAGACGGTGCATAATCTGCTTCTTGTCTCGGGTAAAAAAGCGGAGATCATCCCTGGACTTTAAAGGTGAAACTGATATTCTGACGTACATCCTGATTTGACCATCAAAAGCTCTGCTTGCAGTACTGACACTTCACCGGATCCATCACAAGGACGAAGGCAAGTTCGCAATGTCAAAGTCGAAGCTTCATATCCTCTTGCTGATCCTTCTTTGAGAGCTACAACCGACCTGCAAAGAAAGATCTGTACATTTCTCTAGTTTTCCTGTGGCAGTTGCACATACGTTTCGCGTGTTCTGAGGTAGCCGTCATCCTGAGTGTCGAGCATAGAGCTCCATACATCCAATTGGACGTCCAGGATCAGACTGGTGCGCATACATGCAGGCGGCTTGCACAATCGTTCGGACAGTACGTCGTTTGAGGAAAGCAGGAGACACATTGCGGCAATGGTTGTCGACTTCGTCATTGCGTTGGTCTCGGTGCAGGTATGATAAAAGCTCCAGTTTATTCTCCAAACTTCATTCGTGAATTCCTCAAGCCCCACAGGAATGCAAAGAAGCGAAAAGAGGAAGCGAATCTGTTCTTACGGGTCAGTGACTGAGATGCTCTTTGAGTTCAAGCCTAGAGAATCACGCTTTACCTGTATCTTTAAACAGGACATGAACCGACAAAGCGAGGATCATCTGAGAGAGGCAATCCACTTCTTACAGGGTGAGGATACAAAGCTAAAGTACTCTTCACTCTGGCTGCGCTTTTCTTCGAGAATGGAATCTCGCAATCGTGCCCCTCACTCACTGATCCAGCTTCTTTAATCTTCTTACCTTATCTGCATGCTGAACCAAAATTTCAGCTGGGCCACTGAAATGAGCATCCTTTGTCCTCTTTGGCAGAGGCTTCGAAGGAGGTGCCTCATATGCCAGCAGTCACTGACTTAACAAGCGATGGAGCGCTGTTGGAAGTTGAGCGCCTGATTAGCTGCTTGTTGAAGACATTGCGAGGCCTTCGTGACAGCGGTAAGTAACACAAATTTATCCGAAGGATGCGCACCGCGTTCGACAGATCATACCTTCCATTTGACCGTTCCCAAAACAATGTGAGTCTCGAAGTGCAAGCTCGCAGAACCTTCTACACGAATCGCAGAGATGCGCGTCCAGAGTTTCAAAGCTCCTATGTCCAATTTAAGAGGGGATCAAGCCGCCTTCATACTGGAAAACCAGTCTGCTCTTTCTTCAACGCAGCAGGTCAGCCCGGGCAAGAGGAGCGTGCGGAGGTTGTGCGCGAGCAGATTTGTGACGTCTTGGTGAAGCTTGCCAAGATCCCTCCAGTTGCCCAGAGGGTACTTGTTCTCGTCGAAGAAGAGCTGGCGGCAGTCGCTCACATTCTACTCGAACGGGACGTGCTTCAGGATGCGGCCGTTGCGGAGGCCTATGAGGCCTCGTTCTCTATGTGAGCACGTCGTTCCATGCAGGGACTTTGCGTCACTAGGGCATGATCCCTATATCGGGGTTCCATCGGGTGGGGACTCGTGTGTCTTCTGTGGTTATCACGCCTCGAGCTAACGCAGCCGTTTTCAGCTCAGATAGGGGCATTTACACAACGGATGAGACTATTCCGAAATGGATTCCGCTTGACCAAGCCTTACACCGAATAATGTTCCTGTCGGCAAAAATCTTGTCCATCTCTCATTTTCAGGCTCAATGTCGCGGACTCCATTGTTATGAACCTGAGCAGATCTTGGACAGAGACGGCGGCAAAGTCAGACGAAAGTGAGGGGTGCTCAACCGACTGAATTTTCACCGCTTATCATTTCTCTCCCGTTTACTTACCTGCATTTTGACTACCATGCGTGAACAAAGACGCGGTCAAAGAGCATGACTGTCAAGCTCTCGTTTCCACCTTTTACTTTTGAGAAGCATTAGCAGCCAGGACAAAGCAGCTTTCAATAAAATCTGGAAGCCGAAATTGAGCTGCCTCTGAACATCGTACTCTTGTACAGTCACCTGGTCGCCTCAAGGAGAGTGCTGCGACTAATCTTTGTCACACCGTTTCATGGCACAGGGCTGCTCGAAAGGTGGGTCCGTCAGCATTTCGAAACGCAGTCGTCATTTCTCCAGCACAGGAACGCGCGGAACGCGGGCATGTTCGGTGCATACTTTGGCCGTATAACGGGAGCGATACTAGAACAGCTTGAGCAGTTGGCTGTTGACAGCAGATTTGCATGTCTCCGAGGATCCGCGATGTCCAAGCTAGTGAGATGTGCTCAAGCAGCGAGCACCTCAAAAGCTCTAAAGCTTGGGATCTAACAGAACCTTGACGAGGACGGTTTCCTGGACAAAGCAGCTGAGCAATCAAAGATTGATAGAACGTCAAGGCAAAGCGGAAAAGTTCTCGCAAGCCGGACCCACCAGTGGCAAATAGTGCTCCGCGGCAACCACGCCCATGCGTCTTGATATAAATATCCAAAAACATGTCGAGATGCACATGTTCAAGGCATGATAACTTTTCATATTCTCAAAGATTTTCGTTGAATGATGTGGTAAGATGCAGATGGGATTGTCGCAACTCGGGGGGCCCGGCGGGGCCGCCCGTTGTACATGCGGCATCAGCTGTATGATCACGTATGTGGCGTATTTTAGATCATAAGACGCTGGGTCAACGCCGAAATGACACGACGTTACACGACATTTTCTTGAACGATTGCATGCCTTCATTGCTCGGCCATATGCAGTTTGCAATGATAATGCATGCAATCTGATAACGCGAGCTTGCTAGGACTAGCCCTTGATTGAATGATCAGCTCGCGTCGATGCCAAGAATGCATTGGTGTGACATGATCCTCCATGGACGCACGGGCACTGGCCCGGCCCTCGGACGATCAACAACCTGATCTTGCAGATCATTCGTATGCAATGGAGGCCGTTGTCCCCGTTGCCGCATCAAATAATACGATTCAAAGCATAGTAGCTCTGAAGGAACAAAAGATTGCAAATGGCACTCCCCGGCTTTCATACCCTCTAACCAGTGAGCGCGCATTTGGAAACGTACTAGTATGACTCAAATGACCGACTGTCGCGCTTTCCTACTTGAGGGACTGTAGGATTGATGCAGAAAACATAGCTCATGACAAGTCCCTTGCCGAACATGAGCGTACTGTGACCACGAATCTGAGGTAGATCCACAAAATGATCTGTACTGGACTTCGACTTTCAACCCTGAATGGACCCGCGGCTCTTATTTCCCCCGTCGCCTGCCATCTTGGCTCGCGCCGCTTCAAGCTGCGCGATCCGGTCCAATAGCTCCTTCTCTCGTTTTGCATGCTCCTCTTCGATCGCTTTCCGTTCCGCAGCTAACCGATCCCGTACCGCAAACTCGACGGCTTCTTCCAACGTCTGCGGTTTTCGTTTCTTGGCTTCCTCTTCGGCAGCGATCCGAGCGGCTTCGACGGCTGCCAAGCGCGCGGCTTCCTCAGCTTCGGCCCTGGCCCTCCTTTCCGCCTCTGCAGCAGCCGCTGCCGCCGCTCGAGACGCCTGCTCAGAAGCAATACACTCATGTTGAGCAAAAATCATAGTTGCAAGATTCTCGAAGCTTCGACAGAACGAATGAGTGAAATAGCGACACCGATAACATCGAAACAGACATTGGAAGGCTCTACCGGACTGGACAGAAGACGACGGCGTCAGTCAAGCAATGAAGTGTTCATTGTAACGCGACTGCCTTTAAGAAACAACAGGTCCATTGGAGTTGCGAGCAGTACGAATTGATCAAGTGCTTGTCCACAGCAGTCTGTTCGTCATTTTTCCATCTCAGCTCATCCGACTTTTAGCCGACGCAGAACAAGAGGTTTTCAGGAAAATTGCTTCAAAGGCGGACAGAACACAACACACCTGCCAATCATCGCGTTCTGCCTCCGTCATAGCTTCGGACAGGGGAGGAAAGCCCAGCTCCGCTGTTTCTAGCATGACCTGCTCTTGCAAGGCCAGGTGCGCCTGTTCCTTCGTAAGACAATATTGATACAGCCGGAGGTGTTGGAAGAAACTGCAAAAGCACGCAAAACGCTTTACCAGCGGCTCAGCTTCGAGTTGATTCAACGGTCTGCTTAGCCGGGCGCAAGAGGTCACTTCCGCGTTGCATACCGATCCAGGTAACATCGGGGCTCATCATGTACGTCGAGATCAAATGATCTTCGACTGACTTATGAAACCACTACTGCTCTCTACCTGAAGACCTAACTGAGTAAGAGACTGCATGTCCTTCACATCGCTCCAGTTTACATCGCTTCAGGTAGAGTATGAATCACGTTTTTGGGCACACTTGAGCTTCGCGACTTACCCGCTTGTGAAGAAGTCGGTGACATGCTTCACATCCAGTGTGGTGAAGAGCAGCGGTGCATCGCTGCCACTTTTAAGAGTCACGAAGGCCAGCATTTGTTGCTTGAACAACGTCTCGAGCTCAGCAAACGAAGCGCCCCCTGCATAGACCAACCATTGCTCATTGACACAGTCTCTAAACCTCAGATTCCAGTACCTCGTTGAGCTGCATTTGCTTCACCCGTTTCGTTCAGCTGTAAACAATCGAAACGAGATATGTGAAACCAGGTTACTGCAAGCCTGGCAGACAGAAATCAACACTGCTATTGTTCTTGACCTGCACCTCAAACCGCCATGTGCAAGCAATGTTATTAGCTTCTGAATGGGAACTACAAAAGTGACCCTCCGTGGTGGTACGAAACGCTCCCATGAGGAAGCTGGCTGAACTCGATGCAGGCGTCTGTGCGACTGCACAAGCGCCTGACCTGCTTACCTTTTGTCTGCTCGACGAGACCATGTGCAATGCTGTGCAAGGTCGAGGTCTGTTGAAGACTGTAGCCGTGCTTTAAGCAGAACCTGCTTTCGTAATAACTGTGTCAGATGCAATCATGAGAAGGAAGTGGAGGGGCACCATGATCGCCAACGATGATGGTATTTGCAGAGCAATTGGATCAATGGACTAGCACGGTGACGTGCAACGCATTGTCGTACCATGTTACCACCCATGTGGACTTTTGTAGCCTTTCAGGGTAGTTTTGCATCCGTACTCGTATGCTTGTCTGAAAAGATTCATACAGCCATCCACAAAAAAACTGGTCATTTACTTAAGTAAGGACGAGTGATCGGCAGCATACCTCAGCACGTCCACAAGGAAATCTGTTTGAATCGCTGCTTGCGAGTCGAACATGGGATCCGGAAGACCGTAGCTCGTTGCCAGCAGCCTGTTCCAAGACGCTATGTGTAAGTGGGCTACTAGAAGACGGCCCAAGTTGGATTTCAGCACGTGCGAACAAGAAAAAACCAACATTTCCCTGTAGTAAGATCCTGCCTATCATGTCAATGATTGTCCGCTGCTACTGAGTTGGGAAAACGATTGAATGTTGGAACTTTGTATGGGGCAATGAGGGGGCAATGCTGTCCACAGACGACTGGCTCCCTTCCCAGAGCTCCTGGTCAGAAGCATCTCGCACCCAAGGTGCAAGGTGCAAGTGCCACTGTCATGTACGTTGCTCTATAAGTTCCCTTATGATTTTCCTGATATAAGTGGTGAGGGCCACCACTTGAGCTCAGCAACTTTTGTGACTTACCTTGCAGCTTCATCAGGTTCTTTCTCCGCTTTTGAGATGCATTTTTCCAGCTCAATCGAGTCGACCTTGTTGAGAAGCTGCATCATGACTCCCTTCTAAGCCTCGTCTGAATACCCAGGCTTTGATTATGTGGCAAACCCCCCAAGCATCTGGTCTTCGAAGTGTGCCTCTGAGATCAATGGCACCATGACATACGCCGCTGTGATCTGGCTTTCCAAGAAAGCAATTGATCGGACTCTCAGCTTGATGCAAAGGTACGCCCTTCAAAGCTGAAGGGATAAGACTTTCGAAGTAAAAGCAATCTGAATGCTTCAGACGCGAAGCTCATGAAGTGAAGCGAAGTCCACGCAGCTCTCCGAAAGCTAGGCAATGGGCAGGCCAGACGAGCTGCACCAGATACTGAATGCCACCGCAAAGAACCTAGGCGCTGTGGCCCAAAGAGTTGCTGAATGAGCTCTCAAGAGCTAAGTTTAAGCTCGGATGGGGAGGGCATCATTTGGGGCCCTATCCTGCCTAATTAGATAGAGCAACTTAGAGGAGCTCCTGTGTAATACCGGCCATACCTAATAGGTCTATAAACCTAGTATAGCGACACCCTGCACTACACCAGCAGAGTTCTGCATCCGGTGGCAACCGCTCACTGATAAGGTGACGCGCCAAGGACCTCGCCCGAAGTTTGTAGGTTACGTGGCTACTTCTACGCGCTCCGATCATCATCAGTGGCGTTCTCGACGGTAGATTTCGGCGTGTGCTCTGCATGCACAAACCTGACGTTTGCCATGTTGACACTGACAGTGTCCCAATTCCAGCTTCTCTTTGACGCCAGCATACAAGGAGTTAAAGAGAAGACTGTAATCTTGTTTCTGGGCGGCAGCACGGTTGGCCATTGTAAAGATCAGGGTTCGTTTCAGATCTGCGCCGCAGCTATGGCGTTTTCACTGGCGCACGCTGGTGTGCTGAACCTACAAGCTTTGGCATTCTCTCCTGCCTCTTGTACCACCTCTCAGAATGCTGTGAGGTCCTCAACAGGAGTTGCGCCAGCTTTCATGAAGCAGCGCGCGCCATTCATGTTTAACTCAAGGAGACGTTGCGCTTCGATCGTGGCAGCAGCAGATGGCAACTCCAGCTATCGGGACTTAGAAACCGTGTCGGCTGGAAGTACAGAAGAAATTAGCGAAGAGGTGCTTGGGGGCGAGATTTTCAGGCCGATGCAGGTAAGCTGCATCTCTTTGTAGCAAGTATGCCGTACAGTTCTGATCAAGAAGCCGTTTTTTCTAGCGTGATATATCTTCGGCATTGTGCATGCATCAGCTATTTCCATTCTCTTATTGACATTGTACCGCACCTATTGTATGCTTCTTGATTCTCTGTCCATATATGTTTTTTTGGCACTAGGAATGCCAACCACAGCAGCTGTTTAGTATTGCCATTTTGAGTTTGGGGGGTGTCAATTGATTCTATGAATTGGCTTTAGTAACAGCTGGCTTGTCATTTCAATGCAGATGATTCTGACAAGCGTGTATAGGTTGTGTGCATGCAATTGTGAGACATGTTCACCCTTCATCAAAGTTGGGCTTACTGAGGAGCCTTGTTATTTAGAAAGTCATGAGGAATCTGAGCCTTTGCTCATTATGATACATATTCTTGAAAACCTAGTGGCAATGTTACCAAGTGGTCCACTTTCAGAGGCACCAAACCAGAGAGTGTGGCGGGATAATTGTTGACGGTGACCCCCAAGAGAAAGGTCCTGTGCAGGATGTGGCGCCTGCGCTGGATGGTCGTTCATGTATGCTGTAAATACGAGCTCATGTGGCCATGGTATTGACTTTTCTCGTTTGAAGAAGCCGTAAAGTTTCGCTTACAACCAGTCATTTGTACTGAGACAGCTTGCTCCAGAACTACCTGGATATTGTTTCAAACCACCGCAAGGAAGTCAGCGATGAAGCCTGGATACTTTTCTGCAGGATCTTCAAGAGTCTGGCATCCTTGACCTTGTGGACCAACGAGGCAACGACACATCGCTGGCCAGGCAGCGCTACTCTCCAGACACGGAGACCGCCATCAATGACTCAATCAATGTTGCATATACGCTCAGCTATGCATTCCACAGCATGGCGGCCTTCTTCGATCGGGACAACATCGCGCTTCAGAACGTCGCCAAGTGAGTGACTCAAGTCCTCGCCGCTAGTTCGGGAATATTGCGTTAGGTGCCCGCTGGAGAATTGATAAAGACAAGAGCTTTTGAGATATTATTCTCCAACCTTTTTCGATAATGATTAGAACGTCTGACTGATTTAGGAAAATGGCAATGCTGTTGTACATCCAACATTCCTTCCAAATTTGAGGGCTCCGACGCTGATTGTCAGCGTCGCCCTAGCCTTCGAGCATTCTCAAGCGGTACACATTCCGACTATTGACCATGTTCTTGACAGCCAGTTGTGCCCAGAGCGCAAGTGTGCGTCCGAATTATCCACTGAAACTAGAATAGTCACCAAATTCAAGAGTGCCCCTACCTTCAAAAAGGACCTTCCTTTACCTCAGCTTCATGTAGTTGAATGAGAAGCCAACTCTGGATGGAGTTCCTCAGTACATATTGAGCTGTATTCCCTATCAAGAGGAAGAACGAGTCGGTTAACACAGTCGCTCCTGCATGAATCGACATCAAAACCGACAGCCTCAAGAGAGGCCCCCCCGAGTATAGCCAATGCTCCAACATTGCCTCTTTGGACGCTTTGCAAACTACCCTCCCGGTCCTCTTTCAAGAGCATTGAGAGGCCTCCACGCAAGTGTTCCTATAGCCAGAGCAAATACAAGCTGAACAGTGCATTCCCAGGCCGCACCTCTCAACTTCGCAGTCTCTCGCTGACGACCTCTTTCGACTGAGTCTTCGGCCCCTTGTTGTCAAACAGGTACTTTTATGACCGAAGCAAATACGAGCTGGATGACGCGCTCAAGCTGACGGACTACCAGAATCGGAGGGGAGGACGAGTGCAGCTGCTGCCGCTGCAGGCGCCCTTCAGCGAGTTCGACGATCCCGAGAAGGGGGACGCGCTCAACACGTTTGAGCTGGCGCTTGGCTTGGAGAAGATCCAGAACGAAAAGTACCTTGCACTGCAGGCGGTGAGACCGCTTTTAAGATTTTCGCAATATGGAGATGAGAGTCTGGACGATCCAGGCCGCTGGAGCTTTCTCTGTTCAGGATCGTAGCTACATTGCTGCCTTGCAGACGCTGAGGCGGCTTATAAGTTGTGGGTATCACACGTTCTTCTGGGCCGATGTGTCAATTCTGGATGCAATACTGGTATGAGGGCAGAAGCCAGTCCTTTCAGAGAGGGCATAGTGATACTGACATAGCGAACATGATGCAGTCCGCGCGGCATCTGTGGTTTGTATTCCAATTGTTTGGCTGCTTAGTTGTATCCAATCGGAAGCAGATTGATCTAAAAGAACCCAACAGCAGACAGTCGTTTCCCTGTGTATAAGATCCACTGAGCAGTTTTCGTTCTGTTTGGGGTTGTACTCGGGACAAGCATCGTGGATTGCAATTGTGTACAGTGGGCTGCGAAGCAAGATCGATGTGACCCCCTTTCTGGATTTGACTCAAAAGCTGTCCTACTTAGAAAGGTATTTAACTACTAATCTTTTTATAGGGGCAAGCAATGAAGATGGCAGAGAACCTGGGAATTGAGAACAAAGAAGCACTTTCGGGAGCAATATCGATATGAACCTCAGATTCGCGCATCAGAGTGTCCGAAATCATGCTTGGTTGAGTGGACGAGATTTGAGTCTTGTCTTATCTGGACGAGGCCTCCTGGCGTGGGGGGCATGGTTCGAGGAGTCGGACGTTCCCCCGGGGCCCTTAAGATCGTTCCCGTTGTTGTTAAACGATCTGCACTGATGCAATGTGCGCCGGATCTCTGGTAGCTCCTCTGCACTGAGATTTTCAACCTCTGACTCTCGCGTCTCTGCTCGTTTGCTCAGGCGATTGCGGAGGTCGGCGATCCCCAAGCGGACGACTACGTGAAGAGCACATACTTGCATCCCCAGGTAAGAGCTAGACATCAGGTGGAGGCCTTCCAAGGAATTGCTGCTTTTCTGTGGTTGAGTAACCATTGAGATGGGGCAAGTTGCTTTGCGCTCATCTGCTGCTACGGGCTCGTCAGAAACTCCAGGCACAAACCCAACCCGGATTGACACTCCGAGGCTGGTTATTAGTCTCAAACGGAAGGCTTCCTTGTGGATCTTCGGAGTCGCTCCTAAGCTCAAATGTTTGCTTACAGTTTGCCTTATCAGCTTGGATCTTTCGTATGTTCCATCCGGCATTGTCGACGAACCGTCCGGGATTGCATGATATAACATTTGAAGCGAGCAATCAGGAAATACGACGTACCAAAGGAATGGTTTGCAGAAACCCCCTCTTTTGACCTGCTAAGAACCGAATATCTGGGAAAGAACTGAAGCAGCTCATCCAATAACGACGCGTTCAGCAAGAAGCTCGAGACTTGAGTCAAACCGTTGTTAAAGGCTCTTTTTCAAGCCCGCCTGATCAGAAGCTGCCGTCTGTTTTCTTTACATAACTCACTTATCAAGGCTCTTCGTTCTGCAGATTGAGAAGTTGAAGCGGACTGCCGAGCAGGTGCGACAGCTCAGGCGGGTTGGAAAGGGTTACGGTGTGTGGCATTTCGACCAAGAATTAGAGGGCGGGGAGGAGATTCCAGAGCCTGTAGCTTAGACGACCATTCGTTCCTTGTATACCCTTTACAATCGCTGCCCCATTGAGCGGAGGTGTAGTGTACCTAAGAATGGCAATAGCGGGTAGAAGCCTGCTCTGAGCTTGTTCCATTTTGATATTGTTCTTCAAGGTTATGCAGCACGCAACGGTCAATCCGAATCTGATCCCGAGTCCAGTACCTCGCTGCTATTTTGTATTTTGTTCAGCCAACGCTTACTTCTGAGCTGATGTCGCGATAGGTCGCTTTGTCACTTATATGCATGCATGACTCGTCATCAGCCACTAAGCAGCACCCGAGGAAGTCGTGGAGGCCAGCCATGTGAAACTGCGTTGCAACAGGCCCATACGTTGCAACTTGGCACGTGCCCGGCCAGCCTATACGGCGGCACCATCCATGTTAGATACGTGCCCGACATCGCTCAATATGCCAGATTCGATCATCGGAGCCGGTCTCCTCAAGTAACCGTCCAATCCATATGCATATCCTGAAAAGTAATAGAAAGTAAGCTAAATTGAATTGCATCAATTAAGCTCACCAGTGTTGAACATTCGATAACAGTGCCATCATGATTTTTAAAATATGACTGTAATTTCACAAATGCATAATCAAGTATCTGCACGAAGCTTGTGCATGCAGCGATTCCAGCGCACTTCAGCGCGGCGAACTAGGTTTAATGCATGGGCAATGATCCAACCAATCAATCAATGGGCGGGCGGTACACTGCCGCCGCACTAGAGCTAGGGCGGCCTCAGTGCACCATGCATGCATGGTATGTAGGACGGTACGTACAGGGGGCCGCCATGCCGCGGCCCAATATATATGACTCAACAATTGAATGCCCGAACGTCTTATTATTGGCGCTCGATCGATCAGACATATATACATATGTACAAATCCTTTATATAGAAATGATTCAATGTTACGGTAATGCGAATCAAAACGTCGGAACATATTAATTATGTAAGATCAATGATTTTAGCCATAGTATGATTTGCACATGCAACTTATCACGAGCCTGCTCAATAACTGAACGGATTATATAAAAGGTGCATGGCCCGGCCGGGGATACTAGCTGCGATAGACAAGTTGCATGCACAGTGCCGCGTAGATAACTTATAATGACGATTACACTGCATGGGCTGCAATTCGTCTGATCACGTTCCAGTATCAAGAGCTTGATGCCATCTGAGTGAACCTTCTATCATGCATACAATACAAACTTCCCTCCGAGCATGTGCATCTGGCCGTTTGCAGTCCAGCATTTTTTGCTTTCTTGAGCCTCAGACTACAAGCTCAGTCGCCAAGTTGGGTCCAACTGGTCGGGTACGAAAGCCTGGAGCCTTAGGTTGACCATGTGGCTCAAGAATCGACTGACATATTTGGATCGACTGGGGAAGCTTGAAACTTCACAAAATGTATGTTTGGCCTGCGGTAAGGGAACTAGTGAAGCAACATGCGTGGCATTGGTAGAAGGGTTCCCCGTACAAGCACCCCAAGCTGACTAAACCGGTTCTGCTTTGAAAAGGTCCGTGATCGCACGATGGTTGACATTTAGTACCTCTCCAGCCGAACAATCACCCCTGTCATACCACCAGCGTACCTCCCTTCTGATATTCGACAATATTTGGACCTTCGTTTTGCTGCTATGTATTGCCTGGATGCATTATGCCACCGCCAACCTCTCTTCCGGCTCCTCCTCCCTCTCGCGCGCAGCACGGTCCAAAATCCTGCGCTCCAGCTCGGGTCGGAAGTGCCTGATCAAACCCTGGACGGGCCAAGCAGCCGCGTCGCCAAGAGCGCAAATAGTGTGGCCCTCAATCTGCTTCGTAATCTCCTGCAACATGTCGATCTCCTCCAGCTTGGCATCGCCCACCTGGAGAAAGCGCAATGATTGTCATTGATTGCTGTTCTATCCGTTTAAAACGAGGCACTGCCGAATACAAATCTTGATGCACAGAGAGTAGGCGATTGCGGAGGGATGACCATCTTCTTCCCGATAAGGCCGCTCAACCAAATAAGCCCGCGAACGAAAACCAGCGTGTTGCAAGTGTAACATGCGCAAGCAGACCAAGATCCGCTGTCCACGTCCACTCCGCCGCAAGTCACTGGCGCGCAAACAGGCATCTGTAGACCAGGTCTTCATAGACAACAGCACGCATGCATGCCTAAAAGGATGGACGTGGACAAATCTCGCTTCCTTCCTGCGGTCGGCCTCACCTTCATCCTCTCCAGGATGCTCCACAGCCAGCCCGTCCCCTCGCGGCACGGCGTGCACTGCCCGCAGCTCTCGTGCTTGTAGAAGTACGCCAGCCGCGCGATCGCGTCGACCACGTCCGTGCTCTTGTCCATCACAATCACCGCCGCCGTCCCGAGCCCCGACTGCACCGCCTTGAGCGCGTCAAAGTCCATCATGATGTCGTCACACACCTTCTTCGGCAGCAACGGAACGGACGACCCCCCCGGAATGATGGCCAGCAGGTTGTCCCACCCGCCCCGCACCCCGCCCGCGTGCCGCTCGATCAGCTCCTTGAGCGGGATGCTCATCTCCTCCTCGACGGTGCACGGCTTGTTCACGTGGCCCGAGATGCAGAACAGCTTCGTGCCCGAGTTGTTCTTGCGCCCGAAGCTGGAGAACCACTCGGGCCCACGGCGCAGGATGGTCGGGGCCACCGCAACCGTTTCCACGTTGGTTACGGTGGACGGGCAGCCGTAGAGGCCGACGTTGGCGGGGAAGGGGGGCTTCAGGCGCGGCTTGCCCTGCTTGCCCTCGAGCGACTCCAGGAGCGCGGTCTCCTCGCCGCAGATGTAGGCGCCCGCGCCAAAGTGGATGTACACGTCAAAGTCCTTGCCACTGCCGGCTGCATTGTTGCCGAGCAGGCCTGGGGCAAGGGGGGGAGTATGTCAACAAGAGCGAGAAGCAAAAGCATGATGGGCAAAGAAAGAAAGAGGGGGAAGGAAATAGGGCTGATTGGCAGGTTTAGGAAGCTGAAAAGTGAGTGCAAGTGCTAATTAAGCAGTTGTCGAAATGGTAGGCAGTGAAGGTGATGTCCAAACGCTGGAAAGCAGCCTTCGAAGGGCACAACCACTGTCAGCGCCTGATGGTCATGGTTTGGTCACAGCGATATATATTGATATTGATCACAGCGAAGGAGATGAGCAGGAAAAAATACAAACCTCAAATATCATAACACGGGTTTTGTCACCTGTCAAAAAGCACAGCGGCGCCCTTACCTGCTTTGTAGGCCTCCTGCCTCGCCTTCTCCAGTGCCAGCCGCTCATTCACGTACTCCCCCCGGATGTAGATGTACGCCGCGCGTGCCCTCATGGCCGTTCCCGCAATAAGGCACCCCTCCAGGAGCTTGTGAGGATCGTGGCGCATGATCTCTCTGTCCTTGCAGGTCCCAGGCTCAGACTCATCTGCGTTGACCACCAAGTAAGACGGCCTCCCGTCTGACGCCTTGGGCATGAAGGACCACTTGAGGCCAGAGGGGAAGCCAGCGCCGCCGCGTCCTCGCAGACCAGACTTCTTGATCTCGCCGACGATCCAGTCCGGGCCCTTGAGAACTAGCTCCTGCAATGGAGAATGGGGCGTGGTCAATGGGATGTGTTCGTACCCCATGCCAAGTATGATAGTTACAAGCACCTGTCCCTTCTTATCACCCCTGGACTTATGTAAGTAGCTTGGGGAGATGCCTTGCCGAAGTGAGAGAAGAATTGGGAAAATTCGCTGGTTCCTGTTGTAAAGCAGTAATGAACCAGGAGATGTGATCAACTGCCTGCACAGATTGAAGACGATGGAAAGAAACTCTTTTTTCCCAACTTTTTGAAAAGCAGCTCAGCTTGTATGAACAAAGACCTTCATAATGATAGAGTGCTGCACATGCGGCTGCCCAAAAAAATCCTGCGTAGGTGGCCAACAAATATGTCCGACGAAATGAATGGAGAAAACTGCAACCTCTGAAATCCATCAACAGCTTTGACCGCAAGCGCGGCACAAGCATGGACCCATTTGGATGCCTCTGCATATATTCTGCAGGTATCTGGTTAATCCGAATTCCAATCAACACTTAGCAGCATTGCCAGCAACCCTATTGAGTAGTATTGGTGATGAGGCAAAGCAGACTGTAATCCGGTAATTCTGTGTTGGCAGCGCAAGTGTTGACTGAACGGACGTTCCTAAATGACTTCCAGACCATCCACGAACAGGAGATCAACTCACAGCTACTTACCTTGGTCTGGTGCCAGTCACCCCGCTTCATGGCCCCCTTGAGGTAGGGATCGTGCAAACCATACAGGTTGGTGAAGATGCGGTCCTCATCTTTCAGGCCCCCAAACGAAGTCTTCTCTGGAGGGGGCGGCGGGGGCGGAGGAGGCGCGGTCCCATCTTTCTTTGCCTCTGCCGTGGAACCAACTGCCTTATCCTTGTTCACTTCAGCGGGTGGAGTCGGAGGCGTGGTGGCAGAAAAAGATCTGCATCCAGTTCTAGGGGTCTGTTCTGCGCCCACCCCTAGTGCCCTCAGGACAGCTTCGCGTGGGAACCGACTCCGAGCCACCTTTCCAGTGGCCCGGAGCAGCTGATCCATCCTTATACTGAAGGGCGCCTATACCAGCACAAAGCCTGATAAAGTTCAGCGCCTGCCTGCAAAATCGCCACTCTTCCAAACCTTCTATCGAGAAGGCGTCTTCTCCTTCTGTGATACAGTCAGAAAAATCCCTTTTAGGAGCGATCTTGGAAGAGGAACCAAATAGCCGCCCTTGCTGCTGCTGCTGCCCTTTTGTTTTAGGAAAATTTGAGCAGGGCCACGTCGTTGTCAATGTTGTTGGAGTCCAAATTGCTTCAAAGCCGTCGATGAGCTCCGGGCGCATTGTAAAGCGTCCGATGATGGACTCCCACTGTGGTGCCTAAGTGAACCAGCGACCAGCTTGCCTTTTTCTAACTCTAGTCGGTCGCCTAAAGAAGCAGAAGCTGGGAAGGAGCTCCTCAGGCTATCAAAATTGGCGAATTTCGCCTGGTCTGTCTCCGTTCGAGAATCAGATCAAGCAGAAGCCGCAGAAACGTTCATTTTTAAGGGCCTGGAAAACATTGAAGGGCCTGGAGGTTGCCTGTTAAGCACTGTGCAATTGTGCTTGTACTGAAACCACTCAGGTAGCAACGCCCGACTCGCTTGGCTGTTCTGCTCTGATTGTTTGCGCAGCCAATTGCCACCATGGGCGCTCCTGAGAAAGAGGATGTGAAGAAGGACAAGATGGATGAGGACAAGCCGGTGTCTGACACCGTCAAAGATGCTAAGAAGGACGCTCCTCAGAAGGATAAAGACGCCAAGAAGAAGAAGGATGAGAAGGAAGAGGATCTGGTGAGCAGAACCCCTAACCTGCTCCTCGTCTTCATTGAGCTGCTGCTCGTCAATCGTGTCAGCTCTCGGGCTGGATAATTTTTCTTGCTGACCACCACGATGTTTCAGTTTTGTCAGTGTGCAGTTGGCTTTCTTACCATTTATCTCCAAATGCGCCTGAATCTTTGAGGGCGCCCGAATTTAGTGGAGCGGCTGATCCATCAATCATCAGGGTGTCGGATCCTCACAACAAGCTCCATCAGAATGATGATCAGGCCCGCCAGTGAAGTTTGGCTCTCACTAAAGCATGTGGGAAAAAAACTTAGCTGCACCACCCCGTGTATGTGCATGTGCTGATGGCAAAAAGTTCCTCAGTAGTGCTTTTTGATTCATTGCAAGCACCTAAGGCACAAGTCGATGGCTTTCACTGGCGATGCTTTGCAGAGTGAAGAAGACGCAGCGCTTAAAGAGAACCTGGAGCTTATGGTGGAAAGAGTGCAGGACAAGGAGGCGGGAGTGCAGAAACTTGCGCTGGAACAATTGAGGTACCGTTTGACTCCTCGCTTTCAGTACTGAATCTTAGGTGTTCAGCTTCTGTGTAGTATGATCAGTGTTGCCAGCTCACTTGCATAGGGACTCATGCAGAGCAGTCGACGTACTCCAGCTTATAAAAAGCTGACTGGAGTCGTCAGTCCTGGCAATTGGCGGTGGTGTGCGGTCGTTGCACGGTAAAAGGTTTTCTTACGGTGTTAGGTTGGGATTTTTCAACTGGTTAGCGAAGACTCATGCAAACAAATGTCCGACGATCTTTGGAGACGTCTGGTCACGTGCATTCAGCTAGGCCCATTTCGGTACTGCAGGACTGAGATCAAAGACTCGACCAGTTCTATGACGTCGGTGCCCAAGCCCCTCAAGTTCCTGCGACCTCATTATGACACGCTGAAGGCCTGCTATGAGGCGCTCAAGCCGTCAGAAAACAAAGTGAGTTGCTGCTGAGTTGCTGCCACCACTGCGATTGCTGTGATTACAATTGTGACTGGCTTGAAAACCTTGCGGGAGAAAGCCAGTTCCTTCAAGTTCAGTATGTTGTATGTTGGAAAACTTGTGTGGTTGGTGGGTTGCTTCCATCTTGAGCTGCTCCTGTCTTTGGATTCTCTTTGTGAAAAGCAAGCAAGTGTCCTACACAGACCCTTTGCAAATATGTTGATGCCTTGGATGGCCCCTTCTGGCAGACTATGCTGGCGGACATCCTCTCGGTCCTGGCGATGACCATGTCTCCTGAAGGCAGTCGGGTAAGCAACACCTCAATGTCAGACTGTTTGCTTTGACTTAGATAGCACTCAGTCGGTGCCTGTCTGATCTTGAACTCTTCTGATTCAGTGCAGTTGGACTGTCACAGATGCAGGAGTTGCGTATCTTTGTGCGCTCTACTTTAGTAGTGAGCATCTCAAGAAGGGCTGCTTTTCTGAGGGCCTCACATAGGACTCCTCAAATGCTTCAGTATTTCCCCCCACTGGTCGTCTTCCCCATCTACCCATATGCTCAACTGGAAGAAAGGTTCAGAACTTGAAGGAGCAAATCAGAGAAGCAACCTAAACGCACCGTTCCACCAGACCAGTAACCACATACTGGTTGCTCGAGTCTGATACAACCCACCACCCCACAGGAATCTCTACACTATCGCCTCAAGGGCTCCCTCGAGAACGTCGGCTCATGGGGCCACGAGTACATCCGGACGCTCGCGGGCGAGATCGGAGAGGAGTACCAGGTTCGGACGGCTGAGGAAAAGAAGTCAGAGGACCTGATGGCGCTCGTGCGCCAGATCATCCCCTTTCACGTGCAGCACAATGCGGAACCGGAAGCGGTGGATTTGTTGATGGAGGTGGAGAGTTTGGATCTGCTCATGGAGCATGTGGGGGAGAACAACTTCCGCAGGACCTGCCTCTACCTGCTCAGCTTTGCCAGGTGGGGCGCCATTCGTTGTCTGGGGGGAGGTTTACGGTCTGGGAGTTGGTCTAGGTGGTCCGGAAAAGATTCTGCGGATCTGCTTTTGCCTGCTTGGGTTCCTCCGCTGCTTAGGTTTCGATGAGGTGCACAGTGCTTTTTGAAAGCTGACGTGGAGAATGAAAAGGTTGTATATGAGGCGAGCAGGAGCGGCCGTCGTCCCTCCTTTAGAATGATTGGGTCTGATTGTGACATAGGATGGCGATTGTGTCAGGAGTACCACGAGTTTGCCCGTTAAGAGTCATCTGTCGTCATGCACTAAAAGAGGGGCGTACATTATCACGAAGTCGACATTGTTCGGTTTATTGATCACCGCAGGTTGCGGCGTTTGCGAACGTGAGGAACGCGTCTACAGCATGCCTTGCGGTTGTTCAGCATAGGTGTCTCTTTTGAATCTGGTTATGAGATCACGATCCTTATCAGTAGAGCTGCGAACTGTCAGCACCACAGTTGCCTAGGGTTTTGGACATGTTGGAGCGTTGAGACAAGCTGAAGCCGTTCTCCAGAATAGTCTAGAGGCATTGACCTTCCTGGCCGAATTCCCGAATCTCCATCCACTTCTTATCTTCGAAAGTAGCCACTTCACCTCTTACATTAAAATCTACTGCCTCCAACTCCAGATGTCACCTTCCAAAACCTCGTGCTCACTTCTCCGTTACCCATTTCATATCCTGAAACTCTGTCTTCATCACATCTCTCCACACCGTCTGTTGCTGCTGCAGCTACGTGCCGGAGCCCGACGACAGCCTGGTCCTGCGCACGGCGTTCAAGATCTTCAAGAAGGTGAAGAATTACGACGACGCCCTGCGCACCGCGCTGCGCCTTAACAGCAGCGAGCTTGTGGCGGAGGCCTTCTCCGCGTGCGAGGACCCCCTGGAGAAGAAGCAGCTCGCGTACATCCTCGCCAGACAAGTGAGTCATCTGGGCGAGTCTTCGTGTTGGCAAGTTGCTGGATGTGAGTCTCAGGGGAGTCTGTTTGTTTGACTGAAGGCATCCATGGGCATTGCTTTCGGTAAACGAGTGAGCTGGTCGATGGGTGGGCAAGAAAGGCATGATGCGAGCATCTGTGCTTGTTTGAAGGACACGGACCTTATAACACAACTTATCTGCTTCTCATGTTGCCACTCTGTTGTTTTCCATTCAAGTAGCCACTCTCTTCTAATATCCAATCAAGTAGCCACTCTGCCTCCAAAATTTCCCCCCGGGACTCGAAAGCTCGTCCCCTACTCTAGGCGGTCCGGTGGAACTGTTATGGTTGAATCTGCGCTGACCAACGTTTGCTTCGCAGGGTTTCGCTCTTGACTTGGAGAGTGACATCAGCCTGGCGGGCGATGACGAGCGCGACGCCCTGCAAGAGATCATCAGCAACTCCAAGCTGAGCGAGGGCTACCTTACTCTGGCACGTGACCTTGACGTCATGGAAGCCAAGACCCCTGACGACATCTACAAAGCGCACCTGATCGACAGCCGTACACCGTCCAATGCCAACGTGGATTCCGCGCGGCAGAATCTGGCGGCGACCTTCGTTAACGGGCTGGTTAACGCCGGATTTGGGACGGACAAGCTGATGACGGGGACTGGGGAGGAGGCGAGCAGCAGCGCTGCGGCCGGGGGCGGGAACTGGCTGTTCAAAAATAAGGAGCACGGGAAGACGAGCGCGGCTGCCAGTGTGGTGAGTCGCTTTGCTTCTTGAAAGGCTGTGGCCTTGCACTTGAAAGAATCCGGTCGTCTTCTTTGCTCCTCGATTCAGGCCGAAGAGTAACACAGGGAAGGTAGCAAGACTAACAGTCAGCAGGGGGCGGAGTTCCTGAGAACCTATTGGGAGAACATTTGATTAGTGTCCACCTTGAAAGTGCAAACAGCAACGCTTGGATGCGTTGATCGAGGAGACTTTTCAGACAGTGGTACAGCAGGTTGTAATTCTCTTCTTTTTTTCTCCTTTGGGTCGTGTTGATTGCTAAATAATGACATGGCCCTCGAGGCTGCGGTACATCATAACCTTTGGAGTTCTACGGGGCGTCCCAGCGCTCCCAATCTCAGCTTCATCGGTTCTCGTCCGGATATCGGCATGGCAGGCATCTTCTATCTTCTATCTTCTATCTTCTGCTCATATTTACTTTACAGAGGGCTTTGCTTGTCTTGGATTGATACGATTCAAAGGTAGCGCCTCTTCTGAAGCTCATTGTCGCACCGTTTTCCTTGACTCCACTCCGAAGCACGCGGTGCGTGCCTCACGCCCTTCGCTTTATTCAGCACTAATCCCCTCTTCTTGTTTCTCGCAGGGCCTGATCCACCTGTGGGACGTGGACGGCGGCCTGCCCCAGATCGACAAGTACCTGTACAGCACCGACAACTTCGTGCTTGCGGGGGGATCTCTCGCGATCGGAATCGTGAGCAGCGGCGTGCGGCACGAGTCCGACCCCGCGTTCGCGCTGCTGTCCGAGTCGGTCAACAAGGACGACCCCGCGGTGCGCATCGGGGCCATCATGGGGCTGGGCCTCGCGTACGCGGGCGTGCAAAAGGAGGAGGTGAGGCGGCAGAGAGATGGCGCGGGCGGACATCTGTGCAGGAGTGTTTTGCGGGCAGTTGGTCACAAGTTGGTTGTATGCTCTGGAAAAAGTGCTGCCTTAAACAGGATCAGGAGATCCTGAGTTTTAAGGGAGGAGGTGAGGGGCCCTCCGGATTTGCAAGGACTGTGTTGCTTGCAAGTTGGTTGACGACGTAGGAGGTTTGGGGAGATCGGTTTTTGTGTGGTTAAGAAAAGTCACTAATCAGAGGCTCTTTCACTTCTCCTACCAACTCCCTTGTACCCCTCAGGCCATCGGCCATCTCCTTCTGATGCCATACATTATACACCTGTGAACCGAAGTGTTTTTCATAAACCAAGATAGGCGATGCCAAAAAGCTGCGGACGTGCTTTCTTCGCGCCATGTCTCTCCGCATTCCCCCTATCCGTACGGCTTCTCATCTCACGTTGTCCAGCTGCGTTGGGGGGCTGGTGGTTCTGTGCTTCAAATTTATTTGAAAGACATTTCACATTTCGAAAAGAAGCGGCTACCTCATTTTTGTCTTTCTCTTGCTCAACTAACCAACGACACCGCTTCTCCCCATCGCAGGTTTTGGAGCTGCTGACTCCCGTGGTTCTGGACAGCTCCGTCGGAGTAGACGTCGCTGCGTTCGCTGCGCTCTCCCTGGGGCTGGTTTACGTGGGCACGTGCAACGATGACGTGGCGATGGCGATCTTGCAAGCGCTGATGGAGCGCGGGGAGACCGAACTCGCGGACCCGCTCGTACGCTACTTCCTGCTGGCGCTTGGGCTCCTTTTCCTGGGGCAGGGGGTAAGCGCTTTTCCTACTTTGCTTTCGATTGACTACTTTCTGAGCGCTTTGCCTAAGCTAGATCAAGCTTCACTGCGTCGCTCCTTCTGAAGTAGGATCTAGGATGCAGACCATGTCGCGGTTTGCATCCTGGGATGGTTCTTCCGGCGATCACTGCTTGGTGTTGTTGGCGTTAGTTTCAAAAGCGGCTTAGCGTTCCAAGGTATGATGCACACCGAAAAGTGACCACTTCAAGTGGGCGTGTGGGTCAAGGGGGCCACCAGAAGCATTCGCGAGTCGCTTCTGCCCCGTTGCCCGTCCAAGCCGTTAGGAATCCTTGTTCATTTGTCAAGTGAATCAGTGTTGAAAGCTCACCTGCCTTTTCTCTCCGTTAAGGTCGCGAGTCATGGGATCAAAGACGGCGCCTTTTCCTTTCTGCGAACCTTTGTCAAAAGGTGACCCACTGTTGTCATCCTGCTGCAGGAAGCGGTGGACGCAACGGTAGAGGTGGTGAAGACGCTTCACGAGAAGGTGTCGATGCACGCGCAGATCATACTGGACTCGTGCGCGTATGCGGGCACTGGCAACGTTCTTAAGGTGCAGCGCCTGCTGTCCATCTGCGGGGACCATCTGGAGGAGGACAAGACGCCCGGGGGGGTGGCGCACCAGGTACGGATGGTTTCGTAAAGAGTTGCGTGGGAAGTTCAATCCGCGGGCATGTGCTTTCGATCTCAATTCCTTTGATTTCTTTCCCCACATCAACCGCCAGTAACATCGATATTCAGCAGGGCAACTGAGCAACCCTATTTTTGGAGGGCACTTTGTGTTGGCCTCTGCACAGGTCGCCATGCCGGGGCTGCAAATACCCTCTTCTGTGCAGAATATATTGCGTCACGCTGCTTCTGATTTGTCGCCAGTTCTGTCGGTATTTTGTCGGACAGCAAACAACCCGTTTTCCTTCTCACGCGACAGTCTTGCGCTGTATTCCGTGGTGGAGGAGCCTTTTCATTTCCGCCTTCCTTGGTGCTATCCATTTGTTTGTTGGCGACCACCATCTCTCTGTTATGCAGGGCGCGGCTGTGCTGGGCATCGCGCTGGTCGCCATGGCGGAGGAGCTAGGCCAGGACATGGCCATCCGCAGCCTGGAGCACCTGCTGCAGTACGGGGAGCCGGGCATCCGGAGGGCCGTCCCGCTCGCGCTCGGCATCCTGTCCATCTCCAACCCTCGAATGACGTGAGCGCCACGTATTGTCCTTAGAAACATGGACGTGGATAGGTGCCTTGTTCTGCTTGTAAGGAGTTCTTGTCTCTCCTATAGAGAAGGTGCTTGTAAGGCGCTGGTCGTTTCGAAGCTGGTCGACGCTTTGATGCTCGAAAGCGACTCTGAGCCCGTGCTCTGCGATTCAGTCCTTTGAGGCGGTGTTGGCCAAAGAAGGACGCTGGCAGACATGCACAGCAAGGAGCTTGCATAAGAAGACATTTGTCTAGAGCCGTTTGACTGTAACGCAACCGGGGCTTTTGGAAGAAAGGCGAGAAAACATCCAGCTATTTGCGTCCGTTATGACGACATGCTAGAAGCCTCACAACAAGGTTTGCAGGCAAAGGCGTTCTCGTCTTGTAAGTGCCAGGGCGTCGAGAAGTGAGTTGAAGATCTGGTTTTGCCGTCAATCGGGGTGGATTAGGCTCTGTCGGTTGGCTCTCAGAACGGAGCTGTGCTCTCACCCTCGCAAATCTTGCGGTTTCTCTCTGTGTTCACACACACAACCTTTCTAATTAATCGATTTAGATTGGCTTGAATAAGACCACGGCTTGCATCAGGCTAAAGGTGGATTTGAACCACCGTTTCAATTTGCAGTTTACCACTTTTTGGTTGTGCGCAGCGTGATGGACACACTGACCTTCTCACCCTTAAGTCCCTGGCAGCACTTCCGGTTTTGGTGGGACCGTAGAGATCCGTGTCCCTTGGTCGCAGTGTGATGGACGTGCCGAGCTTCATATCCTTACTCCCCCAGAATTCATCATTTTAAAAATAGAGTGTCTCTGCCCGTCTTGCGCAGCGTGATGGATACACTGAGCTTCAAATTCTAGAATCCCCAGAAACATAAAACACCCCGACGTTTGATTCCTCTCCACCCCCCTCTTGACAGCTCGATGGAGAGGCAAGACGGGCATCCCAAAAGCCAAACCCAGCTTCTTCTCTAGTGCTTAAAGTGGGCGTATGCACTCGCGAGTGCATTTCAAATCGGACGGCAGAAAAGCACGACTTGAATCTGTCAGACGATGCTCGCTTGCCTAACTTGTGCAGTCGCCACGCTTCGGCCATGCCGCCGGCGTGACGCCTACGCCCACTTTAACGAACAATCTGCGCTTTGAATCCTGAAGGCCCCCAGATATGCTGGCCCCCAGATCTTCTGAACATCAAAACGAATCACTCTTCGCCCCCCTGCACGCAGCGTGATGGACACGCCGAGCTTATTACTCTTAAAACCCCCCAGAAATTCACCAACTTGAAGATGTTAGACTCGCTGCCCCCCTGCACGCAGCGTATTTTGGCGTTTCTCCTGTATTCACACACACAATTTTGTTCTGATTGATCGACTTAGGTAGGCTTGAATGAGACCACAAACCGCTCAGGCTAATGGTGGAACTGAAGAAGTCAACGCATTTCTTTGTGCGCAGCGTGATGGACACGCTGAGCCGGCTGAGCCACGACGCGGACCAGGAGGTGGCCATGGGGGCCATCGTGGCGATGGGGCTCATCGGGGGGGGCACCAACAACGCGCGCATCGCGGGCATGCTGCGGAACCTGAGCAGCTACTACTACAAGGAGCCCAACCTGCTCTTCACCGTCAGGATAGCCCAGGTGCGCTTTCGGTTTCCTTGAGGTTGATACGTAATCTGGTTCGCCCAGTAAAAGACGTCAACTGGAATCTTGGGAGGTCATTCAGTCCATGCTGCGCTCGTCGAGAGCTTTTGTTGGTTCCTCCAGCATTAAGAAGCTGAGTGTCACGCTTTCAGTTGTCCGTGGATCAGAAGCTCGCGGGACGCCCGATGCGTTCTCTTCATATTATCACTAAGGGGCATTTTTTGCTCCTCATCCGGAGCGGCTTTCTGGTGCCGAAGAGGACGTGCGCTGATTGAAGCACAATCGAGGCTCCACCTCTTTGTTGGATTTACCGTCCAATCAGTCTCCCTTGATCCTGGTTCTTAGTCATTTCCTGCACGGGGAGCGCCCATTATAAGACTGTTACTACGCTCGTCTCCTGTGCTTGCGTGCGGTCCCTTCAACGGCAGAGCCTCTCACCTACTGCCCTTTGCTGCGAAGGCCGTTGGACTGGCGCTTCGTGTTCACGGTTTCTCTGCTTTCTTTACACCCAGGGGTTGGTCCACTTGGGGAAGGGTCTGCTGACGCTGAACCCGTTCCATGCGGACCGGGGCCTGCTGCACCAAGTCGGGCTGGCGGGACTGCTCGCGTTCCTGCACAGCTGCATGGATTTCAAGAACATCATCCTCGCAAAGTACCACTACGCGCTCTACTTCGTCGTGCCCGCGCTGCAGGTGAGAACGGATATCACCCTCTGTCTCGCGGTCGTGTATGCGTATGTTAATGCTAAGGACGCCCGTGTTGGATTCCACCACTTGGATGCCGCCACAGGACGATTGCCCAAGTTTCAGCGAAGTGGACGGATTTGAATGAAAGGAAACCAATTGATGGTAGTTGCTTCAGAATTCGGGAAGCAGCGAAGGTCGAAACCTTGTTGGTCGGTCATAAAAGTTTCAAACTAGCCTGTGCGATCAGAGAAACCTCACCTTGACCCACTCTTCCGAACGAAACGAATGCCTTTTTCCCCCACGCTGCAGCCTCGGATGCTCTTGACCGTGGACGAAAACCTGAAGCCCCTCCCGGTGTCGGTTCGCGTCGGACAAGCGGTAGATGTTGTGGGTCAAGCAGGCAGGCCGAAGACAATCACCGGATTCCAAACGCACACAACGCCAGTGCTTCTTGCGACCGGTGACCGTGCTGAGCTCGCTACGGAAAAGTACATCCCGCTTACGTCAATCCTAGAAGGGTTCGTTATTTTGAAGCCGAATCCGGACTACGTTGAGGATCACTTAGACAAGTAGTTTCTGAGCATGCGTGTCGAAAACATCAGTCGGTGAGAGGAATCTGCTGAGGAAGGCACATTTCTGGCCCTACCTTGCGCCTGGTCATCTTAGCGTGCATGTGATTTCGAGCACATTTCCGCCATATGGCAACTCACAAAGTCAGGAGGTGGTTTTCGTGTCTTGAAGGTGCCACCTTGAAATGTCATAATCTGCGATTGACAACCGGCGACAACATGCCACTGTCCATCCCTATAATGATGGCCCACAATTGATCATCGTGCACACACTATGATATGCTGAAGTACCAGATATCAGTTAGCTAGAACATATTGGCGTGACATTGTAGTAACGTATACAAGCCTGTTCGACTTGATTATGCATACCTGATATGAACCCATCAGGGCCAACACATCGATGTTGATGTTATCCAACCATGTATTGGCGGTGGTACACGCCATTCAATGGCGCATACCACCGCTTTATGCACTCAATGATTGAGTGCATAAAGCATCATGTGACTTTAGAGCAAATGATCCTTTACAAGTTGGAGTAGAGAAGCTGGTGTGACATCAGTCGCTCTGCGAGCTCCACACTGTTAGCACTTGGGCCCTCGCCCATGCGCATAGATGCAGCAATGCATGCGACCGAACGCGTGCAAGCTTCAAGACATGAACTTACAGATCGACACACTCCAGCTAATTCAGCATCAAGTAATGTATGTTCCGCGCGCGCACTTGTTCAGGTACTAAGAGATTAAATGGTTTAAACGTAAACGTATTCGGTTTCTCATACCAGGCCGCAGAGGCCAAACCCTGCCTTCAATGGTTAACGCGCTCAGTGCCTGAGAGTGAGAGCGTCGGTCAGAGGTTTCGATGGAAACCTGGCGTCTAACCCGTACTTTGTATGGTACTGCTCTTAACCCAGTTTCGACAACCTTGGGTGCAGAAGCTTTGACAGAGTTCAGTGCAGAGCACCGAGGTCCAGGAGGTGCCGGCCTTCTTCAACTTGTGGGAAAGCAACTTCTAGGGCTGCAAATATTGGACAGGGGAAGAAGTTTGGGCAGTTGTAGCTGGCAGGCCTGTGGACAAGGTTGTGTCTGTGAGGTAGGCAGGAACTTCTTTCGGTTCTGTTGAGGGAGGGGCCGGGCCGCGTGTGGTCTGGATTGGGTGCGGAAAACTTCTCTACTCAGCATTATTCCTGCAACGACTTTGATCGAGTGACGGCATGGCATCATCCTTGACAGCAGCGGTACAAGGGTTCGAAAGGTTGTCACTGGCCTCCTCATCTAGGAACGGGTGCAGCATCTCTGGGTCGCAGTATGGGTCAATGCAAGGAAGCGCGCTGAGCGGAGCTCCCAGGCAGCTCTCTTCAGCATCGTTCATTGCTCCCAGACTACCAGGTATGGTGGCCACATTTGCCAAATGTCAACTCAGTTAAGCTTTCCTTGCGGGCATGCAGTTAGGGTTTATTGTTCAGCTTTCCCTGCGGGATGTATTCAGGGCTCATTGTGAGAATCGCTTGTCCAGTAGCCTCAACCCTGAGCATGTTCTGACACTGGCTTTATCAACAGTGGAGGGGTTGTGTTTGCTTGGGCCGCATTTGTCAACATTCTCAAGTTGGAATGAAGGTTTCCACTTTGCAAAGTCGTTTTCTATCTGGCTGCATTCCAAAGAATCGAGCGCCTGGTAGGCACACCTTAACATCACGGCACCCTTTTGGGCGCCCTGTGCTTCTAGAGTAGTTGCGCACACCATTACCGGCTTGTGGTCTAAGGGTAATTCATGGGCTGGAACAGCGAAAGTTGCCTGTGGAAACTCTGCGGATAGATTTTGTTGAATGTTTTGGAAGGAAACCGATTTCCGTATGAGAAACTTGCATGGCGTGTTCTTAAAGAGTCTGCTTGTAAGAATGAGAATGCAGTTCAAAAAAATGGCTAGTGCACACCGCCCTGATCACTTTGGCGAGGGCCCTTTTCTAGATAGCTCTCGTCTGAGAGGGTGTTTTGTGTGCTGCTCTCTTTTACTGCTGGTGGAACTTTGACGATCACTGTTGGTCTCAGTCATGATCGGCTGAATGCTCGCACCGCTAAATTGGGTGGCCCTAACAGCACCTGCAAATGTACTGTCGGGCTTGTCTTTATTCGGGCAGCTCTTGAGTCAAGGGTGTGAATGATGCTTGTGCTGCCCATTCTGTTGTGCTCATCGGGCATGTTAATAGGCAGCAACTGCTGTCGTCACCCCTTTTCATTCATGTTGTATGTTGTCCTTTGAAAAACTGGCGGTCGCTACAAGGAACAGTGTTGAACGTAATGGAATTGCTCGATCCATATGTGTTCACCTCTATGGAAAGAGAGACCCAGTTTCCATCTAAACATCTTGGCTAGAGGATGAAACATGACGGAAATTGCGTGATAACATAAACGGCCACCTTGTTGGAAGAGAGAGCCAGACTCACATAACATCTGGAGAGGATTCAATGTGACAGCATTGGAAACATTGCACTTCCAAAATTCAAGTGCTTTTTGTTTGTGCAGCATTGGCGCGGCGACAGGTCAGCGTCCAGACTGCCCCAGGTTTGCAGATTCTTGCAAAGCAGAACGCGTTGAAGAGGACGAGGCAAAACGAGAAGAGGAGGGCGTACCACAAGGCTAGGAAGTCCGAAATGTCAACCAGGATCAAGAAGGTGGGCACTTGACCATTCTGCTTGGTTGCATCTCTCATGGTGATTCATTTCAGCTTGATGCAGAAAGAGAAGGTGGTAGAGGTTGCCATGTTGATGTTGAGGAGAAACGTCCACTTACGCATAAGGTATGCCCAACGCTTGAAGCCCAACCTTGTGAAGCCCAACCTAGTGATACTTTGGTCGCTCAATGATGGTGGTGCCTGCAACAGGAGGTTCGATGGTTCAATCAGAGAACTGACAGGCAGATCAGAGACTACTATCGTAAGAGTAATTTTTATGTGACTTCACGGGTAGCTATGCGAGACACGTATCAAGACCTAACGCCACACAGCTCATCCGTACATGGAAGGATCTGGATGATTTCAATATTCTGGTCTCGGGTTACGATTTGCCTGCACTAAGTTTTGTTGATAATGATAGTATCTCTTATTCCAGCTTTTGGCAAGCAGCCTTATTGAGTTTCCTTCTCCGCTTCCTCGTCTACCTAAACAGATTCATCCATTTTCCGAGACCTCCTGTCAGGAATTGAGACGAAGTAGCTCGCTGGGAAGATTCTATCAGGCGTTTAAAGACCAAAAGCCGGGTTGGGTATCAAAGCTTGGAGTTTGAGGTGTGATTCTGTTGTGGCGCAGGTCTTGATGCTGACTGAGCAGCTGAAGGGCAAGCCCGAGGACGCGCAGGAGAACCTCACCCTTGTAGAAAAGTACATCTCGGAGGCTTACAAGATCATTGACAAGTCTGCCAAGGTGAGGAAATCTTGCAAGCGCTGGCGTCCATGGAACGCTCGGTATGGGCCAGTTTGTTGTGAAGCCTAGCATCATAGACCTTGGAGTGGTTTGCTTTGCAAAGATGCTTTCGAGATACATCAGGGACAAAGTCTGGATGTTCATTGTTATCAAGTAGCAAGAATGAGATGTCAAACTTTCGTCTTTTTCTCTGCGTAGGTTGGAACCATCCACAAGAACAGGGCCAACCGCCGGAAGTCCAGACTAGCATTCGCCAAGAAGTCTGTCGAAGTCGCCCTTGGCTTGTATACGCCCCCGCCTCCTCCCGAGGTTCGGGCCGCTTCCTCGAAGGTTGCGGACGAAGATCAGGCAGATAAGGTTACGGTTGTGTCGGTCTAAGAGATTGACCAGTCGGACGAAAGTGTTTCGCATCTTTGGGAATCAGAGTGCACATTCCAACCATTAGTATCGCAGATAACTGGCTGATTGGTTTGGCAGTGCACCGATCAGCTTTGAACGATAGAGGGGTAATCAGGTTTTGGACCGGCACGACAGAGACGATGCCGCACAGGTGTTGTGCGGAAGAAAATCTTACAGGTACCGAGTTGCCATGTTTGATATACTGCCGCGATTTACGCGCAAAGGCCTGATGTAGTTCAGCCGAGCCGTAGCTTCTTGGAACTTCATCCTTGTTGTCCTGCGCGGCTCTTGCTAGCTTCATCTCAATTTAATGCCGCGGCACTGTTCGTTGATATATCGTGGCTGTCCATGATTCTTGGAAAAGTAATTTCTATCTGATTTTGCCTTTGGCTACTCAGTCCGGAGTTCTTGTCCTACTGTCACTTCTCAGCCTTCCTTGAAATGCAGCTTACTGCTCCCGCGGGTCGCTTTGTCAATATGATGAACCTTGCAGTGCGCCGGGTCATGCATGCCCTTGTTTGGATTCAGGCGCTCGCGCACTGATAGTGACTCTGGTTACATGATTGATTGCGTGCATGAATGATCGTGATCGATCTGCATGCGTTTGCTGTGGACGGTAGAATAGTACAGGAGCTGCCAGTTGTCCCCACGGACCTGAGCCTGTATACGGCGTATATGTACCGCGTACCTGCCGTGCACGGCATCGAAATTACCGATCGATCGATCACGCGCGCGGCCGGCATCGTTTGGATCCTTGGCATCATGGAATCCGAGTAATTGTCGACGCGGCCGCAATCAAGAGCTCCTGCCACGATCGATGCTTAGAATAGGCATGGTACATGGATCATTCGCGAAAGCGTCTTTATGTTGCATTGAGCTTGAAACTGTCCACTACTCGTGCGGCATGCTGCGCAAGCAGCTGAGCGGGTCACGTTAGCCAGCTGCAGATCACAGCCTTATCGGCCCTGGACCGGGATGACGAATCACTCAGGGCATGTGAGATGTGCCTATTGTGTGGTAGATCGACCTGGATCGCATCTAAGTTGTCACCCCATGCAACCAAGGCCCTCGGTGTTGTTCATCTAGTCCGACGATCGCTCCTTCTTCCATGGAAAACCTACGTACCGCGGACCAATCTTTGCAGCTAGTGGCCTCGGTTAAATAATAATGGTCTCCGATGTTCGCCGCCCAGGATGGTGCAATCTTGACTTAAGCAGCATCTAGTTCGCAATGTATGTACGTCAGGATGACATTCACGGTGCCCTTGCCATCCGAGTCAGGTCCATTTAATACGAGGAAGACATAACCGTCAGATTCAAGTGGCTTTAAAAGTCTGGTGCCCCGAAAAGTTGTGCTAATATGCAACTCAACGAAGTTGTGGACCTTTCCTGATGATTGACTTTCATGTTCGGAAAGATCAATCGACTGCAGCAGCTCTGCTGTCCTCGGCATTAAGGCAGTTTATCACGAAGCTCGACACAATATGATACAAACAACTTGGGAACCAGAATGGGCTGGGGAAATTTCTTTCCTTGCTAAAATCAGGGGCAGTCATATTGATACATGCCCCTCATCGATGTGGAGGAGGCCGAAGAAGATGTTTCAACGTTGCGTATTCTTCCGGTTTCAGCGGCAGCCCCCTCAGCATGGCCTCCGATAGGTCAGCAGATTTTGGCGGTCGTCTTCGTGACATGAGGGTCAAGCCTGCGGCTCCTCCTAGCATGATAACCTGCCCAGAGAAAGTAAAGTAGCCTGAGATTACAAAAATGTAGAGTCAGCTCGTTTAAGAAACCTGCAATGTCTCTAGGAACCGCCTGGTGCTGTGTTGGATATAGTCTGGCCAGAAATGAACATCTGCTCTGGGTGTTGAGTCCTCCACAAGTTGAAGAAAGAAGAGACGCTGAGAAGGAACGCATCGTGAGATATTGCGCCACCCCTCAAAAAAACACTGCTGTAAATGGTGTGTAAAACTCACCGGCAGCAAGTATAGCACTGCAGTTTGGGCATCAAATGGGGGGGAGTACAGCACATGGTCGCCATATTTGTCCTGCAGCGTCTTGTACACCTCCTTTTCCTGCTTTCCACCGGCAATCTCATCTCTAATCATCTGCGGGAAAAGGTTGATACATTGAACCACATGACTCGTGAAGCTTTGTGGCTCTCAGAGGTGGCACTTGCCGGATCGCGCAATTCACAACTGGCAGCAAGACTCAACAGGAGTGATCCTTCCATCAGCGCCACGACCACCTCACGCACAGGGGATGTTGTACTGTAGTGAGAGCAGGACAAGGGGACACCAAACGATGGAATGGTGTGCTCAGGGGCCGCAGCTCCGATGCTGGTCTCACCTTTCTCATCAATATGGCAATGTTGGTCTGTGCATCTTCTATGTTCTGATTTGGACATGTGAGGCACCGGACATTGCGCATGACATTCTTGGCTCTAAGCTCCACCTCTTCCTTGGACAGGACCCTTGTTGGGCTTGAGGGCAGCGCTTCGCTTGGGGCTGATGCCATCAGGGCTGATAAAGTATGATGAAATACTGTCGCTTACGTGTGCTTCTACTTGATGTCAAGCAGCAATAGGAGCGCAGGTTCAGAAATTTGCAGCTCCACTAGCCCCTCCGCTGACAGCGAGCCAGCAATCAAGAAGCGCGAGCTGGAAGGCTTTCAATAACTCTTCGTGGGTTTCCTGACAAGCATAGGTGAAGGCTGAGGAGCCAACATCCACCACACATCAGCGAATGCTGGTGCCATTTCAATGCTGGCATGACCCCCGGCACGACCGCTAGCTGTTCAAATCATTCCTGGACCTCAGCAACTCCGGCAGGTCTACACACCCGCCTCGAAACTGATAAACGGCAAAGCTGCATTTCCTGATTGTCAGAGTGACAGAGAGGGAAGAAGAAGAAACAGAAGTTTGGAAAGAAGATGCCAGGCCTGCCGCCAGGCCGCATTGCACACCGAGCAAGTCAAATTGGCGCTGGTGGGGAGGCCCAAAATTTGCGTGTCGAAGCGGATGTGCTCGCGAAAGGGGCCAGGGTCTTCGACGCCGATGTTCAAATTAGGGTTCGTCTCGACATTCTGCATATGCTTCGCTCGAGGCTGGCTTGAAATGGACAAGCTGATGATACTTACGTCTGATGTATTTGTCTGATCTGGAAGAGAATCTTGCAGATATTTTTGCAGTCTGGATGCCTGCACTGGCAGTTGGGCCCCTCTGTCCCTTCTTCGTTGGACAGAGTTTGCCTCTATATGATCAAGCGCCCGTTCCACTTCGCTTGCAGCCAAGGGTCTTCATGGACAATGCTGCCAGGATTTGACCGCAGATTATGTTTTGGTTGCAGGATAGACTCCTTTGATCAGGCGCATCTATTCCTCATGCGCAGCATGCGCTTGGGGGATCTCCCTTTTTCAGGAGTAGAAGAGGACTCCATTTGCTGAGACTCCTTGCTGCTTGCTTGACCAAAGGGCGAAGAGTACACCATTCGATCCCCGCTAGCCGGAGAGGTTTGCTGTCTTCCACCTCCACATACATCCTGCATTCATTAGAACGATGTGGCACTAAAGACATGTACGGTTCTACAAGACAATTGAGGGTTTTGCAACGATATCATAGATTGCAGTAGAATAATCGCCCCCCTTTGTGGGGGCATAGAAAGCCAAGATGGTGGACACAAGTCCCAGCATCGGGGGGCAATTCAGCAGTCATGTTGATGACCCGCAGCAGGCTGGTGCCTTAATGTCAAACAACGCGCTCCGCAACTCCACTGACAAACCTCCCAGGACACCGCAAAAGGAGTGGCTGCGCGCCACCCCCCCTCCCAGGACCCTCCTGGTGACCCCCCGGCAAAGGCCCCGTATGTCTGATTCTTCCCCTGAGCAAGCAGACAGTCCGGTAAGGACACAGGCAAACAGCCTCCGTGACAGAGCCCCTGATGACCAGGAGAATGATCGTAGGTCAGCGCACCAGAGTGCATCCACGAGCTACTACTCTAGTTATCAGCAGAGAGCTTATGAAGGGCACAATAGCTTCCTGCGGGGGAGCTGGCAGCCAAACGCTTCAACAAGTTTCCAGCCATCCCCAGACAGGCGGGGCAGCTCCAGGGTTGCTTCTCCGCTTGTGGGGGGTGTAGCTAATGGAAATAGCGGGGCCACTTATAACAACAGGGGGACAACTTATACTGATAGTGCGGCAACTTATAGCAGTAGCGTAGGCACTTATAGCAATAGCGGAGCAGCTTACAACAACAGTGGAGGCGCCAATAGCAACAGCAGCATCAGTTATGGCAGCGGCAGCCTTCAGCCTCTCATTTCTCAAGGATCCAGGTATGCAGAACATCCTACCAGCCAGGGGGGATCTAGCCACTTGGGGGGCATGCAGACCCCGCTATCGCCTAAGTGGGGAAAGGCCAGCGGAGCAGCGACGCCTCGAGCGCCAATCCCTGAAAGTCTAGAAGAGGGTCCAGAGGCGCAGAGTGGCAGCAGGCAGACCATGGTTCAGTCCGCCCCACCTGCGACGAAGTCAATGAAGAGGGTCGAGACCAAGGTGAGTTGCAAGCATGCTCTGGCTGTGCTTTGCGCTATGGAACGAACCACGCATGCAGGAAGTGTGATGAGTACAATAATGATAGCTTGCCAGTTATACCTGCCGGCCTCGGACGACACTGCAGTGACAATTCTTGGCACAACCAGGTCACTGACTCGTGGTTGTCATCATTATAGAGGCACTAAATCTGAAGTGTAACCCAGTCATTGTCATGAGCCGTTGTCATGAGAGACATTGTCCTGACACGAGAGATGATACTTTCTGAGCGGGAATCTGACGCATGGTCGAAACCCTGGACGTTCAGATGCAGGTCCAGTCTGCGATAGGCGCATCGTCCTCAGACATGCTGTTCAGTCGTTTTGCGCCCCCGTGGCTCAAAGACTCGTCCCTTGTGCAAGAAAAGGTTGTGGTGGGTGGACGGAAGGGCCGGCGAGGTGAGCCGTGTACTAGGAAGCTGTCTTGCATTTTGTCTTGGAAGCTAGCCCCCAATTTCGCCAAGCGCACAACAGGGCGAGAGTTGCTCCATGTGGTCCTCAAAAGGTTGACTACGTCAGTTGTAGCTCGAAAGCTCCAGGACCCACCATCGCTGCAGTGTGTTAGGTTCTTGTCCGATCTTACTCCCCCCCAGGTTTTGTGAAATGAATTGCTTTCGGTCCGATCTTTGTGCGTGTAACTTCAATGATCAAACCTCCTTGCTTTCGTCTGTAAAGAAGGCAACGCCCTTGACTCCAAAGCCACTAACAGCTGATTCGTGGCGCTTCACCTCGCGGATTTCTGTCCTTGCGGGTGTTCCTTCCCTCTTTTTACAATGCTGACGCCGCCCTGTTGCAGAGTCGAGATACGCGGCAGTGACCAACAAAGAGCTGGTCCTGGTCACGATTGCGAAACGGGGAACCGTCGTCCGGGAGATGGTCAACGTGCTGGACATAGTCACCATAGGTAAGGCTCGCGCTGCGCCCAGATTCAGCGACACCGGCACTTTCCAATTCTTTCTGAGCCTTCGTATGCCATCGTCTGTTCTAAGCTGTACCAGCTTCTTGAAGACACCGGGCTCGCCCTTTCTTTCCCCGATCTTAAAGGCCGTAACAGATCAACGGCTGTCATCCTTAGGGACGCAATCGACGCGCATCGACTTTCTATTTCTTGACAGGCAACTCTTTTCCGTCCATTGCAAGGGCCAGCTAGGTTTCTGCTCTGTGTCGATCCAATGACCTCCCCTGCAGATCATTTTAAAGACAAGCCGCTCCCTCCGGTACACCAGACGCTGTGCCGGCGTGTATTGCACCCCTTCACGCTGCACTGCATCTGCCACGTGTCAGTCGCTCCGATTGACGAAGACTCCGAGCACGACGAGCACCACGCGGCCGGGCTGGCGCTGAACCTCGGGCCTGAGAACAAAGCGCTGGAGCTGTTTACGGGCTCAGGTGAGGATTCGGCCAGCAGCTGACCAGATGTTCCTGGTCAGATGATCAGCTTCTTTTCACAATTGAAGGGAATTCGCAGGCAGGAGGGCTCATGGTTCTGACGCAGTCATGGCAAAGGCGCCTCGCCCAAACAGTCCGCACGAGCTCCCGTTGATCCGTGTTGCTCTTGCTGTAGTTACAAGAGCAATGTGCAGTATTTCTGGTCATCCTCCCTCTCTTCGCCCTCAAGCCCGACCCCGTTATCTGCCAATGGATTGCTGACGTAATCTTCCACGTGGCAGGCTCGCGGCTGCAGTTCGTGCTGTCGAGCGTGTGCTACAACGCGCTGGTGGACCAGAGCCGCGCGGGGGAGGTGAACGTGGGCGGCCGCGAGGAGCACCACGACGAGGCCGCCATGAAGGTGCGGGCCATTCACGAGAAGCGGCACCTCTTCATTCAAGCACACTTTCATCTGAAGCCCTTCGTTCCTTCCTCTCCTATGAGAATAGAGCGCCTGTAGTCCAATTTGCGCGCGTCTACAATTGGTAGCGACGAACGTGTGTTGCCTTGTCTCGAGGGGTCGCCGAGCGGTCTCCGTTTGCTGTCAGTCGCAAACGGATTTCGATGGACGAATTTGGCAGAGGAATGGAGAACAAAGGCGGTCGCTCGGTTAGGTGGCGTTGATAGCGAACGGACGCAGCTTCTTGGCAGCTTGTTCCAGCGGCAACCGGTAGCTCGCGGCCTCAAGGGTTCACTTTCGACGACGAACCGTACCTGGCTGCGGATATCGAGCTTGATTGTTTTACCAGTCGAAAGCAGTCACGATGCAGCACGAACGGCGGCTCACAGCTTGCCACGTGGCGCTCGCAGGCGCTGTTCTCGGAGCTCAAGTCGGAGCTGCTGGTGGCGCACTCGATCCCGGACAAGCTGAAGCTGTTCGAGGAGATCGGCTCGGCGGGCGAGCACAGCACGCCCATCAAAAAGCTCTTCTTCGAGTCGGGTGTCTTCTCGCGCCTGCTGGACGAGATGCGGCTCACCAAGCTCAAGCAGGTGCGTGCAAAGAAGGCCCGTTGGCCGGTGGAAAGAAGCGGACTGATTGAAGATAATGCGCTTTTTCGACGTGGCTTTTGCAGAACAGAAGGATCCTTCGCATTCAGGTCGAAGGACACAGGAGGCAGATGGAGGCACAAGCACATTGTTCTGACTGTTTATCGAGATTGTCACCACTGAACACTCTTGAGAGGGATGCTTTACCGGCTTGGCGACTTTCCCAAGTCGAACTAGCACGCAAGTGCTGATCTATCGATTATGGACCGGCACCATGATCGCTCTTTTAAGCAGACTTGCTGCGGCTATGCACTGCACCTCTTTGTCCCCGCCATCGAATCAAGTTGCCTGCGAAAGATCCCAGTCAGGCGCCTGGCGCGACTACATGTCAACTCGCCACAGAGTGTTCGACGATTCACCATCCATTGCTGTCAAAGTGTGACCGCTTGTTTTCCTTGCGGTACAGAAAGTCATGGTGGAGCTGCACAGCGGGGAGGGCACACACGCCCAGAACGCGTCATCTGGAGGCAAACCTTCCCCGCAAAAGTCGTCGGGGAACAAGATCCGGGAACCGGGGACTCCCAAGCAGTTCGGCCAGGCCACGCCGGAGCCCATCACCCCCCGGCGAACGATCCTAGGAATCCGGAACTCGATGAGCACTCCCCTGGGGGGCAGAATCTCGGGCGACTCGACCCCCTCGACTCCAAAACTTGAAGGGGTGTATAGGTACGGCCATGGGCCGCAAGCAGTCAGGGGGGTAAACGCTTATGGGAACGGGGCCCCCTGGAAGGAGGGCGACCGGCGATCGTCTGATTTGGACGGCAGTTTGACCGGAAGGGGCGGCGAGAGCGGCGGCCGGACTCTGCGCGCGCCGTCGGTGCGCGAGTGCGCGGCCGCGGTCGAGGGGCTGCAGTATGTGGTGAGGGATCTGTCCCAGGACTTTGCTGTTTTGACGTCACAGCATCACCGAGCGGGAGAACGTGCTTTCGAAAAGCTGAGACAGTCGGAGACACTAATTGAAAACCCAATCGCAAGTGGTTTTGCAAGTAAGACTTGTGCCCAGGGTCTTGTCTCCTCCCTCTGTGGCGAAGCGTTGCTTCGGTTGGCGTCGCTGATCAGAGGGGCATCAGATCAACTATCAGATAGCTTCCTGGCAGTGCCGTTGCGTTCTTTTCAGCCTAGAACTTTGCTACGTTGTTTTGATCATTAAGCAGTTCAAGCACGCGTTTTGTCCGACTTGGCCAGTCCCCGCGCATTCATCCCTTCGGTGCCCCTGTCCATGCTCGGTCACGCTGCTGACCTACTGCTGACGTTCTACGACGCAGGTAACGCTGCTGGCGTGCCTGACGAGCATGCTGTCCAAGAGCGAGGCGATCGCGGCGCGGCAGTCACTGCTCACCCCTCCTCGCCACTACTCGTTCCACTCCATGCTGGCCACGCTCATGGAGGACTTCCCCACCCCGCCGGGACTGCAGGGCGCGCAGCGGCAGGTCGCGCGACAGCTGTCAAAACAGATCCTGGACCTGCAGGCAAGGACGCTTCTCTGCGCGAGCATCATATCATAACATCTTAGAACCAGATTGGTTGTTAGTTTGGCTTTGCTTCGCGTTCTGCGCGTTCTAGAGAGGAATGATGTAGATGGTAAGAAAGGACACCGTTGCCAGTCTCATAGAACGGGGCGGTGGAAGCGGGTGGCAGGTCGAAAGGAGGTCATGGTTGGTTTAAGGGACATAGATGCCGGGCAACTCCATGTATGCCCTCAGTTTGGCACAAACATTTGCTGGTGTCGCTTTCGCCTAACAGGAACCAGTCCAAATATTTGAATCACTATCAAGCCCCGCTGACTTTCTCAAACGGAGTCCGGACCCTTCAGTCACTGAGCTCGACAGTACCTGAGGCCGACTTTTGAACAGCGCTCCTTTCCGGACGTCCGCAGGCGGGCGTGCTGTTCCACCTGCTGTCCATCTCGGACCAGGCCGCGCTCGGCAATTCCAAGTACTCCCGCGACTACTTGCTGTACTACGTGATTCGCGTCCCCGGGTTCAACGAGCGCAAGCTCAGCCTGCTCTTCCGGCGCCTCGTGGAACTGCTGTACAGCGAACGGAGCGCCGCGACGGGGGTGTTCAAGGCGGGGGCCGCAGTTATGGTGAGCGTCCCTCTTCTGGCGTCCTCCAGTTGGAAGGGAGAGGGCCTGCGCCGTCTGGGCCGAGAGGCCACGTGGCCGGAAAGGGAGGTTTAGCGTTACCAAGAGAGCCTCCGCCTGCTAACTGGATGCGCGGGCTGTGCATCCATATCTGAGATACTTCGCTGTTGAACGGAAGGTTCTGCTTCAACGTCAAAACGGTCTGCGCTTCGCGCCGATAGTCTGCGGGTCTGATTGGAGGACGGCTGTCGTTACCCCAGTTTGTGTGCAGATTCAGAGGCTTCTGCGACTGTGCCGAGGGCTTTAACGTCAGGTCGAGATAGAGTGGGGCATTAAAACGTTTTGTATGCGAGTAGATTGGCCGTGCGACGCAAGACACGGTGCAGTGTTATTTTGCACGCTGTTCGCGTCATCCCTGCCAAGACCCTCTGGCTTGTGTCGCTGCCAGAGACAAAGTTTCTGGACTGCCTGATCGTTGCCGCCCTAAATGGAATCAACAGTGTGCTTTAAAAGCGGAGTAATATTGCAAAAAAGGAGAGGCTGACTTGCCCAGGACTTCCAAGAACCTCTTTGCTTCCGCTAAACCTGGTATTGGTAGAGCGGCAAGGAAGCTTGATGGAGCTGGAGCAGTCACATCCTCTTGCTTAGTCCCCCGTCTTTCTGCAGATCTCCATCTATCAGCACGCCACCCTGCTGACGTGGATCTGCGAACGCTCGTCTTCGGCGCGTTCCACGCTGACTGCCACGTGTAGCGAAGACATCAAGTACAGACTCGGGAACCCGCAAATTTTTGGGCAACTGGATCTTAGGTACCGAATAAACGAGCGAAGTAGAGACCTGGTAAACAGGCTCCTGAAGGCACTGGCTGGTGGAGTAACAGAGCGGACTTGAAGTTGGAGGTTGATCTACAGGAGAAAGTGGTTAATGATTGACTACCAGGACGCGTATGTGAGATGACCTCAGAACCAGAACGATGGCCCGAATCTAGTCCGGACAAATGCCCGCAGGTCCTATGTCCAAGGACTGGGCGTCGGAGGTGCAAGAGTAGATGCACCCTACGTTCAGCTTTCCCGTCAATCGTTACCCTTGCGATTAGAGTGCTTTGTATCGCTATGCAAGTGTTCTACAAGTCAACTAGCTGTTGACCATGCCTTTCCAAGTGCACCATCATGGAGGTATATATTGCGTGTACCATGGATTTTGAAATGATGCCGAACATTAAATGAGTCCTGAACATGACGAAGATCTTCGTACTGACCGACATAAGATTTGTGAAAGATTATGAACTCGTTGAGCTGAGTTTCTGAAAGGTGGTACGTTCGCGCGCGCAAGCCAAGCTGTTGCTCGTACGATATAACGTCCAGGTATATATGCTTAGAATGATCATGCGCGCAGAACGGCCGCCATGCGGTGGCGAGCTGGCTGACGTCTCGTTCGAAAAGTATGCAATGCTACACACGCGCTAAACTGATCCAGATGGCACTCTTGAATTTGATTGATATGTTCTACTGGCCACAGATGACAACGGGTCAGGCTGTGCTGGTCACCTTGCAGATCATCAGCGTATGAGTCCCATGATGCAAGGCGTTCGTGTATGATAAGCTCAGTGCGCAAAGTCTTGATGCTCGAGCTCAGACTGTCGTAAGCACGAGCACTAGTGGGTGTCACGCTCACTTTGCTGTGATTGGCCGGAAAGTCAAAAGCGTCAGCAGATGAAACGTTTGCCTCCATATGCCAACTAAGCGGCAGACGCCTGCTTTGGGAGGTTGCCTGTTTTGAACCACGCAAAACCTCTGACGGGTCACAAAGCGACACGTGTATCTACCGGGAAAGCTCCTGATCAGCTGGCAGTGCAGCGCAACACAGACCCTTGTGAAGGCTTCGACTTCGAATGTTCTCCAAGGCTTTTGGAGCAAGCTCATCGAAGAAAGCGTTGAAAACTCGGAGAAAAGAGTGCTATGACTACTGTAGACTTGAAGCTGTTGCTCTGATCAGGACTAGGGAGAAAAGGGATTGTAGAGTTGCGGCTATTTGCAGCTTCTTGAGACACAGAGAAGCTCTTAATCAGCACATCAGCAGCTTCCTTGAGGAACTTCTCGAATTGGAGCGCATTGCACTAGTCTCTGTCGCGAGATCCTGACCATCAAGATGGCTCGATCCTTCGCTCTCTCCTGTCTTCTGTTGGTGTGCCTCACCGCGTCAAGTACCTTTGCTTCCGGAGACTACATTCCCATCGGAAAACCAATCACCCTGAATGCCACCGCGACGCTCCATGGAAACGGTGTCGGTAAGTCACATCTTTGTTGTTGGCAGAGGAGACTACACTGTGAGTCAAGATCAAACATGTCTACTGAATATGCCAGTTTAAGGATGTCATTCGTATGAAATTAGTTGTTTGATGCATGCAGATTGATGCGAGCTGATAGATTTTCTTTGAACCTGCAGGAGGAGCCTGTGGCTACGGTGAGTGCAAATTTGTTCTAGGCATATTTCTGTGCGGTCTTGACGAAAGATGAACGTATAGAAGCGAGCACTGATCCTTTACCTTTTAAAGAGAAGTGCAAACAATCAGCATCGGCGTCCTCTGGACTTTGTTGCGGCGTCAAACCAATGTGCAGTTAAAAAGTCTTTCTGAATCTTTTGTTGCAGGGAACGCTACACACAAGAACATTGTTGCTCTCGGTCCTGAACTCTTCCAGGTTCGTCTCTGAAATCCGTTGGGAGGTTGTCCCGTAATGTTCCAAAGTCTTACCCTACGAAGTTGAGGTAGTTTAAGATGCTCACCGAGGATGCGTCTGCTGATTTGTCCCATCCTCAAGTGACCATGCTTTGCTCTCAAAAAGGATGTCTGATTTTTAGGAATAGCTGCGGACTTCAGCTCTTGATGCCGAATCATTGACATAATTACACGCTCTTGAACATCTTCTGTGCAGACCGGCCTTGGATGTGGTCAGTGCTACCTGATCTCATGCGTTCCCGGAAACAATTCCAAGACTTTTTGCAAGTCTGACAGCAGTGTCATGGTAAGCTGTTCGGTCAATACCTGGCAACGTACAGTAGCTGACTATGATTCTCTGTAGCACCAGGATGTTACAGATCCCGGTACGAACTACTTGTGGCAGGTCACACTATCAACCAGCCTCGTTCAGACTCCACTCGTACGTTTGCCACTTGAATGTTCTGAAGATGCTTCTTACCATAGTCTGCCATTTGACTTGGTGTCTATGCACCGGTCGAAGTCTGCTGCTTAAAAATTGGAAACTCCCTCGACAATATGGCGGTGATTCATACCTGTCAACTGCTGCAGGTTCAATCCGTCGACATATGCCGCGAGTGCCCCAAGTATGACTTTGCTCTCAGCCCCTCAGCCTTTGATCAGATTGTCAACGAGACTTATCAGACGGGAACTTTGGACATTGAGATCCAGCAGTAAGTCACTTACCTGTCTCCTTCCTTTTTTCTCCTTCGTTCTCTTCATCGAGCCACGGGGCAAATGCTGCAGAGAGAGATGCAGCCGAATAATCGCATCTTTTCTTATTACAAGCTCTGTGCAGTACCGTAGAATCATTGGCAAGCGTCTCGAATTCCTGAACGGACAACTAACGAATCAATCAGAAAACTCAGCTGACAGCAGATACTCATGTGGATCCACTTTCTCTTATCCTCCGAGTTTGTTGGACTCATTGGTTGCAATCGTTACACTCTGCAGAGTCAAATGCCCTGTGAAAGGTGACATTGTTATCCGCACCGATGCCGGATCCACTCCTTACTACTTCGCCATCTTCATTCAGGTATTATTCAGCACCATCGTGTCTACGTTTAGATTCTTCGAGGTGCTCCCCGTTCCTTATGTCTCAAGAAGCACGATGGCAAAATTGGGTGCTGTGCATCTACGAAATGCAGCGGTTGCCTTGTTCAATCTTTACAGACAGCTGCGGAGAATCACAATAAAGGAGTTTTGACCTTGAAGAGCTGAGTATATCTCATCAAGAGCTCCTCAACCAGCAATACCTGTCTTGCTGAAGATTCTCCACACTTCCATTCCATTCTGCATCTCTTGCATCAGAACGTTGGCGGCATCGGGTCAGTCAAGTTTGTGGAGGCCAAGACTGGAGGCGGCAAGTGGACATCCATGACACATGTGTGAGTACTCTGGGAAATAAAATGTGCCACGACCTCCGATGAGGTCTTGGCTTGAGAACTGAAACTTGGTGGTTAAAACCGTGCGCTCAAAATTCAGCCGACTGCAATCTTCGCATAAGACTAACTTATGTTGTCCCGTCCTGGCAATCCTTTTTTACACGTTTAACTGATGCTTTAGCTCCACTCTTTGCAGCTGGGGTGTCAACTGGGTTCTCAACGGTCATGTCACCGACTCCGTGTCTCTTCGACTGACGGGAGGAGATGGAACACAGGTATGCTGCAAATCATACTCTTATTGCTTCTTCTAGTACACGAGAGGCCGGCTAAAACATAAGACTTTCAAGTTCGATCCAAACGTGCAACGGCGAAATTTCAGGTATCACCTTGGTTGTCATTCACATCACAGAACCTTCTCTGATGTCATTTCTTTCTGTGGCTTGCTTCTCAGGTGACACTGGACGACTGCGTTCCCGCCGACTGGACGCCTGGATCTTCCTACCCTTGCTCTGGACAGCTCTCGTAGTCTTCCCTGAGGTCATTGAGAGTGTATAACTACTTAAATCAGGAGAAATATGATGTGAACGTCGCAAGCGCAATCATAGGCAATCAATCCAGTGCACTCGAGACTCAATTGTATGTTCAAAAAAGCAGAAGGTGCAAGTCGTACAAATTCGAACAGCCCCCACTAGCATATTGCAAATATCGCTGATATGTTGCCCTGCATTTGTACATGAGCCTCGAAGTCTATGATTACAGAAACATCGATGGGAGTGAATATTGGGAGGGTTAATTCAGATTCAATAACCAAGAAACTCCTTAAAGACGGGGGCGGACTTGGTAAGGTTCTTAGAATGGTTTTTGTGGGTTGAAACGACATTTCACGAACCTTGTTACAATCTAGTGACATCGCTATTATTGCCACCAATAGCAAAAGCTTAACAGGTCAACGATTGGGATGTGGAAGCCAACCTATGTGCGAGGTCTTTGGACGGGGTGCTTGTCAAGGAACGGCTCATGCTGCAAATGAAGTCAGAGCTCCTAGCATATCTTGTTTTTCCGCTTATCGGCAACATTGTGGCTTATTCAGCATCTCACAGGATTCTTGCTCGACGGTCCTTTGCACCAGGTTTCATGCTCAACAAGGACAGCATACAGAAGCTTGGAATTAGTGAGAAGATGTGCGCAGCGAGCAACATTTCAATGTCAATCGAACTTTGCCATACGAAAAGCCGCGTTCCGCGCATTGATGAATTGAAGTTTGTAGCTCGGTTGTCGAGAATCAAGTTGACGGCTGTCCGGGCCGGGATGTCTATTTTGAACACACGAACGGGTATTTTGTAAGTAGTCTCTAAGCTTTTGCAGAACGTGGGCCTGAAATTGTCGTCACGTAATTGGTTCTTTGATGGTTTCCTACACGCTATTTCTGACTGCGATACAACCAAATGTTTGCTGATTGTCACTATCCAGCATGTCCGCTTAGACCTAGCTTTATCAATCCTCTCAACTTCCTGGCATTAGCGGCCGTGAGTGATCCTAAAGTCTCACGATGAGCGACACTTGCATCCACCGGTTACCAGACGCGGTGCTGAGCACTTGTAACAAAATTCCACGCCGCATCTGCAGATCATGTGGTCGCACCCACGAGTCTTCTGGACCACCGCCTCACACCCCGGACACGTGGCGTGCCTTTGCTTGCGTTCCAATTTATTGAACGCCTTGTCGGCCGCCTCCTCGGCAATCCTCTTGCCCATCATATACCCGGCGCATCCGAGGCACCGCAGGTTGTCCCAGTGGGTGACGTCAGACACGACGTTCGCTTCGCCGCAGCTGCCACACACCACCGCTCCCTCCTGCTTCAGCACGTAGTCGCGCAAGATCTCGTGCAGGGCTTTCTCGTGAAACCTCCCCGTGCACAGCAGCTCGACATCCGTTTCCGTTATCCCGCTCTTTAGTCCCGTCTCTTGTTCGCATGTTACGCACTGGAAGAGCTTGGAGTCGGACACGGACGCCTTGGTCGCTCGGACGAGGCACTGGACGCAGTACACGTGTCCGCAGGCAGAGAGAGCTCATTGGTCAAGTTCGCAACACGTGCCGCACAGGGGGCAGTCGAACGTAGCATGCCAGGCTCCCTCGCAGTCGCAAGCGGCGGGAATGATGACGTCAGCCTCCCATTCATCGACTTTCTTCTTGCCCGTCCTTCTTGTCAGAGTTGACGCAAAGCGAAGCGTCCCTTCAATGGCGGCTTTCCATGCTGAAATCAGCCAGCGCACTACCAAGTCGAAGCGCATCTTTACCGTTGCCTTGTGTTTGTTCAGAATCCTGTATTTGTTCAACCCCCTCTTCACTCCCTGCTTTCGCCTCACGTAAGTCAACTGCGGACGCTCTCGAGTGAGCACGAAGGGGAGTGACTGGTGAAAGCCTTGCCCCCGCAATCTGTCCCAGGCAGACGAGCTACCAGCTTGCAGGACCCAAGGCAGGTCTGCGAGTGCAGGATTTTTCCAGGCTAAAATCGTACTGTCTTTATCAATGTGCAAAGAAATTTGCCTGGATGCAAGAAAATTCGTTCCTGCTTCTGGGACCTCGCGTCTTCTCAAAAACTCATCACGCAGTGCTGAACCGACAATCCAGCACCGGTTGGGTTCCCAATACATTGCCCTGCCTAAAAGCTTTGAAGCGGGCCGCGGCCGCGCGCAACGCTGACTTTGGCCGGGCTCACTTTGCTAGCGAAATCCCCTCGAACCCGCGCCAACTTATCGCTCCCACTGCTGCCAACGCCGGCCCCGGCCGGCGCGTTGAGCGGCCGCCCGCGCACGCGCTTGTCACTATCCTGCTGAGCGGATATGCATTCCACTGAGCTCTTTACTTCAGCGCATCTTGGCGGAGCACATTTGAAAAAGGGTGCGCAAACTGCCTCTGCAATACTAGAAAGGGTGACGCCCTACGAGGTACGAATTCGCGACGTTGGAGCGCCCCATGTCGGAGCGAGCCCTTAGTATTCCTCTCTGCCGCATACAAGAAAGCGAATAGACTCGATCAAATCTCGTGCCGCACCCGGTGTATGTCTGTTCAAGACCGCAGCTGGCCTGTTCGCGCCTTGCTGGCTAACAGGCCAGCTAGCCTCAACGCTTCATCAATGTCAACAGTGTCAATGAAAGTTCCCAGGCTGAGGTTAGGGAAGACAGCGGGCGGATAAATTGCACCCAACTTGTATCCAGCTGGCTGACTTCAGCGAGGTGGTCCACGATGCGAGAAGCTCTCAAAAAGACGCAAGAGGAAGGCCGCGAAGAAGCTGAGACTGGAAGGCTGACGTCATCCTGCCCCCGGCTTGCGGTTGCGGCACGCCACGTTCGATTGTTCCCTGTGCGAGACGTGCTGGGCCTCTGACCAACGGGCGCCGTCCGGCTACGGACACGTCTACTGCGTTCAGTGCCTCGTCCTGGCGACCAAAGCGACTCTGACCAACATCTTCCAGTGATTTCTCTTTAGTATAGGTATAGTAAGCTGACATGCGCCTTAGCGACGGGACTACAGAGCGGACTTACAGAGCAGGACGTGGATCAGCTGCTGTGCGCGGGACGGTTTTGAGAGAAGGCTCTGCACGAGGTCCTGCAAGACTACGTGGAGGGGGCGTTGGCATGTGGCAACTGCGGGGAAGTAGATGGCGTCTGTGTTGTGACCAATTGAGACGCCCTGTGGGCGCCTCGCGTACCACAAATACGGGGGCATCACATGAAAGGAAGAGGACTCACTAAGGCGAAAGCGGGCAGGCCGTTTAGGAGTTGGAGGCAGACACGTAGGCACGCCACGATTTCTCAATTGTAGGGCGGTGATGCAAAGAACTTGGGGGTGCCGCAGTAGTGTACGTTCGCGGATGCCGGCACGTGCTTCTGTTACCGGTGCTCAACGAGCTGGATCACATGGTCTCGAGTACCGCTGCGGCCCCTGAGCCTGAAGAGCAGCCGTTCAACCGTCAAAGCTGCATGCAAACGGGACCCGCCGACGACAAAGTAAAGCGACTTCTACACAAAAGGGCTCAAAACATTCAAACACTAGCTACTGAGACGTACTAAGATATTGAGATGGACGGCTAGATAGTTGCAGCGGCCTAAATGGGCACGCAAGATGCGGAAGCTCTGAACAGAGCCTGCTGAGTGGTTGCATTCTGACGGTTACGACCTCATAAAACAGTGCATCAATGTTTGGAGGCTTGTACGTAGCTAAGTTCTGAATGGACTGATGGATGCCGCATCCATGAGTGCGGCCGGCCGTTGCATGCGCGGCTGCGGCCGGGCCCACGCCGCGGCACTGCCTATGATCCGACAGTCTTACTTTTCGTAAGTGCAAGCAATCACTGACGAGCTATATCTATAGCTAGGCTACTTGTGAAGAGTGATCGCCTTCGACAATGATCCACATGACCTACATTGCATTCGTTGACTGCATGGGCGGCATATATTTTGAGTTAAGGCGTCGGACACAAGTTATCTTATTTGCGGCGATTGAACTCGTTAATTTGCTGTACGCTTACTAATAACCAACTATTGCATGAACCGTGTGCCAGCGCACCCAAGCGTGGCGCGCGGCTTAATGCTCATCATGGACGGTCGGTCAAGTTGCATCGCAATCAATTCGATCAATGATAAATATTTCATTTTTAGAAAACGCCTTTTCTTCTGGGACGGTCGGCTAGCTACGGTATATTTCACGCTGCATGGGGGCACACAACTGAGCTGGACTCGACGTTCAGTGGCGCTATTGCAGTGTCAATGATGCAAACCTGTCCATGCACCGAACATACCATTTCAAATAGAAGACGTGTTGCACAATTCTTCCGCGATCAATGTAGCTGACCGACGGTCTTGGCCAGCTGGTTCTTACATGTATTTCCGATCCTAGGCCACATGATTCAAAGATTGGGTCAGGCCCAAGATTATCTTGAACCCCGATCGAAACAAAACCTGTTTCTGCTTGTATCACAAACGGCTACAGGTGAGCTCAGTCTCAGAGACGGGCGGGGAGTGTACAGTGGTCAGTGTTCATTATCAATCCTGTGCTAGCGCTCGACTGTTTACACGGGCAGAACCAGACTTTGTACGGAACTTATGTAAGAAAAGGGCCCGCCACAGATGAACAAGACACCCAGAACTCACCTCCGAATGGAGGGACTTTGCGATCGGACTGGTGACTAACAACTTGTTCAGAGTCGGCCTGCTTGACACCATTTTTCCTAAAGTTAAGACTTGTCAAAGTTCCCTTATGTACTTCCACAGTCCACCTTCCCTTTGCCTGAAACATCCCAAGCTCCCTCCAAGGTTAGTTTCTACAAGTGCGAGGTCTCACTCCGACAAAATTACTGTAATTGAAACTTGCTTCTCTGCCTCGACAATGGCAACTTCCGGGCGTTGTAATCCCTGCGTTTATCAGCACTTCTCCTTCTGCGCACGTCTCAGGTCGTCTTTTCCGCGCACCTTCTTCGAACTTGATATGAACACCGTCTTCGCTACAATGAACAGGAGCAAACAACTCTCAACGGCCAAAAGCTGCTGGCTCTGGTCAACTCGCACCAGATCCTAACTTGACTGTCTTTGCAGCCAACCGCCCCAGCAAGAGGCAACATCCGACGTAACGCCCGCATTTTCCATTCTCACGGCCGTGGATCCTCTCTACACGCAGCATTCACTCAGCCCGCATCGCTGACGTCCTCCGGGATAATCCCCGCCAGCTTCAGGTCCTCCTTGAGCTGCTTCCCCTTGATCCCCACCTCCTCGGGCCACTGGCCCCGCTGCCGGTTGCACACCCACGCCTCCAAGCACCCCGGCACGTCGTGCGTCTCCAAAATGCTCAGCGGGCTCGAGCGGTCCCCCGGCTGCGACCCCAAGCTGCTGACGTCATCCACGTCGTGGTCGCCGTCCTCGTCGTCGCTCAGGAACGATGTCCGGTGTCCGTGGTGCGCCGCGCCGCCGGCCCCGCGCATCGGGGACTGGCGGTGCTCCCTGTGCGGGGTCTGGGTCCGCACAGTCGACGCCGGCGCACACGTCTCAGGCTTCGGCCCTGCGGCCTCGTCCTCCCGGGGGATCCCCCCGGAGCCCTCGGGGGCGCTCTGCGTGATCTCGTTGCTGGCGCTCGCGGGGTGCGCCGTCCGCCCGGGAACATTCACCGGCTGACTGGTATGCGTGCCCCGCCCATCGGCCTCCTGCAACAGCGGGGCGCTCCCCGGTGTCTTCTGGTCCACGTGCCTCTCCTGCGGAGCACTGTGTACCCCGTCACCCGTTAGCGGTGCGTCACTGTCCACAGCAACGCTTTCGGTATCCGGCGCAAGTCCGGCAGGCTCCCCCTCCCCGTCAGCTTCTGCACCTTCTCCCCTACTCTCCGCAGGCCCTTTCCCCTCCTCCCCCTCTTTCCCTTCCTCAACGGCCCACGCTTCCCCCGCCTTCTGAGCCCCCTGCAGCGGCCCCTCAAACATGCTCTTAGGCCACCCCGGCTGCGCCAGCGCAAGCGTGTGCCGCCCGCCACATGTCACCCCCACGACGCCCCAGCTGCCGTCCCTGTTCACACTCTCCCCATTCACAGAGGGCCGTACCGCCGCCTCGTCGTCAGGCCGCCGCGGCGTCTCACTTTCGGAGTCGCTGTTCGTGCCATCAAATGCAACGCGGCTGAAGCTGACTCGTCGTGCGTCAGGGCTGTTGTCCGCACTTCTGGGCCCTGGCCCGACGGTGACGAGAACCGGCCGGTTGCTGGTCTTGGTGCTGCCGTGACCGAGACGACCGAACTCCCCACGTCCCATCTGCGGATTGAAGTGGAAAAGACGTAAGGGCAGGCAGTGAAGAGAGCAAGCGGCCGCCCATTGGCGGCTGACGTGGAAAAGAGCGTGACGCAGCAAGTCGTACCAGGGTCAGCAGCCTTCAAGATGAACGGGTCGATTTTATGACGGCGACTGGACGCCACGTGAAACAACTCGTGAAGCTGCCTTTAACAGGAACGGCCGTTTCAGAGCATTTCTCATCTGTTGAGATAGTTTTACACTAGAAGTGCAGAACTTCTGCCACCGTCCGGAGCTACCGAAACTTGGTCTGAGAACTTTGTTCTTGATCAACCTTCCATTAGTATCGCCGAGTCCGGTCGTATCGTGTAAGAGCACCACGGTTAGAAAGGACATGAGCTGCTGCTTTTGTAGGCCATTCTTCAGCCACTCGTGCAAAGTACATTACTGGATTGCAGTAGAACTGTTGACTTATTCTTATCTATCGAGATTAAAGATCGCTTAGCGCTGAGCTAGCGTACAGGGATACAATATCTTGCTGCCTCCGGCCCCTCGCAGAAACGAGAAGCTTGACTCTCCACGAACTGCCGGGTAGAACCGAAACTCGCGAACTCTCTTGTGCTCTTACCACATAGAGGCGGCCATCCTTAGTGAGTGCTGCCGAATGGGACCCTCCGCAGGAGACGTGTCTGACGTGCTCCCCAGCCAGCGGCTCCACGCGCATCGGCTGCAGCTTGTCCTTGTTGTCTGTGCCCAGGCCTAACCGCCCGTGCTCGCCCCGGCCCCACATGTACAGCTGGCATGGAAAAAAGCTTTGCTCAGCACCTTTGAGAGGTTCTTTCGGACTTCTTTCCCACTGTGGACTTCAACGCCCTTCGAAGAGGTTCTCTTCCACGTTCTATGTTCCCCAGAGCAAAGTCTGGGATCACACGAAGGTCACAAAGGTCCGGGATGAAGGCGAGCAATTGGCGCAACGGAAGCAATTGGTTAATAGTTGACGCAGAATCAACTCTGGAAACGTCTTGTTCCTATCTATATGCGGCCGGGATGCAGTGGGCACCGAGCTAGAACTCTCGAGAGCTTTGTATGATAACACCTCTGAAACATGATTCCCCAACGACCCAAAATGTCATTAACAGGCACTGTGAACTACCTTTTGTCTCCGAGCCAATTCTTGAAATTTTCGTTCTCGAGCGCCTGCCACATTCGATAGGTCCGGTGTCAAGCAGACGACTTTGAACATTGACCCACAAAGCCCTATTGAGATTCCTAGTAGCCTACCTGTCCATCCTCCGTCAACGCGGCTGAGTGCCACCCCCCCGCTGCCAACTGGCAGATCCGCAGCCCCTTCAACCCTTGCACCACCGACGGGTTTGGCCGGTTGTGCGTGTCCCCCTGGCCCAGTTGGCCGTACCCGCCATTTCCCCAGGCCAGCACCTCGCCCGCTGACGTCAGCGCCAGGTTGTGGAAAGCGCCCGCGACAGCCGAGACGGCGTGCGGTACGCCGATCACTTTGTGGGGCTTCCAAACATCAAAACTGCATGGCGACAGGGGGAAGCACTCGTTAGTTACTCAATCAATGTTGCTCTGATGGAGCGTAGGAGAAATGTTGCCGCAAACTGAAATCGAACCGTTGTTCTTTGAAGGAACGTAGAAATTCTTTGTAAGGGGTCACTCCGAAACCAAACCCACAGAAAACAGAAAACAAACAATAGAAGTTGAAAGCACGCTGCAAACGTTCTGGAAGAATAAAAGGGCACCAGGATGCTTACAAGTTTGTTGGCCTTGGTTGTAGAGACAACCTTCAAGATCTACCCACCTCAACAAAGAATCTATCCAATTTCAAGAATCTGCAAGTGAAGCCCTCCGATCAACAAAGGACACAACGATCTTACAAGGTCCCCATCGAAAGAAGGAGCCTCGGTGTCACTGATTGATTGAAGCTTTGCTGCAACTTTGATCATGCAAACGAACAATGTTACAGGGACCTTGCTTCAGATGCGCACTCATCCGTCAGGACCAACTTGTGCAAAAGCTGCTGGCCTATGGCATCAAAATCGCGCCCCTCTCAAGAAACTTCAAGGCAGCTCTCCCACTTTAAGCCGAACGATGCCCTTTTTCCAGGCATTACAGCCCATTTCATCGTTCAGACTCCAAAAGGCCGGCGCACACTCACTAGCCCGTCGCCACCAGTGGCTGCCCCCACGTCCAGACCTCCCCCTCCATGGTCAGTATCAGCGAATGCATTCCTCCCGCTGACACCGTCCTCACTTTGAGCCCTGCGGCGCACGGCCGGGGGGGCGCAATGTCCTTCTTCACAAACCGGCTCCCAACATACAGCTTCTCAACGGGGAGCCCGCATTGACCGTACTCGTTCCCACCCCAGCAGTAAGCTTGGCCAGTGTCATCCACGGCAAGGCAGTGCCAGCCCCCAATTGTGGCCTGGAAAGGAACCAATGGTGTGAACAATTGACAGGGAACGATGCAAGGGGCAACGGCAAACTCGGGAATGAGTTAGCAGCAGATCCTGCAACACGGTTGGATGAGGCGAGCACAGAAGTGCCCGACCTCAATTGCCCTGAGGTAAGAGATCTGTTCTCTCAGTTGATTGACCATCTTTGATACTGCGCCGATAAATGCATGATTGAAACACTTCCCTGGAGTGAAGCGCCAACTTATATCCGTGCCAGAAGCTCACAGCTCAACCAAATCAAGCCTTAAAAATCTGAGTCTGCGGCCACTTGCTATCCCTCAACCAAAGCTGCTTGCAATCAAGAACGCCTTTCTACAATAAGGCCACTACAACCCCACAGCACCGCCCTCTTTGCCCTCCCAGGCTCTCACCTGCACAATCTTCTTCCCCGCCAGCCCTGTCAGCTCCTGCGGTTCACTCTCCGCCTTGTTCTCTCCAGCAAACCCTAATGTGCCCCGTTGGTTCCAGCCCCAAGTGTACACTCGCCCCTGCTTTGTGATTGCCAGGGAGTTGCGGCTGCCCGCTACTAGTTGCTCCAGCTCCAAGCCATCCAGTGGGCTGACGGGAGTGGGCCAGTGCTCGTCCTCGAGGGTGCCCTGCCCTAGTTGCCCGTCCTCACCAACGCCCCTGGAAAAGCAGCTTTTCCAATTTGAGCTCACTTCTAGCTGGAAGAACCAGAATGAAAGTTGCAACAAAAGGTGCGCCCAGGCAATCACTTCTCACCGGCTTCCCTGCATAAGGTAACAATGTCCCAGGCCATCCGCAGCAAGAGAGGCGAAAGGAAAGCTCCCAGTGAAGGGTTGATTGCATTAGGATGCTGAACATGGTGACTGACAATAATATTGCTTGCATTCCGAAGATGCACGAAACAACCGCTGGCAGGAGCGCAAGCGGAGCCAAATGTTAGGGGGCATCAAGAGCCCCGCAAATTGTGCAACAGCAATCCTGGTGGCCTGTCCAAATTTATTGCTGAAATAAGAAATGCGCGAAGAAAAATGGTGGAATCAAAGTAGCCCAGCAGCACGCTATTTTACAGCGATCCGCTTGGTCAAAATGAAAAGCACGAAGAAACACAAAGCGGGCACTCCTCTGGGTTCAAACTCTTTGGTCATTGTAGCAGCTATTAGACCGAACAACAACAGTAACTGGAATCACAAAAATCATTGCAGGAGGTGACGGCAACTGCAGAAGGGAATGATTCCAGCTTCTAGGATGGACAAAGTAGCTCAGAACTGCATCTAGCATAGGGTTCTGCTGAGACCCTTGCACACCAAGCTGACGAAGTTGCTCAACTAGCATCATGATGTCTACCACACACAGACAAGTCACATGGATCTTGACTTACAACGCATCTAGCACGAAGCACGTTGATTGATGAAGGACCAAGTCCTGGAAAGGCAACACGCAACCAACGCAAACCAAGGCAATGATCGCCCATGCCTGTCCGCTTTCAAAGAGCAGCGCGGCAACTTCGCACCCCTTTCAAGTTTACAGACTCTCGAAAACGCCTAACATAATGCCAAATGCAAGGCCGGTAAGCATAAATAGTCCTTGTGATTCTTCAACCCATGACAGTCGTAAAAGATTGATTATAAGCACCAGCAACCAGAACTTGGGCAAGAACCATTACCAGGCAAAAGCCTTGGGAGCCTCCATGCCCTGTTCCTGCGTGCTGGTTCCTGCAATTTCAGGTGCAACGCCTCCGTTTGCTCGCAACTCCAACACTCCCATTTTCTTTCCTTTTCCGCAACTTCACATTCGCCCCTCCGATGCCCTAAAAGCTGGAAAAGAGCCGCCGCCTCGGTGGCCTTCGGAGCCTGCCGATCAAATGAGAGCAGCACAGCCTTTCAAACAGAGGACCTCTCAACCTCCTTCCACTGTTCAGGAACAGTGTGTTTCTAACTTACAACTTATAGTTCAAGCTGAGCTGAGCGGATTGAATTTGACTTATGCCGAGCCCAGTACGTGCCGCTGCCGCGCGGCGGGCTCTATCAAACCGGAGATTCCTCTTCGAGAGAGGCGTACCTTTCCGACTTTGACGTGGATTCCAGATGGATTCCTGTACGTGTGCCACCGGTTCGCTGGACCGGGCCCCCAAACAGCTTCGTTACCGCGGGTGATTCAGATCCTGCAGTGACCGGATCGCGGCAGATATTTGCCGGGGCAGGATAACTATCCGCGGCATATACGGGAAACTGAACATGTCGAGGAATTTAGATTCTGGAGGAGGAGGTACGTCATTGGGGTGACGTGCCCAACTCGTGCGAAGCTGCTATAATTGGCTGCGGAAGATCTCCTCCAGCGCGAGCGCATAGCTTATGAGCTCGTCATGGCGGCAACTGCACTGCAGTGACTGAGAATTAGGCGGGCCCTGGCCCTGGGCCTGCGCCTGGCCCTGTTGACAGTGTGAGCAAATGATGCAGCCATTCCCCTTGTCTTGACAAATCTGATTGAAGCAATCCTGTCATCTCGTTGGAGAGGAACTGCTTTCGTTTGTGAAATCAGCGGGAGTGAATCTCTTGATGTAGTCACTAACTTTGACTTGCTTAATTTGGAGCTTTTATCTCTAAACACGGGAAATGTGAAGCACAGTGCGCCGCAGCCAGCTCAAATTTAAAAGCTGCTGGATGCCCAATTGCGAAGATGCTGGGATTGGCGTCCAATACAACGTGCAGATTCGTGAACGCAGTATGCGGGACGATTAGGCATATGCAAAACCGTAAAGATCTTCATAGAAGACAGCATCTGGCAGCTAGTGTTTGCACGCTTATTGGAACGGAAAGGCCAATCTCGGCAAACCACGCTGGCAGTTGGCAGCGGGGATCACAAGGTCTTCAACATCGAGCATTGGCTTCGGAGTTTTACAGGGTGCAAAAGCCAGCGCTTGACAAGGAAAGAAAGAAAACTGGCTCAAAAAAAGCTTCCTGGGAAAATTCTCTGCCACTGGCTCTCAGCCAGTCTGTGCCAAGCTCCTCCTTTCCGGTTGCAACATTGGCCAGAAGTGTGGGGCTAAATACAGGGCTCACTGGAAAGACGGAAAGAGCTTGCAGAATAGATTGCAGCAGAAGTTTGCATTTGGATGCGGCGCCACCTTTATTGCGAAAGGTACACAGCTTTGGGGCTCAGTCAACATCGCATGGCAGCGACGTGGCAGAGACGGCAGCACCGGCGCAGGAAGAAGTTGCAGTTGACGAGATCCTAGCATTCTGGTTCGGCGCCAGCGACCTAACAAAAGTAAGTGGGAATCCGAAGTCAAGTGTGTCCTCCCATTGTCTGCTTCAGGGATTTTCTGCATCAACTGGAGTGAAGCTGTCTCTGTTCTAGTTGTGCGGATTGGCTGTCTGTTTCTGAGGGAAAAGTTGCATTTGTAGTTGTTCCGCAGGAGCTATTGTCCTTGCATACACAAGCTGGCTTCGAACGCCACCGAGAAAGTTCAAGATTTGTAACCTAGCAGTCCGTCTGCACCATATGGTACGTGACCTGCCATTGCTACTCTTGACGAGAAGTCGCCGGGTTGTGGCAGTTTCAATGATTTTCAAGGATTGAATTCGAACTGGAAACAGCGCCGTCAGCGAGCACGTCCATGCGTGTGGGGCTTCCAAGTTGGATGTACGAAGGAAATGAATCTGGTCACTCTTTCCAGCAAGTTGGCAATCAGGTTCAATGTAGATGCCCCACCACCATGGTGTCCCGGGATTGTCCTGCCAAAGATCCACTTGATTCCCTAACATCGAAGATAGCAGTTGGAGAATGAATGTGTTGTTTTTCTCTTTTCAGGGTCCCCCACCAAAGAAAATGACCCAGCGCTGGTTCAGGAAGGACCTGGACTTTGACAAGCTGTGCGAAAACAAGTTTGGACCGCTGATCGAACGGGCGGCGAGGGGGGAGTTTGCGTCTTGGGAGGAGGAGCCAGCCAGCAACCTGGCCTTGGTGATCCTTCTCGACCAGTTTAGCCGCAATGTCTATCGGGACACGCCGCAAGCGTTTGCTCAGGTGGGCTCAGCTTTCTCGTTCGGATTCCGCACTCTGCTTGCTCTACTCACAATGTTTTCAATCGAAGATTTGTATGAGGTTGAAGTCGGCTTTGTCAAGAACGAGTTTGTTTGGATACGAATTTGCTCGCAGCTGCGACTATGATCGCATTTGCCCTTGACAACGTCTCTCGCGCACATAGTTCGACCCGTGCGTGTATTCCTCTAAGGTGCAGAATTGTTTCCCTTTGCTCCATAATCAAACTACTGGTCTGGTTGCCCTTCTCTAGTATCGCTGGGCACATTCATCTCCCCAGCTCGGTTCTCCTTATTGTGAGCATTCAGATTCTTACTAGTAGTGGCGCTTGCCTCAGAGTCCTTCTGTTCGCACGTCAAACGACGAAACCAAAGGACGTGCCCGACAACCGCTGACCACATTCTGTTCCCTTGCATAATGAACTGCTCAGAGTTTCTCCTTGGTCACGCCGTATCGCCATACGTCCATGTGACACTCTTTTCTGTAATTTGTTCAGGACGCTCAGGCTCTCAGGATTGCCAAAAGGTAAGCCGTTGGAATCCTGCCCTGCAATCTATCAGGCCTTATCTGCCTTGTTCTTCAGCAGAATTGCGACTGCGGAAAGTCGTTTGGTAGAAAGGTAGGCAACTTCGCCTCGGGCTATGCTTCGGGAGCACTCGGGCGTGGATGATTTTGCAGCAACTAGAGCGGCAACTTAATCGGACTTAAGGCAATCCGTGCATTAGTGCGGTGCAGGGCCATTGAGCGAGGCTTCGATCAAAAGTTCGGCTGCCTGGAGCGCTCGTTCTTCTACATGCCCTTCGAGCACTCGGAAGGTGGGGTGGCACTTTGTCGAATCTACCATGCAACACCTCCGGCTGCGCTCTCTTTGTGGGCAAGAGGGTCTGACGTGCGGACATGCTTTTCTTTTGTCATGCATTTTGAACCCATGATCTGATGCCTACTTTGGTAGAATCCGGGTCCAGTTGCCTGTGCCCTTTGGAGTGCACTCGTCGTGTCTCGTGTCCCAAAAAGAAGTCCACTTTCTTCATGTCTTGCCAGCTCGCAGGCTCTCAGACAGCCACTGTCCTTCTGCTAGATTTGTCGCTCTTTTTGATGGCGGTACCACCAACTTATTTCGTTAAACACGCCTCTTCGTTTCTCGTCAGACTTGGAGGATCAAGACCGCGCCTGCCAGCTTTTCGTGGACCTGAAGTCGGCAGCTCCCGCCGACGTTGCCGAGCTCTGTGACGGGTTCCATGAGTTTGCTGTGAAGCACAGAGAAGTCATTCTCCGATTTGGCAGGTTTCCGCACCGGAATCAAATATTGGGGCGGAAAAGTACTTCGGAAGAACTTGACTTCCTGAAGCAGCCGGGCTCTCGTTTCTAACTTATGGTGCAGTATACATTATAGAGAGCGTGCCTGACGGTACAAGCTTTGGTTTCTTTGCACGTGAGGTACATAGAGGGGCGCGACGTCATGCAGTTCTCTATATAGAAGGACTTGATGTAGTTTATGTACTTGTAAGTAACCGAAGTACTGACGCGGTCAGATGGAGAAGCGGTCTTGCATCGGGCACTGGAGCTTCGAAGTCGATCACGCATTGCAAATGCAATCACGCAATTGCGTCGAAACATGTGACTAACGGTCACGTTTGTAGCCGCGCTGGGACACATTTTAATTTCTACTTCAAGCATTATTGGATGTCAAGGAACTCGGATCGATCAGTTGATCCATGTGAAGGACGTTCGACCGTGCGGCGCACATCCGATACGGTGAAAAGACGTTCGAACGCTTGATTGGAATAATGTGCTCAAATCCCCACATGACCAGCATAACTTTCGACGGTTTCTTTTGATCATATCACTGAAGCGGTTTATGGCATGCATGATGGGCGGCCAGCTGATGCATTTTTCTTATGCAATCTGATGACTAATAGTATTGACATGTTGACGATTGAGGAACTTGCCGCATGGACATAATAATGCGGAGAAAGATGGAGCGGCTAGCCCCGCTCGTGTTTGTGAATGATTGCCATAAATTCTCAGGTATTGATGGATCCTTTTGATTCGATTGTTTAGGGAAGTTTAGGATATGGCAGCTTCACATATTCCGAAGCTTGGTTTCATGATAGAGAGTCATCGTGGTCTGATATACAGACCATTCATGTGATTGTGGAATATGCAGAAAAATTCAGGAAGGAGCGATTGTTAGGCTTTTCGTCGAGGACGGTTGTCAATAAAGCTAGCATAGCTTCTGTGAATCAAGTCGCTTTGTGTCTCGCAGAAGGCAAGCTGCAATATCGCTATAGTCCAGTGAGTCTACTTTACGTACAGGCTAAGCCCCCAACTTAGATCTCAACCTTGCATTGACTCCCACATTTGTTAACAGAATCATTAAGCAAGAAATTGCCTGTTTTTCCACAATCAGACTGTTCGGCACCACTGAACAACCTAGACTTTCAGATTAAGACTTTCTTAACAATGTCAGTATTCCCACAATTTACCTCAGTTTACGTTCCACACATCATGGATATACACAAGTATTGCGTTATCGTCTCTGAGCTTCCTGCATGGAACCTCAAGCAGCAGCGTGTAAGCATAAGTTCCCTATCATCCTTCGGCCTTGCTACACAGCTAGATGCTACACAGCTAGATGCAGAAAGCGAATCTGCTGTACCTAGTAAGTGGTCTTCGGCCCCACCACGGTCTCCTTCATTCCTTGCGCATAATCACCCGCGCTCTTGGCGGCCCCCTTGGCTTCCTGGTTCACTTGCTCCCCCTTCGCTTGCGCCGCATCCCCCACCTCGTGTGCCTTATCCTTTGCCTCCTCCTTCTTTCCCAGTAGAGTGTCCTTAGCTGCGGTCGCATAGTCGAGCGTGGTGTCCTTGGCAGCAGCGGCATAGTTGACCGTGGTGTCCTTGGCGGCTGTTGCATAGCTGACTGTTGTGTCTCTGGCTGCTGCCGCATAACCACCGACGGTCTCAGTGACGCTCTGGAGGTAACCCTTGGTGGCATGGCCGGCTTCCTGAGCTTGTGCTCCTGCCTCATGCGAGACACCCTCTGCAGTATTCTTGGCCTGCTCGCCAGTGCCTGCACCATCACAAAGGATCGATCAAGATCAGCAATCAAGTCCACAAACTTAGCGAAGTTAGATCTGATGTAAGTGGCCACCTCAGTGACGCTTACTTCTTACGAAGTCCTGAATGTACAGACTCAAACTCATCTGGAGCTATGCTGCGTTTTGTGAGTATACGAAGGGCGTATGGCCCTGTCTGCAATCCAGGTTTACTTGTTTTGAGTTCCAGATGAGTTGAGGAGTCTGTAAGCTGCCAACACTATGAATTGTAACCCGGTTTGAGACCGTCCTTAAAAAGAGATCAAGAGCAAGTACGGCTGAAAAGTCCGGTTTGTACGAACAAGAGCGGTCTCAGTCCTGCCCTTAGAAACAAGACCAAAGCATTTGAAAACTCCGGCTTTTAATGATCAACCTGTCCCAAATTTACGTGCGCCGCTCTTAAAGCGCTTACGATTTATTGTGCAAGAAGCCTTGATGCGGATGGAGGTGTTCAGTTGGCAAAGAATACTAGGGAAGTGAGAATGTAAAAATCTTCGGTCTGGTCTTATCTTGATCGAACCAGAAGCCGGTCGCACATGGAAGGCAAGTATCATCATACCTGCAAGCACATTATCATGCTGGTCTGTCAACCAAAGAGTACGACTGCTAATCAATGACCAGTGTTGGAATGTAAAGGCATAAATTGGGACAAGTATTTTCTGTGCTCGCTGGCTCTCTCACCTAGAAGCTTGTCCTTGGCCAGGGCAGCATAAGATCCTGCGGTCTTGGTGACACTGTCCACAGTTGCTGCGGCATACTGCTGCGCTGCGCCGAGCGCTTCCTTGGCCTTCTGCTGAGTGGTCTTTGCCTCCGCATCAACCTCACGGGCAGCCTCAGCACCCTTTTGGTGTGCCGTGTTTGCCACATCTCCAGCATAATCCTGCAGCAGAAGCGATTTGAGCTGAGATTAGGGTTTTCAAAAGCCTCCAATTTGGAACTTCTGAATAGATGATCAGCGGATCAGGGATATGCCATCTTTTGACAGACAGTCCGGCCCTCTAAAACTGACACTCTGCAGCTTTCACTGTTGTCTTTGAGTCACCATCAAAGAAGTACGTTCTCAGAACACTTAAAATTCCTCTGGCCGTCAAAGATCGTCCAGTGCAAGTCAAAAGCTGTCGGTAGGAGAAAAGCCTTCTAACATGAAAATATCAGTGCTATCTGCCATACTGAAGAGACAATCTCAAAATCCAGCAGGATAGGATTGAATAATGAGCTGCAACTTTGGCAAGCTCCAAGCGAAAGTGAGCGAACAAATTTTAAGAGTAGCAACACAACGTAACACATTGTTGCCCTTCCTAAAATGTAAGGCATTGCCTAAAGGTACTTCAGACTTAGAAAGACATTCAGTATAGTCGTGGAGGTGAAGATGAAAGAAATCATACTTTTTGTACACAGGTCCTGTGTATTGAAGAAGTCCACAATTCACTTTACCACTTCCGCCAAATGAGAAGAGGTGCCGCATTGCACTGTATGCAGGTCATACATATGCAATGAGAGAGTTGTCCTTTCAATTTCCGCCCCTATTCTAATGCGTGGTGGTAGGAGCAACATTGTTTTCCTACCTGCCCTTGCTTGAATGCATCCTCTGTGTGCTCTTTTCCATGCTGCAGCTTCACCGCAGCAGTGTCAAGAGCAGAATTCACCTGCTGACCTGCTTCCTGTCCTTTCAAGCGGGCGTCAGACTGGGTGGCCATGACTAAGCTTAGTTTTTGAAGGCTTGCTGAGATAATCTGAAGTGGGCGAAGGAGCTGCGGAAGATTGGAAGCTGCTGTAAACCTTGTTGCTATTGAATTGTGAATACGAGAATGCGTGGTAGGTGTTCATGTAGTGCAGGACTCCAGAGAAGCGCAGAAGAGAAGCACTCCCTGGAGTTCGCTATACCGGTATTGGCATTGCTCGATCATGGCCAGCCGCTGGGGCTGTTTTCTCGATGTCCACGGCCATCCAGGTGGCAATGCCTCATTCGTGCAGATCTCTCACTCATTTTGCAGGTGACATCTGTTACATTTTGACGTCAAATATTGGCGATCGAACCAATCAAAAGCAATTTGCCACTTGGCATGCGGAGGGCACTCGCGAAGTGACAGATGTCACGCGTAGCAAGCCATGCTTCGGCACTGGAACTGCCTCTGCACAGTCGGCAAGCGCCAGCCTAGAGCCAAGTCCGCAATTCGCTTTGCAGAAGGCTAGAGTCGATGTGAGACCCGAAGGCTGCAAAGTGCATGGCAGATTGACCTGCCCTAACTGCCACAAGCTTTCATAAACTCTGCAGAACACACACATCCTGCAAAGCAACTTCACCATTTGCAAACTTCAAGCCTTTATCTTTGCTTCCAAAGTCGCTTCCAACGGAACACGCTCAAGCAGTTCAGTTAGAGTTTGATCACTCTCACCAAGCAGCCAACATGTCTTCCTACCAGGATAGCGCGAAGAGGACCGCCGATGATGCCGGCAGCAAGGCCCAGGACTATGCTGGCGCAGCCCAGGGCAAGGCTCAGGATTATGCAGGCGCAGCCCAGAACAAGGCTCAGGACGCCAAGGGCACTGCCTCTGACTATGCAAGCAAGGCTCAGGATAAGGCCGGGGAGATGGGCAGCAGGGCTCAGGAGAGCGCTCAGCAGACCAAGGACCAGGCAGGCAGTGCCCTAGGGGATGCCCGGGTGAGTTCTGGTCTATGGTCCTCGCTTCATTGCTTTCACATCTGTGATTTGCCGTCTCTAGAGAGAAGAATAGTACATGCATATCATCTTCCACTTTTTTGCTTGCATGTCAGACTTACTGATGACATTAACAGGCATTGCTGACGTGTACATATGCTCAGCTGCAAGTTGAGTACTTAGTTGCAGTCATCACATTGACTTTTTCAACGATTGCTAGAGCGTGCTTGTAGGTCCTGTGTTGTATCTTGCTTGACAAGGTTTTAGCATGGCATTTTTCTTTATCTGAGAAGCAATTTGTTATCAACTGTGGTGCAGTTTCCATCTTCGAATTGGAATATGTTCTGCATAGAAATACTCAGATCTTGCTTGTTTCGAATCTGATGGGTTTTCCTCTCGAAATTGCAGAACAAGGCTGGGGAGTATGGTCAGTACACTCAGGACAAGGCCGGGGAGACTGCCCAGGCTGCCAAGGACAAGGCTGGCTCCGCTTACAACCAGGCTGGCGAGTATGCCCAGGGTGCTCGGGACAAGGCTGGGGACTATGCTCAGGGAGCCAAGGAGAAGGCCGGCGAGACCTATGACCAGGCTGCGAAGACCGCCAGCGATTACACCGGTGCTGCCAAGGACAACACCCAGTCTGCATACCAGCAGACCAAGGAGGCTGTTGGCAACACCTACAACTCTGTTGCAAACACTGTCACCGATTATGCCAAGTCTGCACAGGAGACGGTCGGCAGCTACGCTCAGTCCGCGAAGGAGACTGTCCTAGGTGAGGGTTCAGAAGGTCAATCTTATAGAGTTTGATTGTGAAGCTTTGCTCTGATGTTCTTCTGTGCAGTATCTGCATGCAAGGTTGAAGTCTAGGATTGAAATTGAGGATTATCTCGGTGGTCAGATCTCTTGAAACAATCATATCAACAGAAACAGATATCTATGATGTCTGGCAGATTTTATGACCTGTGGCACTTTTCATAAGAATTGAATTCAAAAAAGAAGGATGAATGAAACATTCCTCTCTTAACTTTGTAGGCAAAAGCGAGGAGGCGAAAGATGCTGCCAACAAGGCGGGCGAGAGCGCTAAGCAGACGGGAGAGGATTTGTCCAAGAAGACGCAAGGTGTGTATTGAGGCAGTGATTTGACCCTTCATTCGGCGTACTAGTCTTACAATATTGCGAGTTGCCTAGTCCCAGTTGAAAAACTGAGACTGTCTTGTTTAGACTGTTATATCTTCTTTCATGCTTGCAAACATGTTTTCCTATCTTTCAGCAAAACATCAAATTTCGTTTCACACCTTCGATTGTTTTGCACCGGTGTAGGAAGTATTGTTCTCCCTTGCTTGTTGGCAGTACATATCATTTGGCTAAATAGCCTTTCTAAATGTTTGCAGGTGCTGCGCAGGACGCCAAGAACAGAGTCTCCAACCAGTAAAAGCAATGCTGGACGTTGACCACACTCCGCCTACCACAAATTTTGTTACAGACAGACAGCAGCAAAGTGAAGTACATGATCATCTCAGTTTTCCTGCAATAGACTCGAAGGCGAAGGGACAGGGACAGGGTGCAACGGATAGTGTGTGGAAAGATTTGCAAGCAACTGAGTTGGACATGGTCGTTGAGGGAGAAGACGATACGTTGCAAGCATTGGGCGGAAAACCTCTCAATACAAATAAATCAGCAACGTTTCGGAAGGGAAGGATCATACGGATGGGTTCTGCAACACTTTGAAGCTGAGAAACGCTTGTACATTAATGTAGCTGGAAGAACATCTAACAGGCCGACATATAAATTGTAGATGAGCAATAATCGCACGCTAAGTTACATGTAGAAAAATTTGCATCCTGATTCTTTGCGCAGCAACGTGTTTGTAATGTCACATCTCATCACCTTGATCTGTGCGACATTGATTACTATGATCACTTGACATTGAACATGGAAGAATTAGATAACAAAGTCATTCCATTATGAATCTTGCTCACATTGAACATAATTACTATATGATCACTTGACATTGAATATGGAAGAATTAGATAACAAAGTCATTCCATTATGAATCCTGCTCACATTGAGCAGATGAGAAAAGGTATGCCATTTTTGATGATCAACGAAAAATCGGAAATGGTCAAAGGTCATGCATGAAAATTTCATAAACCGCTATCTTATAATAACTCTTGTATTATCGAACATCGTTTACAACTACGTCCAACAATGGGAATTGGGAATTCATTACCTATACAAAATAATTGCTTTGCAAACTTTAGGCAAATTATTACCCTCGATCAATCTATAAACTTCAAATACATAAATATTCTATAAACTCCAACTCTCAACAGCCGGTTACTTGAGCAACATAACACCAAGTAGACAATTGGTGTACACTGAAAACCTGTTACAGTTGATGACACAGTTTCAATAGTTCACTCACTCAAAATAAGTGCGCAACAACTTGCAAGCCTCAAGATCATGATCACATTTAATCAAATAACAATCGATCGTCAAAATCATCTGCATGGCGGGCCATGCATGACTGCGCAATCTGACAATTATCATTACATATTCCGTCGATCAGATCAAATTTCAAAGAATCTTGGCTTTATCATGGAATAAATACAAGTTCATGCCATGCTTGCATGCAACTGAAACGTGTTCTTAGATAATATATGGCAGAAAGACTTGTATTAAACATGTGTGATGTTAAAAGCTATAAGCGAAGAAGCGAAACGTTGACATACCATATGGGGTTTCCGGTCGACCCAATCCAGACCGGTGGGTAAGTTGGACGGGAGTCGGAGGAAAACCAATACCGCACCTAATTGACTCTCTGAGCCACTATATATAAGGCCTGAGATGATTGTTTTTCACATTTCCCAACCGAAGCGAAGCTAGAATTATCTGATCGGATGTTGGTGGGTCTTTAATTTGGCTGCAATTAAAACAGTGCACAGTTTTCTAACGGCTGAACCCATTCCT